ATTGACATAGTCACCACGGTATTTGTTGCCCTTCAGTGCAAAAGCACTGAAGGTCAGTTTAGCTTTGACCTCTTCTTAGTCAGACACTTTTTTTTATTGCATAGTTGGGTGGACGAGCTCACAGCCCACCTGGTGTTAAGTGGTTACTGGAGCCCATAGACATTTACAACGTAAATGCCCCACTTACCTTGAGATGTAAGTTCTAAGGTATCAGTATAGTTACAACGGCTGCCCCACCCTTCAAGCCGAAACGCATTACTGCTTCACGGCAAAAATAGGCGTGGTGATGGTACCTACCCGTGCGGACTCACAATAGGTCCTACCACCAGTAATTACGCAAATTATAAATTTGTGGGTTTGATTTTTTTTACACGATGTTATTCCTCGTGAACATTTGTTAAGTACGTATTTCATTAGAAAAATTGGTAACCGCCTGCGGGATTCGAACACCGTTGCATCGCTACATACGAATGCGCCGGACGTCTTATCCTTTAGGCCACCACCACGCGGACGATTTATATGCAGAAGTACTTGTTAGGTCGCCCATGTTCTCGAGGATTGCCCTCCTGACGATGCGCTTCCAGCCTCCAGCTTTTGACCAGTTGTTAGTTAAAATTAGACAGACAAGCTCACGGCTCGTATGGTATTAAGCAGTTGCAGAAGACCAGGGATATCAACCTAAAAACATGTGGTTTTAGTGTATGCCTCCATTAAAATAACCCGAATTCGCCCTATCCCAAGTAAATGCGATCGTAAAATTCGATAAAATACTCCGAAAAATGCTGCTGCCCATTCTCTTGTGAATCCCTTACTTGCGTTTTAACAACACTGTAATAACCGTGGTAGCGTTATTTTAGGTAGCTACAGTCAAAACAACATCCCGCCTGGTGTTAATGTTTATGTTAATGGCAATCTGGCGAAGGCTTAAAGCAGGGGTTCCCAAACTTTTTTGTCTACTGCCTTGGGAATACATATTTTTTTCCGCCCCCATTTTTTCACCTACTTAAAAACTTTTATAGTGAGAGCTCAGTCGGTATCTAAGAGTCCTCCTAGATGAAATTAATAATCGCCCCTCAAACCTCTATACAACGACCCCTTTTTTTTCTGGGTCTCTTACCGCCCCCCTTCAGGCCTGCGGTGCCCACAATGGGGCTTTAGCACCGATTACCAAGCCCTGATGCTATCGATGATCCAACAATAAATGATGCATTCGAACAACTAAGATAAATTCAATCAAGATGCGTTAGTTTCTCTGTATGTCACCTGTTCGTTTCATTAAAAACTAATTTTCATATAAAAAATTAAAATAAATGTATTGTAATTATATTAATAATTAAATTAAAACAACTTTTACAATTTATTCTCGCGCTCGTAGTTATATTATTATTAACTAGCTGACCCGGCAGACTTCGTAGTGCCTCAATCGATAAATAAAAGAACTAAACTTTTGTATAAAATAAATATAAAACAAACAAAAGGAATCCGTCCGACGGGGGACACATCAAAGCGAAAACAAAATTCTTACTTTTATTTAATTCCGAGCATTTTCATATTTATTCACCTTTTAAACCTTCTCTAAACTTCCACAAATAATTCAATACCAAAATTAGCCAAATCGGTCCAGCCGTTCTCGAGTTTTAGCGAGACTAACGAACAGCAATTCATTTTTATATATATAGATAGAAGATAGATTGAAAAAAAAGAAAGAGCCCCGTCAAAGGAGCAGCGAAGTGAAAAAAAATCAAAATGGCTGCCATTCTAATATGAAGGGGCCAAGAGAAATTTGGGATAGTGATTTATCGATAAAAATCGCCATATTTTACCCCCTCAAGTCTCCGACACTGCACGGACACATTGTATGAAAAAAAACGTGACTTCATTCCTCCAGGGTTGCGGCACTTTGAATGGGCTTCGTAACACCAGACGTACCATGAATTATAAAGAACACACCCCTGAAAAACAGAAATTAACTAAAACGAAATGAATTTATTAATCTAATGCATTCGATGGAGTCGGCCACGCCTGGGCGTCCCTCGTCTACCTGCACTAATTGGAAAGTGTTTTTTATTAATTAAAATTCGTCCCCCGAGCAAATAATAATTTGCGTAATTACTGGAGGACCTAGTGCGAGTCCGCATATTGGCACTAATATGTGCGCCTTGAACTCCAAGGAGCCAAGTGTACATGTTTTTTTTCTTATTGCCTTTGTAGGCAGACGAGCATACGGCCCACCTGATGGTAAGTGGTCACCGTCGCTCATGGACGTCAGCAATGCCAGGGGCAGAGCCAAGCCACTGCCTACCATAGCCATGTGCTCCTGTAGCCTGTTAATACCAGACAAGCCATAAGCTCTTTCATCCCTTTATGACCATTAAAATAGTAGATAAACGCCATTGAAAATTTACACCCTGTATATACAAACATAAGCAAATCGTTGTAATGTATGTGGGGTTTTATATTCACCTTAAGGCCAGTAAAACGGTTGATAACTTCACACACTTTTTTACTGGTGGTAGGACCTCTTGAGAGTCCGCGCGGGTTCGTACCACCACCCCGACTATTTCTGCCGTGAAGCAGTAATGCGCTTCGGTTTGAAGGGCGGGGCAGCTGTTGTAACTATACTTGAGACCTTAGAACTTATATCTCATGGTCGGTAGCGCATTTACGTTGTAGATGTCTATGGGCTCCAGTATCCACTTAACACCAGGTGGGCTGTGAGCTCGTCCACCCATCTAAACAATAAAAAAAAACTGGTTGATGTATTTGTTAATAATGCTAATAATAAGAATATTAATTGGGAGTCCCGATGGCCCCGGTCGTTGAGGACTCAGACGGCTGAACACGGATCCCGGTTACTAGGTCGACCAAAGAAGACATGGATAGGGTGTGTGAATGACCATATGAGAGAGAGAGAGAGAGGAGTGAGTGTTGAGTAATAGAAAAATTAGCTGTGCCGACCCCACCTAGTGGGACAAGGTGGAGAAAAAGAAGAAGAGGTGTTTCCGATGTCTATTATGATTTTTTTTTATTGCTTATATGGTTGGATGAGCTCACGGCCCACCTAATTTTAAATGGTTACCGGAGCCCATAGACCTCAAATAATTAAATAAATAAATGTTTGGTTGAAACTTAAACTTTAATAAATATTACATTACAGCGCCCCCAGCGGCAAATGGATCGTTGAAACTCCATACAAATTAGAGTTAACTTTTACGCTATCGAGAACTTTAAAAAACTCGCACTAAGCACATAGGATGTTTTGTGAGCGGACTCACTAACAGCCGATCCAAATATTACTAGAGGTCCCGCAGTAGTCGAAATTCGACTATAATTAATTGGAATTGTATATTTCTACACTATTATTGTATTTTATACTTTTATAATCACAAATTTCGCCAAGACTACACTATAAAAAATATTAACAAAGACAAACAATATTTAATCTATTCTCAATTTGACCACAGACGTCAAGAACAAAAGTTTAACAATAAATAGTATGCATGCGTGTGTGCGTCAAATATATGGTATGTAGTGTGTGTAATGTTTTCTTTATTGATTTAATGTATCTTTTATGCATTATTTTAAAAAAATATTCGCATTGTGCACTTCTTCTCTATATTCTCTATAAGTGTGGGAAATTTCATACTCCTCGGTCCGCGCAATTTTCGTAAAAAGGGATACAAAGTTTTTGCTTCACGTATTAATATATAGATACCACACCGCAATATGTAGACAAACCAAGAGTTTCCCTCCCACAAAACGTACGTGTGTGTGTGTGTGTGTGCATTTATGTATGTACGTACATATATACAATATTGAATAGCAATGCGTTATCAGTATTTATTCGTTCAGTCCAATGTTGTTCAGTTAAAACTAGAAGCGGTTGTGCGACAGACGTTCAAAGAGGTGTAGTAGTGAAAAGGGAGAATCAATATTGATAGTGAAATTTTAATTACAAAAGTTCATAGAAAAAGAAAATTTTGCGGCTTCAAAAATACATTCGAGAACATTACTAATTCAATAATATGTTGTTTATTCTTCTTCGATTCTCATAAAAAACTAGATAGCTTAATTTAAATTTATAAAACTAAAGCCCTTTTTGGAAATCCGCGTATAAATTTTAACATAACTTTTAAAAAACTCTTTTTATATTATTATTATTTTGAAATTATTTGTTTCTAGTATTTTGCGGTGTTTAGGAAAATTTGTAATTTCAGTAAATTAAATACTTAATAATTTACAAAATAATTCACGATATGAGGATAGTGTAAACGCTTCTCTATATTATATATTATTTTAATATTCTTTTTATAGCCTCTGTAGGCCGACGAACACTCGGCCCACCTGATGGTAAGTGGTTACCGTCACTGATGGACATCAACAATGCCAGGGCACAGACAAGTCGCCGCCTACCATTGAGTACTCTCCGCAAGCCTCGTTTGAAGAAGGTCATGTCGTAGCGTTCGGGACAACACCGTGACAGAAAAGATCTTTAGAAAGCACTTGTGCTATACAATATTACCTACCGACGGAATTCTCAACTTAAACGCTAACGTTATTGGATCTTAATGAATATAACGAATTGTTTTATCGGTTTCTATCATACTCACTATTAAAGATAGAATGTCTTTGAATAAGCTTATAACTGTAATGTTCAGAATTCATGAAATGGTAGGCCGTCTTTTGAACCCGCACGGATAGATTCCACAACACTATCTATTTCTGCCGCGAAGTAGTAATGCGTTTAGGTTCGAAGGGCGAGGTACTGTAAAAAGTGAGACCTTAAAACGTCACGTCTCAAGTGGTGGCATTTACGTTGTAGATAGATGTCTATGAGCCCCCATAATCACTTAACACCAGGCGGGCCGTGAAAGCATTCACCCATCTAAACAACAATAAATATCTATATATACTTAATATACGATTTTCACATAAATACATATTATGTATGCGAGAATCGTGCTAACAATCAGTATCTTTAATAATAGTGTCGGTGTGTACAATCAAAGAATATAACTAGCAGCAAAGATGTCTAACGAAATAGCCGAAGTTGATTTCGTGAAACTAGAAAAGACCGATGTGCAATATCTAAGAACGCATTCGATTGAGAAAGACGCATCGACGCCGAGAAACGTAAGTAACAAACTTCTGCAATCCGAGACTGAAATGCAAAGTGAAAACCCGAAACCCGAAAAGAAGTCCTCTAAGAAACACAATCGGGCAAAGTCGGGGTTCTTCACGAAACTGCTCGACGGCTTTCGTAGACCCAAAGTTTCCGACCACAACACGCCCAATGAACCAAAACGCAAGAGCCATAAGTTTTGGAGGTCAACGAAACTAGTCGATACGAAAGCGGGAGCGGAAGATGCTGTAATTGGTATCAAAAAAATGACGATCACTGAACATTGTCACGTACCAAGCAATGCCAAGGCATTAAAAAGACCATTCGATTCGCCTAAAGTGACGCTGACGCAAGAAAGAGATGTTCCTCCACCGAAAAAATCGTCTATTGTCGTTCAGCACAAAGATTATCAACTGAAGCTGCCTCCGTATTACAAAGGAAGTCAGATGAGAATGCGCTCCGGTGAACGTCTATTTTGGGTTTGCAGTTTTATAATTATTTTATCATGGTTAGGTTAGGTTAGGTTAGCTGAGATCTTTTTTTTTCTACCTAAGCTTGCCTTGAGAGGCTATTTCAGCGTAACCTTAACTAGTAGGTGAGCTCACGTGGCTCAAACCTGATGACACTGAGATCATGAATAAACTTCAATCAGGTTCTAAAGATTTGGAAGCAGGGTTGATAAGGTATTTTGGTGCCAATCGGCTCTTGCAACTTGTTGGAGATTCGACCCAAAAAAAGAACATATTGGTTACCAATACCTACCACCTTGTGGACGTGAAACACCGTCCGCTATGGCAACCAAATTGTTTACCTATCTTGTTATAAATTAAAGAATGATAGAAATGACTTATACATTTTAAAAATTTGTCAAATATCTGATGTAGGCTCCAAACCGAAAACAAGGTAGCACTTAATCGTCAGTTTCCCAGAATGTAATTTAACCTTTAGTTAAAAAAACTACTTATTTCTGTTCTTTTAAATGCCACTGTAAGCAGACAGCCCATCTGATGGCGAGTGGTTAGCGTCGCTCATCAAGCAATGCCGTTGTTCCGTGTGGAATGCTCGATCGTATGTCAGTGACGATAAATGCGGGGTTTTGATGATGATCGTAATAGCTGATGCTGCTACATCAGCTATTCTATCAGACCAACTGTGCGATAAATCCGCCGAATATTCAAGTGCAAATCAAACTTATTTCCTACCTAATCTTTGGTAGCCTAAGTCTATCCCAACTAGGCGCTGACTGGTAGGTTATAGCACGGGGCTTAACTTGAGAGAACTTGCTAACACTAGCCCTAGCAAGGGTTAATAATTCGTTGAGTCCTACCACCGCTTCCCAACAATAAAGCCGCCATGTATATTAATTACATTGTTCATAATGATAAATAGAAAAGTATAATAAATAAATTTTGGATTTTTATTAAAGGTAAAATTTTGAGTTAGAACTGTTAAAAAAAACATTAGTAAAATTACCATTATTCCGTTACTGTTGTTGCTATCGCGTCAAGGATATTTTTTTATGCTCTTCCTTCCCGGAAAGGGATCGCATATTATATTTTTTTTATATTATCGCTTAGACGGGTAAACTAGCTTAGCTTAAACCTGATGTTAAATTGCTACCGAGCATGGGCATGGTTACCAACCTTGAAACTTTGGTCTGTGTATAGTGATTACGCATCCGCATCTCAATTGCATACGTATACAGTCAAACCTGGGTAAGTGAGAACTGGATAAGTGAGAAAACTCTATAAATGAGAGTAACAGCCAGGACCCGTCATTTTAAGCTCCTAAAACCTCTATTAGTGAGAAACGGAAACCCCTGTAAGAGAGAGTCGTTTTTCCCTCATGGACCTCCGCAAGTGAGACTGCTACTTATCTATACCTCTATAAGCGACAGTCGAGCTTTATTCATTATATTATATTTAGGAGGAACAAATTACAAAACAAATTACAAATTTAACATCTGCGGTTTTATGACCCATTCTTAACTTTCATGGAACTTTTTAACATTGTTTTTGTATTGTTTTCTCCTATTCCTAACCTATTCTATTTGGTGGAACTAAATAACGTTGTTATTTTATCNTATCTATACCTCTATAAGCGACAGTCGAGCTTTATTCATTATATTATATTTAGGAGGAACAAATTACAAAACAAATTACAAATTTAACATCTGCGGTTTTATGACCCATTCTTAACTTTCATGGAACTTTTTAACATTGTTTTTGTATTGTTTTCTCCTATTCCTAACCTATTCTATTTGGTGGAACTAAATAACGTTGCTATTTTATCGCATTCTTTTCGAATGGACACGTGTCCCTGTGTACTGTCCTGTTTGTCGGACTTACTCAGTTTATCGTCAATCAATTGCGAAGGAAAGTTCTGTTCTGAATTATGTCAAAACGGAAAATTAAAGTACTGTCATTAAGTGACAAACTTAAAATACTGAATGCGTTTGAATCCGGATAATCGCAAAATGAAATTCAGAGGGTGCATTACCGAGAAACTCGGGTTAGTGAGAAACCTCTATAAGCGAGAATGAGATTTCGCTACCTTGAACTCTCGCTTATTAATATCCAGGTTTGACTGTATTACGATTTTTGCGGGTTTGATTTTTGTTTTACACAGTGCGGGAGTTGAATCGTGAAACATATGGATGTTAAGTACCTATTTTATTATAAAAATTTGTACCTGCTTGCGAGATTTGAACCCCGACACGGTCGCATCGCGCAATACGGTTAGTCTTATCCTTTGGGCCAGGATGACATCTGTCATGTGCGAATATGTGTCAAGTACGTGTTTCATTACAAAAAAGTATGCAACGACATCTGTCAGCCCTTAAATTAAAAAAAAAAACTTTGTTCACGTGACTAATTCGCGAATTTCAATTGTGAATCATATACGATTTTAATTCTGATATTTATAGACCCTTTTTTTATTGCTTGGACTTTCGATTTTCGACGTTCGTTATACGAGGTTCAGTGACCTAAATAAGATAACGCAATCACAGCAATTCCTCAACGCAAAAATGTATCGTTGAACTAGAACAATTCAATTATTAGAATCGTGTGATAAGGTGTAGATGTCGGATAAGACCTTAATATCACCGGGATATACTATACGTGTCGCCGCATAGATAGTTTTGGTCGGCTCAGCTAAAATATCTGAATCTTCCCGATCCACTAACGGTGCTTTTAGGTACCTCAAACATCGGTCATCGTTCTCGTCGAACCCGTCGCTTGCGACGAAGGGCTCGGCGAGTAAGCTATCCCACAGACACAGCTACTGAGTTTCTCGCCGGATCTTCTCAGTAGGTCGCGTTTCCGATCCGATGGTAGATTCTGCGAAGCACTGCTCTTGCTAGGGCCAGTATTAGCAACTTCGCCAAATTTGATCTCCGTGAGCTCACCTACTCGTACGGTAACGCTGATATAGCCTCTCAAGGCTATCAGCGTAGGAAAGAAAAAAATATCTGGATCCATCTGAAGAAAATTAATATATTATTATATTAATAGTTATATAGTTAATATATTATTTTATTTTTAAATGTAATTATTGATAATGTTATCATTGAAACCGAGTCGCTTACCGCAGTTGTACCTTTAATTAGCCATTGACTTCCTATTGGCCGGCATTGTTAACGGCACTGATGTATTTTTTTCATCTTAAAATATTAATTTATTAAAAATGGTACGCTACTAATTGGTGATTGAAAAAATCAACTACACAAATATATAAATAGGCTTAATACCATTAATAAATACAAATAAAAATTAATAAATAGAAGGGAAAAAATTGCCTACTACTATTTCGCGTTGGATTTTTTTCAATAGATTTTCTTTTTATTATTTATTCAAAAGGTTTAGAGGTTTTATTTTAAACAACAATCGATTATGTTGACAAAAAAGAAAGAGGCAAACCGCTCTCCAAGCGAACTGTTCCTCCTCGTACTCCTATCCTTTAGCTTTAAGACTGATGTGAATAAAATATATAGGTAGCTTATCCGTGAGCCAGTTCATGTATGAACTGAGCCCTATTAACTTTACTCTTAAGATCTTAGTTTAGACATATAGGTAAATAACATCGCCTGAACTTGGCAGGCTGTTGAATTGTAACGCTAATTATAAAAAATAAAGTTGATTCTATTCTATTATATGAAACTTTTTCCTCTAACAAAACCAAAGAGAAAATATTGTAATCTAAATGGTGGAATTACGATCATTGGACGAACACTAATTACTATTATGTATTTTTTAATTGAGCGTGGCCTATTTCACGAACTTTGAGTTCATTTATTTTGACTTTTCGTTTCGTCTTCAATTTTAACGCTCACATCTATACTTCTATACTAATATATAAATCTACAGTGGTTTTTACGGATGTTCCGTTATAACTACTGAACCATGCATCCGATTGACTTGAAACTTGATATCCATGTAGAAAATACATGTATTTAATGGATAGGCTAATATTTATATGAGTGTTGGACTCCCTAATATTAATGAAAATAAAGAATAATGTTAATTTTAAATGCCCAGCGAAGCGGGCGAGTACGGCTAGTTTCGTATAAAAATAACTTTGTCTCGTTTGCACACCTTTTCAATTCTAATTTCCATTTGCAGCTAGGCGAAACCCGCCCGTCATCATTCGGTCCGGCTACGTATCAGGACTTCAAAGACATAAGATCGCGGTGCCTAGCTGAAGGTAGACGCTTCGAAGACCCCGAGTTTCCGGCCGTGGACCGCAGCCTCTACTACAAGGAGAGCCTGGACAGGCCCATCACTTGGCTCAGACCTGGGGTGAGTTAGATAAACCTATAGACAAATCAGTGCTTTTTTTTCTTTTTCCTACCTAAGCTGATGGCCTTGAGAGGCTATTTCGGCGTAACCTTAACTAGTAGGTGAGCTCGCGGGGCTCAAACCTGACGACGTTGCTAACACGAACCCTAGCAAGAGCCGTGCTTCGCAGAATCTACCACCGGATCGGAAACGCGACCCACTGAGAAGATCCGGCGAGAAAGCTGCGGCTCNACAAATCAGTGCTTTTTTTTCTTTTTCCTACCTAAGCTGATGGCCTTGAGAGGCTATTTCGGCGTAACCTTAACTAGTAGGTGAGCTCGCGGGGCTCAAACCTGACGACGTTGCTAACACGAACCCTAGCAAGAGCCGTGCTTCGCAGAATCTACCACCGGATCGGAAACGCGACCCACTGAGAAGATCCGGCGAGAAAGCTGCGGCTCAGTGGGCTGTGTCTGTGGGTTAATTTACTCGTCGAGCCCTTCGTCGCAAACGACGGGTTCGACAAGAACGATGACCGGTGCTTGAGGTACCTAAAAGCACCGTTAGTGGATCGCGTGGATCCGAAAAGACGTGTTTTGGGCAATCAGTACACTGAAATCGTAACTCCATTGCTGGTGGTTGTGTCAGTAACAATTGAAAAAAAAGAACATTTTAACGGTTTCATTTTTTGAACGAATGGTAGTATCTTATGCTAATAGCATTGCCTGTCTTCATGACCTGGGGTGAGTTAGATAAACCTATAGAAATTAGTGCACTAAAATCGCAGCTCCAAAATTGGTGATTGTGTCAGTAACAATAGATAAATAAGAACATTTTAACGGGCTAATTTTTTGAAGTAATGGTAGTAGCTTATGCTAATAGCATTGCCTGTCTTCATCGGTGATAACTCAGAATCGGTTGCAGGTAAAGAATTGGAATTGCTTAGAAATTGTAAATTGTATCAATAGACTCCGGTATTCACATTACTGAATAGGCCGTGAAATAGGCCATGAGCTTCGACGAGTGAAATGCTATTGGTGTAAGCGAAATATTTGTAACTTTACAGAAGAGTCATTTAATGTTTATAATTTGGAAAAAATATCTTAACAAAATAAACTTCTTCAGCTGTTTGAATGTGCTAAAGATAATTGATGTTCAATTAGAAACATCAAATCGTTGACGCTAATACAAAGATAAATGTCTCGTATTTACCGTATCTATATATTAATACGTGAACCAAAAACTTTGTATCCCTTTTTACGAAAATTGCGCGGACGGAGGAGTATGAAATTTTCCACACTTATAGAGAATATAGAGAAGAAGTGCTCAATGCTAATATTTTTGAAAATAATGTGTAAAATATACATTAAATCAATAAAGAAAACATTACACACACTACATACCATATATTTGACGCACACACGTATGCATACTATTTATTGTCAAACTTTTGTTCTTGACATCTGTTGTCAATTTGAGATTAAATATTGTTTGTCTTTGTTAATATTTTTTATAGTGTAGTCTTGGCGAAATTTGTGATTATAGAAGTATAAAATACAATCATAATAGTGTACAAACTTACAATTCCAATTAATTATAGTCGAATTTCGACTACTGCGAGGCCTCTAGTTACCGTAATTTCGCTTAAACCAAAAAGTCTTTCACCCCTCGATATACATATTATGTGTATTTGTATACACAATTCCAATACGTTACAGTTTACTATCATCAATGAAAGACGACCTTACTAGAAGATCTTATTGTTAATGGTCATCATACCTTATAGAGATCAGTAATGCCATTCGTACAGCCAAGCCATTATTTCAGAAATAAAACCGTTAATGTTTTGCTGGCGAAAGGCCAAAAGTTATACTTTACGAATACTTCATCACTTAAGAAAAAAAGAAAAAAAAAATTGGCCTCCCCAACAGGGTAGATCCTTCACTGCCGTAGCACACAAGACGAACGTTACATACGTAGTGCGCGACAGAGATAAAGCTCTACGGAGCCGAAATTAGCCGATTGTCTCTTTCTAATGATCGATGTGCAATATTTATCGTCGTGTACTGTAAAACGTTAAGCACATGCGGGCTGTGACCGAGTATCTAGATTCAATAATAATACGTGAAGCAAAAACTTTGTATCCCTTTTTACGAAAATTGCGCGGACGGAGGAGTATGAAATTTTCCACACTTATAGAGAATATAGAGAAGAAGTGCACAATGCTAATATTTTTTTAAATAATGCATAAACTATACATTAAATCAATAAAGAAAACATTACACACACTACATACCATGTATTTGACGCACACACGCATGCATACTATTTACTTTTGTTCTTGACGTGTGTTGTCAAATTGAGAATAGAATATGGTTTGTCTTTGTTAATATTTTTTATAGTATAGTCTTGGCGAAATATGTAATTATAGAAGTATAAAATACAATCATAATAGCGTACAAACTTACAGTTCCAATTAACTATAGTCGAATTTCGACTACTGCGGGTCCTCTAGTCTAGATTCAAAAGGCCATAGATAAGTTTGACGGTGACAAATATGTTAATCTATATCTCGCTTTAGTTTTAATTGTCAACAAAATTCTAAACTGTCCCAACTGCAGGTGTTTTTCACGAGTCATGGTAATACAGTAAAAGTTCGCGGGGTATGAGTTCCGTGAATATGCCGCGAATGCATAAACCGTGAATATGGAAAAACGCGTTTTTTATTTATTGCTTAGATGGGTAAACGAGCTCACGGCCCACCTGGTGTTAAGTGGTTACCGGAACCCATAGACATCTACAACGTATATGCCGCCACCCACCTTGAGACATGAGTTGTAAGGTCTCACTTTTAACATTACACCGGCTGCCCCGCCACTCAAACCGAAACGCGATACAAAAAAATAATTAAAAAGATTAAAAAAGAAAAATTGGGAGATTAAAAGTAATTTTAATTATAAAGCAGTAATTAATGTGAGCTCATAACGTGATGCGGCTAAACATGAGGAGTTAGCAATAGAAAATAACAATTAAATTGCAATATCAAACTAACTTTACTGTAAAAACTGGATGACCAAAGATATATATTACTGGTGGTAGAACCTCTTGTGAGTCCGCGCGGGTGAGTACCACCACTCTGCCTATTTCTACCGTGAAGCAGTAATGCGTTTCGGTTTAAAGGGTGGGGCAGCCGTTGTAACTATACTTGAGACCTTAGAACTTATATCTCAAGGTGGGTGGCGCATTTACGTTTTGGATGTCTATGGGCTCCAGTAACCACTTAACGCCAGGTGGGCTGTGAGCTCGTCCACCTATCTAAGCAATAAAAAAATAATATTATGTATCTAATTAAAACAATTTTCGGTTTAATCACGCGTTAATTATATCGTCAGTAAAATAATTGTGTTCTATGTTTCAAACACTACACAGTTTTCCTGGTCGCCTCATTTTTTTTAAATTCTACCTATTCTAGTGACCTCAAGGGGTCATACTATATTCACCGACCGGCTAGGTGGTAAGCTCACGGGGCTCTAACCAAAGGACGTTGCTAACACTAGCCCTAGCAAGAGCAGTGTTTCGCAGCATCTAACACCGGATCGAAAACGCGACTCACCAAGAAGATCCGGCGAGAAACTCAGTAGGCTCACCGGGCGCATATCTAAATAAAGCCACTATTGAAAATTGTGCGAACAGAAGAAAAAACTCGTTGACTCGTAATGTAAAGAAAGTTTAAATACATTAGCTAATTTGAGCAATACTGTACATGTGTATAAAGATTATATTATGTTGATTTTAGGAAATCAGCGACAACCCTCAACTTTTCGTCGAAGGCTACAGTCGCTTCGACGTCCAACAAGGAGAGTTGGGCGATTGTTGGCTGTTGGCTGCCGTTGCCAACTTGACACTTCATCGCAAGTAAGCCCTTAATTGTGTAAAATAAAACTGTAAATTATTCGTATACAACAGTTTTTTTTTTATGATTGAAGAATTACTGGTGGCCCGTAGGCCTTTCCAGTTTCACCAGGACAGGTGGGCGAGCAAAGGCTCAGCCAGGAGGGGTGGGATTTGCTAACAGCTACCCAAACGCCTCCGAAGGAGACCTAACAGCTCAAAAGTAGCTGCTTCGCGAATGAATCTACTACCGGATCGGAATCGCGACCCGCTGAGAAGATCCGGCGAGAAACTCAGCGAGCTGATTCATGGGTTAGGTTGCACGGCGAACTCTTTGTCGAGTTCGTCGAGTGTAGCCTTATCGAAGTACCGTTCCGACGCTGACTTCATGTATTTCTGGATAGAAACAGTTTTGTATGTTGCTTCCAAATGCACATCGTTAAAAAGTTTACGGCTTTTATCGATGATTGTGATCACAATGGTGGCTCTCGCTTGACTGCTAATACTAATTTTAAATAATATAAACGCGAAACGAAAACGTAAAAATAGTTTTAATTATGATAAAACCAATTTTGCCTGTAACTTTACATGTAAGGCCCCGTAATATCAGGAGCACCCAAATACTGGAAAGCCAGTTACATAATTATAGTGTAGAGAGAGCTATATTTATTGTAGACCAATTTAAAATATATATATTTTTCTTTAACATTTATCTTTAAATAAATGCTGACGAGAAATACTGTTACCAATTTAATTTTGTATACTGAAAACACTAAAGTTCCAACGTAGCTATCGAAGAAATCAAAATAAGGAACTTCCTTATTTTCCTAAGAAAAATGTGCAATTGTTTTTTATTATGTAATGTACATTGTATGTAAAGAATAGTATATTGTGCACTAAGGGAGAAAAGTTGGACATTTCCTCCCGCGTGTAAAATTCTCTCACACGGCGTGCTTGCGGGATGAGATGTCCTACTTTTTTCCCGCGGTGCACATAAAATTTTTCTCCTACCAGGCCGAAAGTTCGACATTGTAAAAAACTTAGCACCCGTGGAGTACTGAGCCGGGTTCCAGGGGCGTAGTCCTGGCGGGGGATGGACTCATAAAAAAAACAATTTAACTGTTTTTTTAATTTTTAAATAAACTTCTACTAATTGAATAAGAACTGTCTGATGAACTCATCTTTGTTTAATACTTCACTATTAAATTTTATTGCCTTTTGTTTATTTCACTTTTACACTAAACACAATATTGCAAATTACCCGAGCACAACAATGGCGGAGAATTTTAGGTGCGTGAGAGCAGACGTAGACACTAACGCGCATGCGCACTTGTCAGTACCCAGGAAAAGTTAGAGTTTCTTCCCGGTACAGCGGGAGGAAAACCGAACTTTCGGCGTAGGTAGGAGAAAAAACTTTTATTATTTAAAACCGTTTAGTTTTTGAAAAGGATTTTTTTCAGTGTCATTCAGTAAAAAGAAAGTTCAGACTTTTATAATATATTAATACTGTTAAAAATATTAATTTTAAAAGAGATTAAGGGGTTTAAAAATATTGTTTTCTTATTATATAACAGATAACGCAATCAAGTATTTTATTATTTATTCATTCTGTAGTACCCCATATCATTATAAACCAACACTTAAGCCCTTAATTTCTTTTAAAATTAATATTAAAAATTAAACAGTATACAGTATTTATTAGTAAACTATTTATAAAACTGAACTCTCTTTTTATTGAATGACAGACTTCACTGAGTGACCCTGAATGACACTAAAAAAAAACCTTTTTAAAAACTAAAGAATTTTAAATAATAGAGAATTCACCCGAGCAAACTGGTAGGAGTCAGGAGACCGCGTGGTCTAATTTCAACGCCTTCGCATTAAGCTTTCACACTACGCTATAATATAATAAATAGCATATAGTATATCGCTCATAGCACAACAATATCGCGCACCATACATTGTTATGGACACGTTCACACTGTACTGTACTATTTATTATTGGCTAAGTATACGTTGCTATACTATATGGCACTATAGTATAGCATAGTCTGAAAGCAGCTCTAAAGATGTACTAATACATATATACATACCTACATACATAGATATATTATAAAATAACAGAAAATGAAACTAAATTTTGAATTTAAACGGAATATATATATATATAATATTGACATTGAAAACATTTACCACAAGGAAAATGCGAAATGATAAAAATAGTCCACCCAACAATATTAATTGCATTCTGTCATAACAATTTCTAGGGCTTACGCAATTAATTGTTATTATTATTGACCAACAAATACGGGGGAGGGGTGGGGTTAGATTGATAACTATCAAAAATAAATATAAATATGTTTTTTTCTCTTCATATCATTAAAATTACCTTAATGGAAGGGACACGGTCTAGCGTCGCAATCGGGGTGTGCAATCAATCTGGTTAGTGGACAACGTCACCTCTCTAGCTCACGGCCCACGTGGTATCAAGCGATTACCGGAGCCCATAGACATCAACAAGATAAATACCGCCATCCGCCTTGAAATGTGAGTTCTAAGTCTCGGGCTTACAGTATAAGGGCTCCCCACACATCAAACCGAAACGCATTACTGCTTCGCGGCAGAAATAGACAGGATGACGGTACTTACCCGTGCGAACTCAAAAGACATCAGTAAAGGACAATGCCCAAAAGTGGGCCAACTTTATGTCAAAACTATTTTAACTTGAAAAACTATGCCTTATTTTTTCACGTTGTTTAGTTTATGTATCAACATTTCTTTCAACCTGGCATTGTTTTCCAAAAACAATAAATTACTTATTTGTTAACATCCCAAAACTATCCATGCCATAGTTTTTAAATTCGCCAATAGGCAAAGGGCTTAGCCCATACAGCCTTATAGCAAACCTATATGCTGTCAAACGAAAGAGTCGTTTGTGACTTGAACAACAATTAAAAAAAAATAGCTAATGCTTATAATTCACAAGCTTCTTAGTTTATTTTTGTTCAATTCAATTTTTATATATTGTAATAATAATTATTACTTAAAACCATGAATTATTTAATATTTTTAGATATTAATGATTCCATTAGTAAAAATATCAATGGCCTACCATTACTCTATTCTTATTATATATGATCAGAGAGTTTTGGCAGCAACCCGAGTGAAGCGTCACTTGAATTTTTATTTTAATGTTTTTTTAATAGTTTATTGTGTAATTTGTATTATTTGTATTTGTAATATTGTGTATAAAAGGTCTGCGTAAACTCATGCTCAGTCAATGTGGTATTCGTCGAGTTGACGTCAAAACTCCCAAAAAGCAATAAAAAGAGATACACCGGCTTTTTATTGACATAAAAAATATATAACTTCGACAGACTAGGCTGTATAGGCTACGCTCTTTGCCTGCTTATTGGTGAATTTAAAAACAACAACAACAATATCGTTGCCGGCTTCCGGATTTTCATTTCATTTTATTATTATTATGAGGATATAATAATAATAAAATGTACGTAAGGGCTTATTTCTAGCAACATTAACCACAATTAACTTATTTAATACTGTAAATAATTATGAGAGCGATTATTGATTTCGAAGAAAACAATTAACAACTTAATTTTAGCTGCAGAAAAAAACAGATTTCTCTTAAACCTGGGTGAGAATATAAAAATCGTTTTCTGAATATGAAACGATATTTCTTTGTCTATCAAATTAAGTTAAAACCATCATGACAGGACAACTTTTTTTAGGGGCCCAAACGCCCATAGAAAATGGGCATTGTCCTTTATTTATTCCGTCAGCGCGGAAGCCGTTTGTGAAGATTTGTCAAGTACATATTTCATTTAAAACTGGTACCTGCCGGCGGGATTCGAACTTTGGTCCAGTCGTATCGCTCGATACGAATGCACCTGGCGTCTTATCTTTTAGGCCACGACGACGCAAAGTAATGACTGATGAAAATTATATGTATAGACTCTATTTTTTTTTTTTTTTTCAATTACTTATTATATAAATGATATGTATAGACTCAATTGTTTTTTTTTTTTCAATTACAGGTTATTCTTCCAAGTCGTACCCGATGATCAGAGTTTCGATGAAGATTATGCGGGCGTCTTCCATTTCCGGTAATTGTTTAAAATAATTTCATAGAAATAAAAAACTGACCGGTTTGTAGTAAAAACGATACTGCTAGTACTTTACAAGTCACGAAATTTACATAATTAAAATGAAGAACGAGGTCATCTTTTTTTTTAGGAATTTTATGACCTGGTAACTAAGACCTTTAGGTCAAAACGAGATCGTGGATTTGTAGCGTAGGTTTGTTGTTTGCGCGCTAACGAAACAAAGTCCTGGGACGATCTCCTCTTTTTTCTCCACCTTATCCCACTAGGTGGGGTCGGCACAGCGAATTTTTCTATTCCATTCTCTTCTATCATCCGTCATCTCAACACTCACTCTTCTCTCTCTCATATCGTCATTCACACACTCCATCCATGTATTCTTCGGTCGACCTCTTTCAATCGACATAATTACTTCAGTGCGCCGCGTAGGGCACCGGTGATCTACATGGCAGTGAATGTGTTAACACAAAAAGCACATGTGAATGTATTAAAATAAAATAAAATCTCCTTTCAGTTTCTGGCAGTACGGGCGCTGGGTGGACGTGGTCATCGACGACCGTCTCCCGACGTACCGAGGGAAGCTGGTGTTCCTCCACTCGGCCGAGGCGAACGAGTTCTGGAGTGCTCTACTCGAGAAGGCATATGCGAAGTGAGCAACACTTACTGTACAGTATATTGGGGGGAATGGGGACGACTAGAGAAGGAATAAGGACAAATCTGGGATGGATGTCACAATACTTTTGTTGTTAGATTTAACTTTGTTGAACTGAAAATGACTTTTATTTACTTTTTAAGAATATTAAATAGTTTAATTTAGTAATCAAAGTTTTGTAACTCATTAAACTTCTTAAAAATTAATTACCTAAAGTTAGGTACTTGCCTAACAACTAAATGGTGCCAGCCCTATCGAAAAACTCTATTGTTCCCTTAAGCGACCCGATTCACCCCATTTTACATCATTCGAAAAATCGGTACCCACCTGCGGCATTCGAACGCCTGTGCATGGCTTCACACGAACGCACCGGACGTCTTACCCTTTAGGCCACGACGACGTCTAAGCGTTTATACTTCTCTGTTCGCACAGACTCCACGGATCGTACGAAGCCCTCAAGGGAGGCTCGACCTGCGAGGCCATGGAGGACTTCACCGGCGGCGTCACCGAAATGTACGAGATGTCCGAACTGCCGCCAAACTTCTACACGATCCTGCTGAAGGCGTACGAAAGGAACTCTCTTATGGGCTGCAGTATTGAGGTAAGCGCGCGGGGAACCGATCTTGTTCTACACAGTGTGACGTCATTTGTGGTCAAAACTAATACGCAACGATTAGCCAGTGTGTGCTTAGTGCGAGTTTTTAATACGTTTCATATTAGCTTCAGACGTATGTATGTTTGTAACGGAATCTTTGAACATGATTTTGACCCCCTTCAAAACGTCGGATTAACTCGAAATTTGGTATACTTATTGAGGACATAGGTCCTCATTGGACAATTGAATATCAAAAAAAAACGAAAAAAAATATTGAAAAAATTGAAATTCAACTAAGAAATTGAGAAATAAATAATAGTTTAAAAACTAAAAAAAATACGCTTTTTTACAATAAAATCATTTTTTCTTACACTATTTTTAATTCAAATTTATTACAAATTTATTTTCTATTTTTTAGTTGGATTTTCTATAAAAGCGTATTTTGTTGTTAGTTTTTTTAAACTTCTTACCTACTTTTGCCGCTAGGAGCGTTGTTTCTCTCCTCCCGAGTCCATTGCTCATGTCTGAGGGTCGTGACCATCTCCTCCCGTTCTCTCTGGATGATGCGTCGCCATCTTCCTCTGTTCTCGGCGATGTGTATGGCATCGTAGACTGTGGTGTGGATTTGATCAGACCAGCGCATTGGATTGCGGCCACGAGATCTTTGGCCTGCAATCTTGCCAGTTACCATCAATTTTTCAAAATTGTCACCGCGCTGTTCCAACTGCCTACAAATTGGAGTTAACTTTTACGCTATCGAGAACGTTAAAAAACTCGCACTAAGCATACTGATCTCATACACTGCTATGGGTCAGATTGGCGTTCTCACCAAGAGTTTCACATTACCCAATGTCACGGGCAAACTGCAATCCCTGTGTAGCAAGTTAGGAGCAGATACATTTGTCTATCTTCATTCAAGTACTTTAGGACTTTAATTCAATGACCCTTTGATGATTCTGATTAACATGTTTTTTTCGATTTTTTTTATTTATTTACTTAGGTTCTAATTTAAGTAGTTAATTGGTTTATATTTAATAGACCTTCGGTAAAGTACTTTAGGACTTTAATTCAATGACTCTTCGATAATTCTGATTGACAATATTATTTTTTCGAACTCTTATGATGCAATTACTTAGATTCTAATTTAAGCAGTTAAATGGTTTATATTTAATAGACCTTCCGTAAAGTCCTTCAGGACTTTAATTCAATGACTCTTTGATAATTCTGAATGACAATATAATTTTTTCGAACTCTTTTGATTTAATTACTTAGATTCTAATTTAAGTAGTTAAATGGTTTATATTTAGTAGACCGTCGGTAAAGCCCTTTAGGACTTTAATTCAATGTCTCTTTGATAATTCTGATTGACAATATAATTTTTTCGAACTCTTTTGATTTAATTACTTAGATTTTAATTTAAGTAGTTAAATGATTTATATTTAGTAGATCTTCGGTAAAGTCCTTTGGGACTTTAATTCATTGACTCTTCGATAATTCTTATTGACATTTTTTTTTTTCAAATTATCTTGCTTTAGTTACTTAGATTCTAATTTAAGTAGTTAAATGATTTATATTTAGTAGACCTTCGGTAAAGTCATTTGGGACTTTAACTCAATGACTCTTCGATAATTCTGATCTGAATTCAAATTATCTTGATTTAGTTACTTAGATTCTAATTTAATTAGTTAAATGGTTTATATTTAGTAGTTAGATTAAGAAAAAAAAACACTATATCAAGGGGTGAAAGACTATTTGGTTTACGCGTCATTTCATTTTGTATTAAGCCTTCGTCAAACAGAACGCGTACTTAGCGCGCGTCAGAGCGCTAAACTAACGCCGCGCTATGACGCCGAGATGTGTTGTACTACTATGGTAACATACCGTCACACAGAGCGCCAGCGCTATAACGCTTGTAGCGCTCTGACGCGCGCTAAGTACGCGTTCTGTTTGACGAAGGCTTTAGTATCAACAAACAATTTGCTGTTTCTAAATGAACTTCAATTACGTTTACCGCATTCAAATAACTGAAGATTTTCTTTTTTTTTTGTCAGTATGTTAGTTCCATATTTTTTATGAGTACTTTAAATGCCTCTCCTGTTCTTGCTTCTTGCTTTGGTTTCCACAGTACTGAGGATCGTGACCGCCTCCTCGCAACGAAGAGTTTTTATTGCGGACCATTCAACGCCATTTGCCTCTATCTGCCGCCGAGTGTAGATTTGCAAAAACTGTCGCCTAAACCAAATATCCTTTTACTCCTGTGATGTGAGGATGTCATAATAACCCGTCGGTGCGTTGCCACAGCCCGACCCCCACATCCTCGAGGCGGAGACGCCGGCGGGGCTCATCCGGGGGCACGCGTACTCCGTGACCCGGGTCAAGTACGTGGACATCGAGACGCCGGGCCGCGCCGGCAAGATCCCGCTGCTCCGCCTGCGCAACCCCTGGGGGAACGAGGCCGAGTGGAACGGACCATGGAGTGACAAGTCAGTACAGCACGCGACCCACACACAAGACCTCTTCGGAAACTGATGAAAATTGCTTAGACGGGTGGACGAGCTCACAGCCCACCTGATGGTGAGTGGCTACCGTCGCCCATGGACTTCAGAAATGCCAGGGTAGAGCCAAGCCGCTGCCTACCGCTAAATACTCTCCACAAGCCTCGTTTGAAGAGGGACATGTCATAGCACTCGGGAAACACCGTGGAGGGGAGCTCATTCCATAGCCGGATGGTACGTGGCAAGAAAGACCTCTGGAAACGCACTGTGGATGAACGCAGCGGTTCCAGATAATATGGATGAACTCTGCTTCGATAGCGGGAGGTGCGATGATAAAAAGGAGATGAGGGAATCATCTCAAACAATTCCTCAGAGCACTCCCCATGAAACATACATGTTAAGTGGTCACTGGAACCCATAGACATCTACAACGTAAATGCGCCACCCACCTTGAGATACAAGTTCTAAGGTCGCAAGTATAGTTACAACGGCTGCCCCACCCTTCGAACCGAAACGCATTACTGCTTCACGGCAGAAATAGGCAGGGCGGTGGTACCTACCCGCGCGGACTCAATACAGTAAAAACAGTACAGTAAAGTACTCCTATACAGTAAAATATCTTTATTCGCGGGCTATATGTTCCTTAATTAAGTGTGCCGCGAACACAGAAACAGTGAATATGGAATTGTAAATATGCTTTGATGGGTGGACGAGCTCACAGCCCACCTGATGTTAAGTGGTTACTGGAGCCCATAGACATCTACAACGTAAATGGGCCACCCACCTTGTGATTAAGTTCTAAGGTCACAGGTACAGTTAATAGTATAATATAATAGAGTTATATTTATCGATAGTAGATTTATCGACACGTGTTCCATTGCGCGTCCAGGTCTCCAGAGTGGCGCTACATCCCGGAATCGGAGAAGGAGGAGCTCGGCCTGACGTTCGACGACGACGGCGAGTTCTGGATGTCGTTCAAGGACTTCGTCAACCACTTCTCGCGGTGAGCGCCTTTTGTATGTACCGACTGCCGGAGCCCGTGGGCATCGCCACGCGTCTTGAGACGTGAGATCGAACTGTCAATTGTATTAGTAGCAGCTGTGTATGCTCTCAGTCGTGTGTGATGTCGCCACGGAAGAGATCAGATTGTGAGGTATTAACGCGCAATGAAAAGCAAACAGTACCTACACACACACACACACACACAATATAACATGCACGCGCACACACATACATAATGTGCTACTTAAATGATAACACTTAATGATCTCTCAACGTTTTTCCGCAACATCGGTTCATGACTTAACCTAACCTAATCTATCTCGAGAAGGAGGGAGCTTGGAGATCAATAATACATGTCTTTGAACCTAGTACAGACTATCAAAGGCTAACTACATAAATTATAAGGTTAATCCTTTATTCGTGTTTGTACTATATATGCCTTTAAGAGAGAAATAAATAAATAAATTATTATTATTATTAAGGGCCGCGCAATGAACATCAATATATTTTCAAAATCGATTTTGTGTCAACCGACAAGAGTAAGTAATGTTTAGTTTTTTTTTTTTAAATACCTTAATTATTTACTAATAAATTTCAGAGTGGAGATATGCAACTTGAACCCCGACTCTCTGGACCCCGAGGAGTGTCCCGAGGGCTGCACCAAGAAGTGGGAGATGTCGGTCTTCGAAGGCGAATGGGTTAGAGGTGGGCTGACAAGTTCTCTGCTGCTTTAGATGGGGGAACTCGCTGGTTTGAGTTTAACAAGTCACCGTAGATTGGGGCGAATCGGGACCCTTTCCAAATCCATCACAAATTTTCAATGGTTTTTCTTAGGGTAATAAATAGGGTATAATTAACTGAAATTATAAGTTTGTACACTACTATGATTCTATTGTCAAAGACTATTATTATATTTCTATAATCACAGATTTTGCCGAGACTACACTTTAGACAAATATTAATAAAAAACAAACAATATTTAATCTATTCTCAATTTGACCACAGACTATAAGAAAAGGTTGTTAATAAACAAATAGTATACATGCATGTGTGTGTCAAACACAGGGTAATGCGCGAATTTTTTTTTACTGATTTAATGTATTTTTAATGCATAATTTAAAAAAAAAAGTTAGCATTCTACAATCCCTCTCTATATTCTCTATAAATGTGGGAAATTTCATAGTCATCCATCCGCGCAATTTTCGTAAAAACGGTTACAAAGTTTTTGCTTCACGTATTAATATAAGATACTATGACAGTGGATATCCTACTGTTTCTACCGGCTCACGTAGCTGCCCAACATCAGCAGGCACAATCACTAATATCAATTTCATAAATCAATTCAACTTCAACATACTTATTGCGAACCGATTCCTTTGCATTCTTTGCTTAGCTATTAGGAACCTAATACCAAGCTCATTGAGATCAGATTCCTTTGCGTTCCTAACAACAATAAGTCTTTGTCCGCAGGCGTGACGGCCGGCGGCTGCAGGAACTTCCTGGAGACGTTCTGGCGGAACCCTCAGTACACCGTCACGTTGAGCGACCCCGACGAGGGAGACGACGAGAACAAATGTACCGTGAGTGAAAGGGACAACAGTATGCGGGGTCAGGGCTGGGATGACGGTCATCACAATACCAATTTGAGTTAGAGTCGTCGTGATAGGGACAGGATGATAAACGCGCGGTGCATTCGTACTGAATAAGGCGAATGTGCCGGGTTCGAATCCCGCTGGGAGCTTCTTTTTTTTTGTCATCTATATGTTTTTTTAATAATGTGCTTAACATATGCTCACGAACGACTTTCGCGGTGTAGGTATATTAATAAATATGTAGTTAAAAATCGAATCGAAAAAATGTTTAATTTGCGCAATGACAGTTGGTAAAGTAGTAGGGGTAGGTACCACCGTCCTGTCTATGTCTGTCCAGATCCTTTGTATTAAACAAGTGAGACTTGTAATTATACTGAAATCTTAGAACATATATCTCAAGGTGGGTGGGGCATTTACGTTGTAAATGTCTATGGGCTCCAGTAACCACTTAGCACCAGATGGGCTGTGAGCTCGTCCACCCATCTAAGCAATTAAAAAAAGTAAAAAAATAAAAACCTCCCGGTCTATATCGTTTCCATTTCCGTCCGGACACAGATAATCGTGGCGCTGATGCAGAAGAACCGTCGCTCGCAGCGCCACCAGGGCCTGGAGTGCCTCACCATCGGGTTCGCGGTGTACCGCCTCCCGGACTACGGGCACGTGCCCAAGCCGCTCGACGTCAACTTCTTCAAGTACAACGCGTCCGTCGGCAGGTCGCAGGCCTTCATCAACTTGAGGGAGGTCAGCGCCAGGTGAGTCCATGGACAACAACCACTTCAGTACTGCCACCCACCTTGAGACATTAGTTCAAAGTTTTCAGTTTTGAAGTAAAATGAAGATGTTGTGAACACAGCAGTTTTATACAGAGGAAGAGTGCAGAGTACCAGCTTCTTCTATTTGACTCCATACAGAGGAGGACCGTTCGGATTGTCGATAATACCATTCTCACGTATCGTTTGGAACCTCTGGGTCTGCGGAGGGACTTCGGTTCCCTCTGTATTTTGTACCGCATGCTCCACGGGGAGTGCTCCGAGGAATTGTTCGAGATGATACTGACATCTCGTTTTTACCATCGCACCGCCCGGCACCGGAGTAGAGTTCATCCATACTACCTGGAACCGCTGCGTTCATCGACAGTGCGTTTCCAGAGGTCTTTTTTGACACGTACCATCCGGCTATGGAATGAGCTCCCCTCCACGGTGTTTCCCGAGCGCTATGACATGTCCTTCTTCAAACGAGGCTTGTGGAGAGTATTAAGCGGTAGGCAGCGACTTGGCTCTGCCCCTGGCATTACTGAGGTCCATGGGCGACGGTAACCACTCATCATCAGGTGGGCCGTGAGCTCGTCCACCCATCTAAGCACTAAGCAATAAATAAATAAAATTAAGACCTCAGAGGTCTTATTTTAATTTATATTCTTATTTTTATGAAAAATGATAATATGAAGTGAAATGAAATGAAGATGATTAATTTGAGACAATGAAATTAAATGAAATGAGATGATATGGGATGAAATATAATCTCAGTAAAATGGTGGTCATTTACTGAGATTTTTCCAGTGGACTTTTTGGAGGATCCCGAGAAGCTACGTCCAGTGGCTTTGTTTTATTTCCACATATTTGTGCACTTTCACAAATATTAAACAGTTAATAAACGTTATTACACATTTAAACTTGAAGAAACACTAAATAGACATAATAAAACATATCACACAACTTCACTCCTCGCGTTCCCGCCAAAAAGTCATATGATACTCTTAACTTCTCCGGTGCATAGACTATTAAAATCACTTTTTTTTTTATAAGACTGAGGGTACTCTTGATATAGTCTTCATAATATTTATCTCGTTGTAGATTCAAGTTCGAGCCCGGCTCGTACGTGATAGTGCCCTCGACCTTCGACCCTGACGAGGAGGGAGAGTTCTTACTAAGAGTCTTCTCCGAAAAGGACAACAATATGGCGTAAGTATCAATAATATCCATAATTTCGGTGATTTTCCTTTAGAAATTGCAAATGAACTTTTTTTTAATCTCACGGTATTAGCCGATTTGAGCATTCGTGAACACATTCCACGTTACTTACACACGACATATACGATATAAACGTTATTTAAACAAGTATGGGATTTACGAGCTATCTCTGTCCCTTTCTCGCACGTTGAACCTCAGTATCGAACTTGCACGACACCTACAAAGTGACGTCATACGTTTGTAACTTAAACCCTTTGTCTTTTAGGTTTATAATTGCATACAAAAATCAATTAACAAACCTTTTAGTTTCGTGGTAAATTTTGTTGCCGACACAAAAAAGAATCTGTTTATTCTGAAGTATTTAACTGAATATGCCTTTTTTTTTTAATTACAGTGAGAATGACGAGGACATCGGTATGGGCGATGTTGACGACAGAGTGAGTACAATATATCTTTTGTCTCTATCGGCCGGAGCTTTTCGATCAATTCGTTGTTAGGTAGGTTCTTTTTCTTTTTTACTGCTTAGATGGCTGGAGGAACTCACAGCCCACCTGGTGTTCAGTGGTTACTGGAGCCCATAGACATCTACAACGTAAATGCGCCACCCACCTTGAGATATAAGTTCTAAGTTCTCAGTATAGTTACAACAGCTGCCCCACCCTTCAAACCGAAACACATTACTGCTTCACGGCAGAAATAAGCAGGGTGGTGGTACCAACCTGGGAGGACTCACAAGAGGTCCTACCACCAGTTCATATCTATACTAATATTATAAAGCTGAAGAGTTTGTTTGAACTTGCTAATCTCAGGAACTACTGTTCCGATTTGAAAAATTCTTTCAGTGTCAGATAGTCCATTTATTGAGGAAGGCTATAGGCTATATAACGTCACGCTAAGACCAATACGAGCACTAATAACCTCCTCTTTTGAAGTCGGCTAAAAGTATGATTTTGGTACCTTAAATAGCTCCTTAACATTCTATTATTCAAAAATATACTTACATCTACGTAAATAAAGTCGTAGGTAAAATTTTGCGTTATACCAAAGTAACTATTCCACGCGGACGAAGTCGCGGGCAAAAGCTAGTACAATATATAATTTGACTGTATTGGTTGATGAGTTATATGCGACTGTCTGACTTCATAATGGCTCAATACATTGCAATCAATGCACATGCATGATAAGCTAACTCCAGCCGGCACACAAAAATCCTGTTCATCATCAGGTGAAGGAGTTGGCGCCGGACCCGGAGCCGGCCGACCCGGTCCGTGAGTTCTTCACGCGGCTCGCCGGCTCCGACGGGGAGGTCGACTGGCAGGAACTCAAGGAGATCTTGGACTACGCCATGAGGGAAGGTCAGTTCACACCCACCACTAGATCACTAACATTAAATTATTGGGTACACTGAAAAATGTACATAATAATATTAGCAAAACAACTGTCCGGCAAAATTTTAGTTTTAACTAGCCGTACTCGCCCGCTTCACTGGACATTTAAAATTAACATTATTATTTATTGTCATTATTATTAGGAAGTCCAAAATTCATATAAATATTAGCCTATCCATTAAGTACATTTATTTTCTACATGGATGCCAAGTTTTAAATCAATCGGATGCATGATTCAGTAGTTATAACGGAACATCCGTAAAAAACACTGTAGATTTATATATTAGTATAGATTTGGTATCAGAATAAGGCATTCTCCATTCTAGTGTGAAGAAGTTTTTATTAGAGTAAGTCATTACGTTAGCTTCATATGACAGGAGAACTTTTTAGTAAAATCACTCTTAAACTTATTTTGCGTACTTTTTTTATTTTATAACCCTAGACCTAATCCTAAGAAATCTGATATTAAAAATTAGTTGCTGTATACATAATATTAGCAAAACAATTGTCCGGTAAAGTTTTAGTTTTAATTTGGTATTAGAATAAGGCATTTTCCATTCTAGTGTGAAGAAGTTTTTATTGGAAAAAGTCAACCACAACCAGATCTTAACATTAAATCATTCGGTACACTGAAAAATGTGTATACATAATATTAACAAAACAATTGTCCGGCTAAATTTTAGTTTTAATATTTTGGTATCAGAATAGACATTCTCTATCCTAGTGTGAAGGATTTTTTATTAGAGTAAGTCATTACGTTAGAAAAACTTTTTTAGAAAAATCACTTTTAAACAAATTTGTGTATTATCATCATTTTGATAAACCTACACCTAAAACTAAGAAATCTCATATTGAAAATTTGTCGTGTCTATAGTCTACACCAAGTTGGTACAAATTTATCGCTCTGATGTCTAGAATTCCCGGCGGTCATGTAGATTCCTTCTTCAAACGAGCCGTGAGGCGTTCTCAGCAGTAGGCAGCGACTTGACAGCTTAGCATTAAGAAGGCTGTATGACTGACTACAAAGGCAGCAGAAAAAAATAGAAAATGTTTTTCCTAAATTTAAAATAAATCACATTAATGGTCATTAATTAATGTAAAATGTGGTAAATTAATGGGTTATGTTAAAGATAGGACTGATTATAAATCGCCAAAAAATATTTGGCAAATTAAGTATTATCTTGACCAAAATTGTTTTTTTTTATTTTTTTTTTTTTTATATTTAAATATATCCTATAAATTAATTATATGATATTCAAAAAATGAATACTTGTTATCTTGAATACCATTATTATTCAAGCTTCAATCAGTACAATTGATTAACAAAGGTGCAAAGTTGTTAATAATACAATACAGATACATAACAGCGCTCTTACCGCATTAAAGGATCAAAAACTAATTTATAATAATATACTATCTTCAAAAGAAATTGGGAAAATTAGTTTTAATGTTCTATTCAATAATTTTTTGCTAATAATTAACTTTTTTTTTTCTTGACATAACACACCTTGAAGGATATCGCTGAGAAAACTTTTCTTTTTACCCGCATATTTATTATTCCTAGCTGCTGATATTTAAAAAAATTTATTTTTATTTTGTTTTTTAAATAAGTAAATGCCCATTTTTGAGCTTTTTAATTGTGTACAAAAGCTTTTTGTGTCACTATGAAAAGAAAAAATGCTTTTTAGATTCGTTCTGTTTTGCTGTCCGTCTGTGTTAACATATCTGTATGTGTACTATGTACATATTAACTTTTTTTTGTTCGCTTTTATATGATTGATTTCAGAAGAAGAAAAAAAAGCATGTGATTTTGAGTGATTAATTTATATATTTTTCAAATTAGAAGTAGATGCTGTGTGGATTACATTTTTTATTTAATCTTGCTTTGTACTTACGGTTTTATGGACTTAAGTGTACTTTCGTTGTCAGGGTTGTTGGTAACGTTGAAATCCTTTGGACATGCCTCTTTTGTTTAATTGATGTATAGACAGATAGCGTTAAAAAAAGTAGGTAACAATAGGTACTGTGTAACTGACATAATGTGTGAAATTTATTTGTGATTATAACAAAACCAAAATTGATATAAAACAATTTTAACGTTAAACCAAATTGACTTTTATGGATGTAGAAACTAAGAGCTACATTGGCGTTGCTCGTGTGGTGTGTTAAAGCGTTAGTCGGTAGTTAGTAGAAAATGACTCTTGCAGTACACGAACTTACTTTCTAGCAGACAAAATCTCAATTGAAGTTACAAGAACAAGTAGTATAAAATAGCATTAGGTTACATAGTAAAATCGGTGACAGAACTTGCGATGCGGCACGGCGCATACGACGGGGGCGGCGGGGTCGCGGGCGGGGGGCCCGCCCCCCGGACCCCACTCGGCCCCTCCGGCGGCCCCCCTCAGGAACAGAGCTGCCTCGAGCAGATCCTGTGCGCTCTCTGCACCCCTATATGCAAGGAGCTCGGCGTGGACCTTCAGCAGGCTCAGAACCAACCGGAGCAGGTGCATTTGAACCAGCCGCAGCCCTACACCAACGCTCAAGGTAAAGTGCGAGTCTGACGCGGTTATTGTATTGGGTGTGTGAAGCATAAGCGCCGTAGGGTTGCCACTCGTACTCCAAAATTTTAGGGCAGACATCACGACATAAATATTTCTATAATAAAGTTTTATATAATTAGAAAAAAATATCTACATTGACTTTCATCAATTAATACTCGTGCTATAAAAATTGAGTCTTCAATTACGACCAACCCTCAGATACACTTAAAAAACTGAATTTTAGAAATTTCAATATATTTAATTTTTTTCATTATTGATGGTTTTTTCAAGTATTACATTGTTACTTGATAATGACTGCAACCTTCAGGTCCTCTTCATGAGAATACTAAAACTATCAGCCATCATCGGCTATCATTAGCCATACAAGCTTTTCAAAGAGCTTTAACTTCATCAAACCCAACGAAGTTCATAATATTACAGATGAAATCCTTCTAAGAATTATCCTACTACTAATTAGATGCTGTTTTTTTCAGGAGACAACTAGTTATTCGCATCTCTATACAAAATTGCACCTATAAAAATTTATACACTTTTTTTTTTATAGAAATGGAGGCACTGTACAAAATGTCTATTTTTGATCTTTGTTTTATTTTTGTCTTCAAACCACAAGCCAAATGTTTCGTCATTGTATATTTTTTTAAGTTTTTAAAGGCATCACTCTTCTAGGCAACTTTGGATAGGAGATAATATTTAAAAAAAATAAATTAATATGATGACTTAGACGTTTGGCTTATCGTTTGTTTGTTTACAGGTACATATTGTTTTTTTTTTTTCAGATCTGTGCGTTTTTTTTTTTTTCAATTTATAAATAAGAAAAGAACCCGTTATTTTTATATTTCGCTTTACGTAGCAAACTAACACTGAACGTGTGTTGGGGAAATTTTCAAATGTAATTTTGAGAATTTCCTCACACCGACCAAGCTTTTGTGAGCATGTGATGTATATGACTTTGAAAGACAAAAATGGGCATTTTATACTTTAATTACTCGTGTGTTTAGGGTTGATTTTTCGTTAATAATATATCGCCATCATCGTTAAGAGAGATACTCGGCACACAATTTGTAAACTGACAATTTTACATACTTAATACAAATAAATTATAAATAAAAACATTAATTTACAATTTCACTGAACTGTCTCCTCCATTTCCATAAAGCAAAACTAGATTTGTGACACTAATCAAAAACCCAGAGCAGTCTTGATTTGAGGAACTCAACATGTCTTTGTTAACAACAACAAAAAAATCTACAGTTAATATAAAGTACAATTAGTGACACAATTCTCTTATTTTTTTTTATTTTTTATTTTTTTTTTGTATGGTTTTGTTGAAGTGAATGCTATGTGTTGCAGAGTTGCAAGGTCAGGGTTTCTCCAAGGACGTGTGCCGTAGCATGATCGCGATGCTTGACAAGGACGGCTCCGGAGGACTTGGCTTCGAAGAGTTCAAGTCCCTGTGGATCGACCTGCGCAACTGGAGGGTAGGTTTGGAAAACGAAAAAAAAAACTCTTTGACCATAACTCCTTTGGTATACAACCGTACAACATCTTGCTTTGATTGACAGTGAGCGGTGATTGTCGCTCATGCACATCAGCAAAACCAGGGGCACAGTCAAGGTCTGACCACGGTTATATCTTGTTCTTGATCACATCACATCGCCATGACTATACCGCAGACTGTGGAAAGGATAGCAGAAGCTTTTTTGTTACCGTTGAAACAACTACAGACTGTTGACTATTTTACTCTGTGGGTGTCCGTCGCTTGTCTAATGTATGAAGATTTTTTTTTTCCTACCTATGCTGATAGCCTTGAGAGGCTATTTCAGCTTCGCCTTGACGTGTGGGTGTGAGACTCACGGGGCTCAAACGGGAGTGTTGCTAACACTGTCCCTAGCAATGCAGTGCTTCGCAGAATCTACCGCCGGATCGAAAACGCGACCCACTGAGAAAATCCGGCGAGAAACTCAGTGGGCTGTGTCTGTGGGTTAATTACCTCGTGGAGCCCTTCGTCGTAAGCCATAGGTTCGGCGAGGACGGTGATCAGTGCTTGAGGTACCTAAGAGCATCGTTAATGGATCGGGAGGATCCGTAATGACGTGAGGAAGACAGGGCTATAAATATGCGTCCATTGGCCCGCACCGAACGCCGGTATCTATGAGTAAAAAATACACCATACACATGCGTCCGACGCGGGCCAATGGACGCGTACCTTTAAGTGTCTGCCCCCTGGGACACGAGATGACGTAACACGCCCCCCTCCGTCCCCAGGCCGTGTTTCGCCTGTACGACGTGGAGCGGCGGGGGGCCGTCCCCGCCAGCCACCTGCGTGACGCTCTGCACTCGGCCGGCTACACGGTCAACGCGCACGTGCTCAACGTGCTGGCGCACAGGTACCGACCCCCGAACACTCCAGTTCCTAAACGCATTAACTACACGATTTTTGTTAATCAAAATCTTATGATTTGGGCACTTTGCTCGTAAAACGAATAGTCATTTGGCCATGATAAGGTCACGAGTGGCGATCGCGTACCAAACAGCGCAGGACCGATCTTTGTGGTGAGGGTTGAGGGAAGCCTATGTCCAACATATTTACTGGTGGCAGGACCTCTTGTGACTCCGCACAGGTAGGTACCACCACCCCGCCTATTTCTGCCGTGAAGCAGTAATGCGGTTTGAAATTTTATGGGACAGCCGTTGTAACTATACTAAGGCTTTAGAACTTATATCTCAAGGTGGGTGACGCATTTACGTTGTAGATGTCTGTGGGCTCCAGTAACCACTTAACATCGGATGGGCTGTGAAATCGTCCACCCATCTAAGCAATAAAAAAAAACCATTGTGGGCTAGTTGAGAGAGAGATTTGTGTATTATCGTCCTAATTCCACCGACCCAAAATTACCGCCCTAGGCTCCAGATTACTCAGATCGGTGGTCACACCTGGTTTAATATGAAATCGACTTGAGTTCGAAGTCTCGACTGTACGATAACAGCCAGTCATTAAGGCACGAATGCCTCACGAACGAATACCCCACATTGACATGACAATGTAAGTTTCTTCCCCCCCACCCAGATACGGCACCACCGACGGGTACATACAGTTCGATGACTTCATAATGTGCGCCGTGCGTCTCAAGACCATGATCGGTGAGTACGACTCTGTTGACAACGCCATTACATCATAAATGAGGGTAGTTTGCGTTCTTTAGGTAAATTAAGAGGGTATTTTAGTTTCTTTTTTTTTTTGTAAATTATGAGGGTATTGTATTTATTTTAATTTTATATTTAACAAGAAATGATTTTCTAGTCGCCAAGCAAAGGAAAGCAATTCGTGTGTAAAATAAACTTTAATATTTTTAAATGATATTCGTATAATGACGATGAATGTTTTCTTACACATTCTTCTCAGCTAGTTTGAGTTTAAAGCTCTTTTAAGTGTCCTCAACCGCTGACATTTCAGTTTTTATTTACTTCTCTATAATTACAAATATGTATAATTCAATATATTTAACTATATAGTAGTTTAACATTATTCTATAAAACAATATCGTCATAAAATTTCTACAAAATCCTTCTGTCTATTGCTAAAACCTTAATACGATCCAAAATAACTGGCCCAATTAAAACCTTTCTATTCTCCTCGCCTGATTTAATTCATTACTATCCTAACTCATTTGTTGATAGAATATAAAAGAAAATGTGTACATTCCATTCACTTTAAAGATAATTCTTCTTCTTCTTCTTCTTCCTAGCGTTTTCCCGGTCTAATACCAGGATTCGCTTTCTAACTTAAAAGCTAAGCTTAAGCTTAAGCTTCTCATCCTCCACTCTGCCCAGATTTCGGCATCCTTCTGGATGATATTCTCCTATCCTATTAAAGATAATTAATAAATAAATATATATATATAGATTGGTGTTCTTGACCGCGAATTCGGTTTTAGGGCACACTGTAAGCCCACACGGCATGATACCACGATCCAATTTTATATATAGCTATATAGCCATATACAATACGCGGTGCTATTGGGACTGCTACTTTGTGTGTTATTGGCTCGCAATTTTCACGTACACGGTGTTCGATTTTGCAATTCTTCTAGAAGTTAATTTCAACTGTTTTGCTATGCGCTAACCCTTGTTCTGACTTGAACGCTCCAGTCCGCTATTTCGTTTTGCTTTCAATGTTGTTTATTACCTTCAATTTCGTCAGTTCACTTGGTGTATATATATATATATATATAGAGAGAGAGAGAGAGAGAGAAAGAGAGAGAGAGAGTATTCTTTATTGTACACAAAAAAAACAATGCTAAACAATAAATAAGGTTAGCGTGGTAAGGACATGTGGTGCGTAGAGAGAAGACATGGATGTATGTGAATGACGATATGAGAGAGAGAGAGAGAGAGAGAGAGAGGAGTGAGTCCGATATTTTATCTAATCTATGTCAAACTTAAATTGCAATTATTACTCTCTCTTTTATTATTAATTTTTTCATCATATTAACTAAAAAACAGAATGTTTACAATGTGTATAATGTAGGCTATCTTTACGCTTTCGTATTTTTTTTAAATTAAACTGCGCTCAATGTGTATACGTATATAGTAAATAATTTTAATTGTATATAGTAAATAATTTTTAATATTTTACTTACATAAAAATAAAGTTTAGCCCAGTAAAACTATAGCACAAACTGAGTTGCTCTATAAAGAGAAACAACATTTAAAGCTATTTTACCACTATTTATATTTTTTATATTTCAATCTTCAAAAATCTTTTAATAATTCTAATGTTCCTTCTTCTATCATTTCAATTTTCAAAATTCCATTTATTTCATCTTTATAACATATTAACCTCTTTTAAGATAAATCGTATAGAGGTTACATATATATACAAAAGGGAATGTCAGCACGGTCCATAGGGTAGACTAGGTCGATTATCGTTCCGTATATAATGTGATCATGGACCACAGCAAACGGCGAGCCGTTGGAGAACCTCGAACGTGAACTGCAGCAGGCGCCCTGAGACGGAGCCCGGAGCGCCCTCTTGTAATCACAAACGTACATAACCTGTATTATATATAAGCACTGTGGAGCCCTACACACAAACACACGACAACATGGGAACGAAAAACTACCAACAAAAAAACAAAATTTTTTTTAAACATACAAATATCTATGTATATGTTTTAAAGAGTCCCATATTGTCTCTAAAATGTCGTCTGCTATTAGTAGACGGATTTTGATATTTATAAAAAAAAATCAAATTGATTTCGATACAAAAAAGGATACTATTAGCTGACGTCATAAAAAGATTGCTCGCAATGATATATTTAATATATATAATTATAATATTTTTTTTGTATTAAATGATGGTGTCACTTAATATAGTATATTGGATTTTAATATAGTCATTTGTGAGCAGACTTTGAACACAAAATAACTAACACCGCTTACTTGAATTTGTAACATTGGAGTATTTAGAACGGGCTGCAACAATTAAAGGTCATTAATTTAATAAATTATTATTTCGGGCGAATCAATTAACGGTGTATTGAATTAGGAAAAACCATTAACGAAACTGTTATATCTTAATATAAAAAAGAGATTATACAATGACTCGTACGTGTTTTTTTAATTAATTTAGTATATATGAATTAGTATTCGCGTATGGAAATCACCAGATCAAATATTCTGAAAGCCATGGACAATTTTTTTTTATTTTTTATGATTTTATGACGCAGTACGAAGTCCTTTAATCCGAGTCTTGTATTACCTTATTATATTCCATTTTAATATGAAGAATTGCTATGATGTTGATTAATTCGAGACTTTCAATCGATTGGGATGAAAATAAATGAAGTAGTTTCAGTAAAATGTCGGTTATTTAATAAGACTTTTCAGGGGACGGGTTTTACTGTGAACCACTAAACAGCAGTTTGGCCGAGATATTTCTATTTATAAATTCAATGTGCAAGTGCTCATGCAATTCTGCGGCTGACCGAGCGCACAGTTAAACGAGCTGTCAATATTAAAAACCGTCAGCCATTTTTAAAACCGAATGTCACATTTTAGAATCGATAATCGAGAAGTAGAATCAGAATCGATTCCGAAAATTCGACACGCGAATATCGATCGAGAATTTTAAAGCATCATAAAAAATTTACATTTAGAGATACATTTATCCCGAATAGTAGTACTACTAGTGGAATTAGAAAAGAAATCCAACGATCCAAAAGCCCTTTCTAAGTTATTCAATGGTCTGTATCTTGGTCATATGGTCACGAATATGCGTTAATGTATATGTTTCGCGACCAACAGACACGTTCAACTCTCGATCTTCGGGCGGAGACTACGCCACCTTCTCGCTCGAGGAGTGGCTGAATCGCACAGTATACTCGTAAGCGGAACCGAACCTCCTTAACATCGACCGGCCTGCATGCTGGATCCCGTCTACACTACTACATCGTATTTAAAAAAAAAAAACTGTCACTGTCAGTTTTGAAAATTGTAAACTTCAAATTTGACAGTTCGAAAAAAGAAAACGAAAAAATACACGTCCTTTCAATTTTATTTGTGCAAAAAAATAAAATACAATTTCTATCCGAAGTATATTACGAAGATAGATAATCTCTGCCTTATATTTATAGAATATAATATGTATATTTTTAATATTTATAGTTATAAAAAAAAAACAAAAATCTAAGTGTTCATAATTCGCTTGATGTATAACGGAAATTGATCTTTTGAGACGACGCCGCTTACCGTCGGGTGCGCTGTACGCTCGCCGCCACGCTCAATGTCACTCTGTCATCAATTTTAATATAAACTCATAATACAGTAGGTCCACCCGCATCGGTACCGCCTACCCACTTCTGTATGTATAAAGAGTGGGATATTCACGATAAAACAGCATTGAGACTACGACCTCATGTCTCAAGCTCTACGTCACGTTGTGACGTCCATCTGTTCCGGCTTTGCATCAGATGAGCTGGTATTGCAAGAACCAAACCTTCAAGGCTTGCGGAGAGTGCTGTCATAAGTAATCATCAGCGGTCTATGAGTTTCTCGCCGGATCTTCTCAGTTGGACATGCTTCCGATCCGGTGGTAGATTCTGCGAAGCACGGCTCTTGCTAGGATTCGTGTTAGCAATGCCGTCAGGTTTGAGGCCCATGAGCTCACCTACTAGTTAAGGTTACACTGAAATGGTCTCTCAATACCATCAGCTTAGGCAGGAAAAAAAATCAGGCCATCCTAATCAAGAGACCATTAGACGCATTCCACGCTAAGGCAATAAAAAAGAAAAAAATTACACAGTACATTGCCTCGTCCGCACACGCGAGCGCGCAATGTAAGCGGTCCGAATTCTTTTCTAAAGATCAATTTCCATTTTGCTAAAATTATATTAAAAATTTACTGAAACAATACGAACTGTTCGCTATTATTCTCAAAGAGATTTTTGTCTAAGTCACAAATTAATTATTAATTAACGAAAATAAATAACAATATATTATAATGTATAATGGTTCTCAATGATTGCATTAATATTTTGAAATACGGGTATGATCATTTGTTAATTCGCCAACTAATTAATTATCAAAATAATAATTTGAGTATTATCATCACTTATTTAATTGCATTTTTAAATAATCGTTGTGGAATTACTGTGAAGTTAACATTACGTTAAAAAATTATATACTGGTGGTAGGACGTCTTGTGAGTCCGCGCGGGTAGGTACCACTACCCTGCCTATTTCTGCCGTGAAGCAGTAATGCGTTTCGGTTTGAAGGGCGGGGCAGCCGTTGTACTGTGTACAAACTGAAGCTTAGTACTCTCATGTCTATGGGCTCCGGTAACCACTTAACACTAGCTGGGCCGTGAGCTCGAAAAATTCACAATTTTTTTTCCATAAACGATTATTTGAAGACAAACTTTCAAACGTGTTTGCAGTAACTTTTTTTTTTAGTTTTTACAGTATTTTTATTATCCACCGACAACTTCATTCCAGTATGCGTTTTCTTTTAGCTGAATGTTCACAACGCGACTTATGCGACTCACGGTACCCGTAACACAGGAGAAAATCCTAGTTTGAGGTCGTTGTATGAGCAACATTTTTGTTCTAAGCGAAACCTCTCTCAATATCGCTTTTTGAAACTCTTTGAAACGCAGGAGCGACACTAAAAAGAGACAAACATATAATTCACCGTGCGAGAGAACGAGACGGCATACTTTTGAAAGTTTCATCACTGCTTCTGATAAGCTTACTGGTGTGTGGTCGCTCCGGTCGCGCGTGTGAACAAGTTCTTCTTACACGATAAGTTTCTGTGCGATTTAAGCTCTCAAAAACGAAAGTTCTTAATGAATGTTGTATTTATGTTAAACAAATAAATGTATGCACATTTCGGGATTTATTTTGCATTTTCCTTTGCAATTATTTTTTTATTTAATTCGTAATCATTTATGACGAACATTGTAATGTTGGAAGATCTGAATTAAAAAAATTTTCATGTGCATTTTTGTAATGTTTGTTTTCTTTTTTTAGTTATAAAAAAAACCTAAGTATTTTTGTTTCAAAGACACTGGGAGTCTTGAACTGGAGCATTTTCGCATGCTTCTGTTATCACGATGGGTTTGCTAAAGTACAATATAATATAACAGTACAAACATAAAGCAGATATTACCTCTTTGATCTAGACATTTATTCTAGACTGAACGCTAGAGGCGGGGAACGCTCGGACACACAAATCTGGCCTAGATCTGCCGCGAACCAGTCGTCCAGTCCAGTTTGGGTCCTTACACAATCCCATTGAGACTTGCCTCATATCTCAAGGAGGAGGCGTTCACGTTGTCTATGGACGCCGGTAACTAAACACAGTGAACTGTGAATTGGCTTACTCGTCGATACAATAAATAAAAAGTTCAATAATAAACCCCCACACATCAGATTCGATTGACATCAATTGTTTAGCAATGAGGATCTAGGAAACCTAAGTAAATAGGAAGATCCGGAGACATATTTATTACTGTTTTTAATTGAACTTTTCCTTTCTTAATTCGATAAATAGTGGGTAGTTGCTCGTTCACGTCAAACCCGTCGCTTGCGACGAAGGGCTCGGCGAGTAAATTAACCCACAGACACAGCCCACTGAGTTTCTCGCCGGATCTTCTCTTGTTCTTGATCGTTGCTTGTGCACAAAGTGTGTTCCTCCGATCCATTATCGGTGCTTTTTGACTCTCCAAGCACACGTCGAACCCCGTCTATTGCGACCAAAGGTTCGTTGTGTAACCTATAGACAACCTACTAAGTTTCCGGATCGCCTCAGTGGATCGCGATTTCGATCCGGTGGTAGATTCAGCGAAGCGAAACTCCTTGGTCGAGCCCAGTGAGTTCATCTACCGAACCGAGCGTATATATATATATATCTCTCTCTCTCTGTACTGGACCTTAAAATGCTGATACCCTCGAACCGCTGACTAGACGGTCCGAGATAGAGACTTCAGAGAGACCGGAAGACGGTCAGTAGAGATTGAACTACTGATGGTAGGACCTCTTGTTTGCCGCACGGGTAGGTACCACCACCCCGCCTATTTCTGCCGTGAAGCAGTAATGCGGTTTGAAGGATGGGGCAGCCGTTGTAACTATACTGAGACCTTAGAACTTATATCTCAAGGTGGGTGGCGGCATTTACGTTGTAGATGTCTATGAGCTCCAGTGATCACTTAACATCAGTAGAGAGTGAACCGTCTTAGAGTAGGGGTACGGCTGTCGGGGTTGCTCTGAGAGTTACGTATATCTTCCATATTGAATAATTAAATTAATATAGTTCGTAATCCTAAGTTTCCTTTTTTAAAACGACCTCAAAGTAAACTCCCGTAACAGTACCTAAAATTGCCCCTTATGCTATCAACCATTAGGTAGGGAAAAAAAGTCAGAAAATTAGCAACCTCATTTTGAGGATTTTCATCATTACTGGAAACAGGAGGGAAGGGGTTTGAAAAAACAAAACAAGTTAAAGACTTTCAGAATTACCCATACTTTTATTATCTTTTAAATAAGGTATTACAAACTAATTAAAAGACAAATTCAAATTGGCTTCTAAAGGACAATGCCCAAAAGTGGGCCAACTTTATGTCAAAACTATTTGTACTTGAAAAACTATGCCTTATTTTTTCACGTTGTTTAGTTTATGTATCAACATTTCTTTCAACCTGGCATTGTTTTCCAAAAAAATAAATTACTTAATTGATAACATCCCAAAACTATCCAGGCCATAGTTTTTAAATTCGCCAATAGGCAAAGGGTCATACAGCCTTATAGCAAACCTATATGCTGTCAAACGAAAGAGTTGTTTGTGACTTGAACAACAAATAAAAAAAAAATTGCTAATGCTTATAATTCACAGGCTTCTTAGTTTATTTTTGTTCAATTAAATATTTATATATTGTAATAATAATTATTACTTAAAACCATGAATTATTTAATATTTTTAGATATTAATGATTCCATTTATTAGTAAAAATATCAATGGCCTACCATTACTCTATTCTTATTATATATGATCAGAGAGTTTTGGCAGCAACCCGAGTGAAGCGTCACTTGAATTTTTATTTTAATGTTTTTTTAATACTTTATTGTGTAATTTGTATTATTTGTATTTGTAATATTGTGTATAAAAGGTCTGCGTAAGCTCATGCTCAGTCAATGTGGTATTCGTCGAGTTGATGTCAAAACTCCCAAAAAGCAATAAAAAGAGATAACACCGGCTTTTTATTGACATAAAAAATATATAACTTCGACAGACTAGGCTGTATAGGCTACGCTCTTTGCCTGCTTATTGGTGAATTTAAAAACAACAACAACAATATCGTTGCCCGCTTCCGGATTTTCATTTCATTTTATTATTATTATGAGGATATAATAATAATAAAATGTACGTAAGGGCTTATTTCTAGCAACATTAACCACAATTAACTTATTTAATATTGTAAATAATTATGAGAGCGATTATTGATTTCGAAGAAAACAATTAACAACTTAATTTTAGCTGCAGAAAAAAACAGATTTCTCTTAAACCTGGGTGAGAATATAAAAATCGTTTTCTGAATATGAAACGATATTTCTTTGTCTATCAAATTAAGTTAAAACCATCATGACAGGACAACTTTTTTTAGGGGCCCAAACGCCCATAGNGATTTCGAAGAAAACAATTAACAACTTAATTTTAGCTGCAGAAAAAAACAGATTTCTCTTAAACCTGGGTGAGAATATAAAAATCGTTTTCTGAATATGAAACGATATTTCTTTGTCTATCAAATTAAGTTAAAACCATCATGACAGGACAACTTTTTTTAGGGGCCCAAACGCCCATAGAAAATGGGCATTGTCCTTTATGGTTATAATGCATGAGCATTAAAGTTTTGGGGGATTTCCACTCCCGGCCCGAGACTCCGCTGCAGCAAATCCCGGCATCGGCGCGCTGCTGACCGCGGGCCACCAACTACAAACATTACTCCGGACAGATTAGTTAGCTGTAAAAAATATTTCACATAGCTGTGTCGCCAGACTTTGTAGTACCTCAATCGATAAATAAAAGACCTAAACTTTTATATAAAATAAACTTAAAACAAACAAAAGGAATCCGTCCGACGGGGGACAAATCAAAGGGAAAACAAAATTGTTATTTTTATTTAATTCAGAGTATTTTTATATTTATATACCTTTTAAACCTTCTCTGGACTTCCACAAATAATTCAAGACCAAAATTAGCCAAATCGGTCCAGCCGTTCTCGAGTTTTAGCGAGACTAACAATTAACATTATAAAGCAATTCCTTTTTATATACATATATAGATAGATAGATAAATTATTCTTATTGGATAAAACTTAACACTCGATAATTAACAATACAACAATTGAACTTGGATTATTGAAGTGAAACTTCTAATGCGACTTCCAACAAGGTTGCTTTTTTCTTCCTACCTAAGCTGATAGCTTGGGAGGCTATTTTAGCGGAACCTTAACTAGTAGGTAAGCCCACGGGGCTCAAACCTGATGACGTTGCTAACACGAACCCTAACAAAAGCCGTGCTTCGCAGAATCTACCACCGGATCGGAAACGCGACCCACTGAGAAGATCCGGCGAGAAACTCAGTGGGCTGTGTCTGTGGATTAATTCGCTCGTCGAGCCCTTCGTCGCAAGCGACGGGTTCGACGAGGACGGTGACCGGTGCTTGTGGTACCTAAAAGCACCGTTAATGGATCAGGAGGATCCGTAATGACGTGCTTTGGGTGACGTCGACTGTTTACCATTCGGTCTACAGGATCGGGTATGTAGTTTCCAGCGGCCACGACAAGAGGGTTCTCATTTCTCAAAGTGGAAAAAAGAAAAAAAATCTGGCTTGCAACATAAGTTATGTGCGCACGACAAAACAAAACATATAGTGCTGAATTTGTAAATACTAAATGTATGTAGAAATGTACTAATAGTTTAATAAGACATTACCTCCGCGCGCAGCTCTCGTGTCGACCTGCTCCAGCCAAGTTCACTCTTCGTCCAAGTCCATGTCCTCTTCGGATCCCTCCGAGTCGTCCTCCTCCTCAGAGTCCTCCGAGTCGTCGCACCCCGGCGTCCAGCCCTCCGGCAGCTTGCCGTACCTCTTCAGTTTCTTCCTCTCATTCGTGTCCATTTGCCGCACGACCAGTTTAGCGCCGTCTGAGAAGATACGAGACGGGTTAATTATTTATTCCTACCTATGCTGATAGCCTTGAAAGGCTATTTCAGCTTTTCCTTGATGTGTAGGTGAGCTCACGGGGCTCAAACCGGAGTGTTATTAACACTGGCCCTGACTGGCCTTGTACTGTAACTGACGCGACCCGGTCTCGTAATAACAAAGAATGTGTAGTGGCTGTTTGATTATATGATGATGACCGAACACCTTATATGTTGCTTTTCAAGTTAGAGCCCCGTGGGCTCACCTATTCGTTCGTCTATGCTGGTATAGGCCGCNAGGTGAGCTCACGGGGCTCAAACCGGAGTGTTATTAACACTGGCCCTGACTGGCCTTGTACTGTAACTGACGCGACCCGGTCTCGTAATAACAAAGAATGTGTAGTGGCTGTTTGATTATATGATGATGACCGAACACCTTATATGTTGCTTTTCAAGTTAGAGCCCCGTGGGCTCACCTATTCGTTCGTCTATGCTGGTATAGGCCGCGCCAATAAAGAAGCGAAACTAAAATGGCGGCGGCGATCATGCGCTCTCACTCTAAACTATTGCTGTCTTTAGTCGCACACGGCGCGTACTGCACGCAAAAACATATCAGTTCTGACTGGTAAATAATATGGCCTCTCGCACAAACGAGGAAAAGTCCTTCACAATGACGCATGCGAAATCGTGTATTACAATACTTTGAAGAGGAAAAGAATCTCGAGAAATTAACGAAAAGAAATTCTCATTTGCTTTTTTTTATATTTTTTTAACAATAAACAACTTTTTCTTTGTTGACCCTACCCATCTGTCAATGCAGGTACATAGACGCCATTTTCGATTCGTTTCTTTATTGGCTTATACCTAAAAGCACTTTTAATGGATCGGGAGGATCCGTAATGACGTGTTTAGGGTGATGAGTTTATTTATTTATTTAGACACACCAACAGCAATACACACAAAACATTCAAGCTTAAAATCAACATGTATAAAATTAAGTACTGTTATGTAAATTAGTTACAGGCATGTACAGCAATTTCTTATAACACACTATGACATGTTACAGCAATTTTACAATCAGCGGAAAAATTGGTTAAATTTAAATGTTATCAGTACGACAAAAAAACTAATTGAAAAGAACATGAAAACAAGAGTTAACCACTTAACATTCTCTCATCAATTATAAACAAAGGAACTTGGATACTAGTTTTTTTTTGACGTGACAACGTCTTATAATTCGATGGGGCCGGCTGCACGCACGAAAAAACATGACTCGTGCGGCGTTACCTCGCTCTGAGGCGTTCCATTTAAGGCTTGAAGTGCAAGCGAGAGCGCGCAACGAGAGACAAAGAGGCACAATCGGTCTCCACGTTCGACATCTGTCTCTCTCCTACTTGAGTGAGCGATGCATCCGCGTGGACAGCTGCTGTACAATAATACATTTACATGTTTTCGTCAAGTATGAAGTTCAGTGAAAAGTGAATGTGGTGTCAATTGTTTATAGCAACGATAATTGCGATAATTGAAAAATGAAACCATTCCATCAGTATTTTCTTATGACGTTGTCACGTTCAACTATCGTCAGGAAACCGACTTTACAGTCAACCGATTTTTTTAGTTATTTAAATGCGGGCGTGCGAGGGGGAGAGGGGCGTTGGGGGGCGGGTCTCACTGAGGGCGGTCCCGTCGGCGGCGAGCGCGGCGGCGGCGTGCTGTCGCGGCACACTCAGCAGCAGCAGGTTGTAGAGCACGCGGGAGCGCCGCACGCGCACGGCCTGCAGGCGCCGCGTCAACGGCATCAGATCCTCCTTCGACGGCAGGAACGGCTCGCCGTAGATCTGACGACGCGCACACCCAAATACTTTTTTTTATGATTGAAATATTACTGGTGGCCCGGCGGCCTGTCCAGTTTCACCAGGACAGGTGGGCGAGCAAATGCTCAGCCAGGAGGGGTGGGATTTGCTAACAACCGCCCGAGCGCCTCCGAAGGAGACCTAACAACTCAAGAGCAGCTGCTTCGAGAATGAATCTACTACCGGAGCGGAATCGCGACCCGCTGAGATGATCCGGCGAGAAACTCAGCGGGCTGATGCATGGGGATCACACAAATACATCAGCTGTTTGTTTATTGGAACGAAGTTCCTTATGGGACGATGCGGAGGGGGGTACCCACCCTAACCGGGAAAAAACGTCCGTAACGTAAGATTTTTATTAGTAATGCACACAGTGTACGACGACTTATGTTTGTATTAACGTACAAAAATATATTTTTATTAATCTTATCTATTATATTTCTTATAAATCATTGTGGATAAAATAAAGTTGATAACTTTGTAAAGTATTTTTTTTTTATCAATATAAAAATCATAATAAAAAATGTATACCCGAATAATTATTTTCTTTATACCTCGAATAGAACTTAAAATTAATATTTTTATAATAAGAAACTTCGTTCCTATCCGGTGTCCCACGACACCACACATCTTTTTTATCGCTTAGATGATTGGACAAGCTCACGGTCTACCCGGTGTTAAGCGGTTACCGGAGCCCGTAGACATCTACAACGTAAATGCCGCCACCCACCTTGAGACATGAGTTCTAACGTCTCTTTACATTACAACGGCTGCCCCGCCCTTCAAACCGAAACGCATTACTGCTTCACGGCAGAAATAGGCAGGGTGACGGCACCTATCCGCGCGGACTCACAAGAGGTCCTACCACCAGTGAATGAAATATCTTCGGCAAGTGTCTTGTACAATCAATTCTAATTAGCCGTATACTTTTCGCAGTTAAGAAATAACACTGTCATATGAACATGACTAATTATTACTGCTATGTGGCGAGCGCGTATGACAATACTGGCATATATACATACAGGGTGTTTTTTTTCCCTACCTGTTCCCTGGTCTAGAGGACTATTCCAGCTACAGTCGGACGGGTAGGCAAGCTCACGGGCTCAACCTAAGAAAATTAGTCGGCCGGAATTAATTAGGCCGGGTTTAGAGGTCTGGAGATCTAGAGGCAAGAGAAGAGCCCAGGGCCCTTGGCCCCAAATTATTATCCAAATAAAATGTACGGTATTATCAGTCGAGTTTTTCAATAAGATATTCATTATGATATGTGTGTACCATCGGAGACAAGAATTATCTGTAATTAAATTTTCCGAGGAAGAAAAATACGTTTACTAGTGTTAACTATGTCGGAATTTGAAAGATTTTTTTTCCTAAGTCTCTGTTGTTGTCGGGCCCTACGTTTCTGGAGGCTCGGGTTGTCCTTCCCTAAATCCGGCTCTGGTTGACAACGTCCTCAGGTTAGATACCCCGTGAGCTCACCTACTCGCTCAGAGAATCTAGTATGACCCCTTGAGGACACTAGAATAGATAAGAAGAAAAAAAAAACCACCCTTCGCCTCGCATAATCGCCACCAGTAACAAAATAAATGAGCGAATGAGGAAATGTCCCAATAATAATATATTTAGAAAAAAAATTTTTTTTTTTTATTGCCCTCTTAGGCGAGCTTACGGCCCACCTGATGGTGAGTGGTTACCGTCGCCCATGGACTTCAGCAATGCCAGGGACAGAGCCAAGCCGCTGCCTACCGCTTAATACTCTCCACAAGCCTCGTTTGAAGAAAGACATGTCATAGCGATATATATTTAGAAAAATAAAAGCATACCTTGATTCTCACTAATTGATTCCTGACCGATAAGAATTTCTTCTCGAGGATCTCTTTCATGATCTAAGAAGATAAAAATCAAACGTAAAGTACGCTGTAACTAACGGTTCGTCCACATTAAATTACTTGATAAATAAAATTTCAACGCAAATTTCAAGTTTCTTACGTTTTTTTTTATTGCTTAGATCGGTGGACGAGCTCACAGCCCACCTGGTGTTAAGTGGTTACTGGAACCCATAGACATCACCAGCGTAAATGCGCCACCTACCCTGAGATATAAATTGTAAGGTCTCAAGTATAGTTACAACGGCTGCCCCACCCTTCAAACCGAAACGCATTACTGCTTCACGACAGAAATCACAAATTGTAGTATAGGCGATCTCTTCCAGACAACTTTTTGTATCGACGTGTGCGATTAGCAGCGTTTTTTTTTTTTAAAGAATTTGGCTCCAACGCCTTTGCCATTGATTTTGTCAAAATATTTGATTGGGAGCGTTTGGAGTGCGTTCCAACCGACAACTCACCAGGTTGATGCAAGGCGCCATCGACTTGAGTTGCCTCCGCACTCTCTTCCTTGACTTAACCTCTTCGGAGTCCGTCTCCAAGGTGACAGTGTCCAGATTGTTCAAGTGCTCCCCGACCTGCGACAAGGCGACGTCGCACATGCGTCAACATAATAAAAATCACAATCAAATTGCTGATGTCCATGGGCCACGGTGACCAATCCCCATCAGACAGGTTGCACGCTCGTCTGCCTTCGAAGGCAGTAACAAAAAAACTAACAGTGTACCAAAGGCGCGCGAGGTCAACGACCTCGAGGGAACGCGACCAGCTGACTTCGCGTTTCATTGCGGGCTTAGTTTATAGAGAAATTAAGTAATATTTCCGTCGGCATTCGTGAGGCGTATACACACAATTCAAGCCAATTTTACATTACGGTTTTCAGAGACGACTAAAATTTGCTATAATAAAAATTTCCTAATAATTAAATAAACAAAAATAAAAAATGTGTGCAATTCACACGTGGTAGAAGTGAAACCTTCCAAAATTAAAATACAATTGTCCTAAACGTCTTAAGTATATGTAAAATTTTGACATTATTAAATAATTGTAAGGTAGCGCCCTCTGTGAATTGATATTTTAATTTCACGTATAATCCTAAATTAAAATTCACTACAAGAGCTTTCATACACACGTTAGTATTAAAAAAATCTCACAGATGGCGCTGTATTAAATAGTATGTATATTTCTGTCTCATTCCTTGCTGGCTTCATCCTACACATTTTTGTATTTGTGTCTCTTACCTGTCGTTTTTTCCGTTGCATCCGGTTTGAAATCACAACGATTCTAAAGAAGTTTTCACTTCAACAAACCTTATAAGCGTCGGTCAAATGAAGTTTTACTTCTATAGTTACTTTATAAGACTCTACACGTCTCAATGTGAGAGAAAAGAGACAGAGAATATACTTTATTGTACACCAATTAACATTAGAAAACGGTCAACAAGCAGATACGTTTGCACAATAGGCGGTCTTATCGTCAAAAGCGATTTTTTCCAGACAACCGTTTAATCACCCAAAATTCTGGACAGATAAAGATACAGCAGGCATGTTGTGTTCTACTATTAAGAATACATTATTAAAGAAAATACATACATACATAATAACATAATATTACAATAACAATATTACAATAATGTGGTGTCGAGTATTATTTACCTTAGCTTTCAATAGTTCGCCATATTTATGTACCACTACATTTATATTCTTGCAACGCAATAATTCTGGAACTGAAAATAAATATATTTTAATAACATCGTCGTCGAAGTCGTTGTGGCCTAACGGATAAGACGTCCGGTGCATTCGTGTTGAAGCGATGCACCGGTGTTCGAATCCCGCAGGCGGGTACCAATTTTTCTAATGAAATACGCACTCAACAAATGTTCACGATTGACTTCCACGGTGAAGGAATAACATCGTGTAATAAAAATCAAACCCGCAAAATTATAATTTGCGTAATCACTGGTGGTAGGACCTCTTGGGAGTCCGCACGGGTAGGTACCACCACCCCGCCTATTTCCGCCGTGAAGCAGTAATGCGTTTCGGTTCGAGGGTGCGGTAGCCGATGTAACTATACTGAGATCTTAGAACTTATATCTCGAGGTGGGTGGCGCATTTACGTTGTAGATATCTATGGGCTCCAGTAACCACTTAACACCAGGTGGGCTGTGAGCTCGTCCATCCATCTAAGCAATAAATAAAAAAAAACGTGTATCATTTTTGCTGAAATAAAATGGACGCACTGGAATTTACCCTCAAAATCAGTTTAATCATTATTCTAGTACCACAAATGCCATTTAAATACATAAATATATTTTTTGCCGAAATAAAATGGACGCACTGGAATTTACCCTTTAATCATTGTCCTAGTACCACAAATGATACTTTTTTTCTTTTGGGACCAGAGACCTCTGTGGCCGAACATGTCAAAAGCCCACTGCCTACACCATTCCCTTGCTGTCGCCTGACAAACCACCCCCTCTGGGACAAGTTTTTTTTTGCAAGTGCATTTTGCAAATGCGCAAGTTTGCACACAATGTTCCTTACAACTATAGGAAAAAACAACACGATAACGAAAACTAATCTACCTTATAATAAGGAAAAAAAGGCCTTGAGAGGCTATATCAGCGTGTAAGGAAATCATTTTACTCACAATATACATTTAACAATTACACTACCTAACCTAACTACTCAAAACAAAATAGGGCCCACCATGTTTCATAAATGAATTTTACAGATTCTTTTTCTTTTATCAGTTTTTATGATTAGGAATGAATAAATTAAGGCTTTTGAAAGTGTGTGAACATTAACAAGAGTAAGTTTTGCCAATTTTATGGAATTTAGTCAAAATTTACAGATTTTGATTTTTATTATTGACTAAATCAATGAGTTTGATGGTGCTTAATAGCGAGTAGGTTCTCCTTTGTTCCGTATGCACTCTCTGAAACTATCTGGGACACTTTCAATCAAGTGGGTGATGTTTTCCTCGGGTATTCGCTCCCAAGACAATTTTAGGGCGTTTATGAGCTCTTGTCGATTAGTCACATTACTGAAGTTCGATTTGAGGCTTCTTTTCAATTGGTCCCATAAATGTTCAATGAATGGGGTTAAGATCGGGACTCATGGCCGGCCACGGTAAAACCGTAATATTGGCTTCAGAGAGAGTTCTCTGGGTTGTTCGCGTTGTATGTGGGCGAGCATTGTCTTGCATAAAGACGAAGTTTTCACTCACTCTTTTTGAAAATGGGATGATATGGGGCCGAATTATTCGATCGACATACCGGGAGGCAGTTATGGGGCCTTTTTCCAGAATTACCAGCTCAGTTTTACCAAGCAAGCTTATTCCAGCCCACATCATAACATTTGGAGCTCTAAAACGATCCCTTTCACGTATGCAAGGTTCTGAAAAACGTTCTCCTTCTCTTCACACGCGCAGTTTAGATTAAGTAGTGTAATTTTAATAATGGGGGATGCCCTTGAACCTTTTTTAAGTAAAAATATCCAACTCAGTTGACGACTTTACCAATTCGTTATAGGTATAAAGACAGGAGCTAATACTACTAATACTAATGTACTTTCTTATGTGATGTTTTCAATAAAATCTTACCGTTCGTATTTTTTGTCACGGTACTGATTTCGAGTTCGTTGATCTCATCCCTGGGCATACCAGAAGCATCTTGGATGCTGTGCAGAGTGCTCTTAATAAACTCAAAGTCTGTAAAGTGAGGGTGCCTCTTGCGGTAAGCGAGACTCAACTTGAAACAGCTTCCCCTTGTCTCATCGTCCGATTCCATAATACGTTCGAGGCGTTGGGCAATTATCTGAAATATTTATGTGCAAAGTGTGTACAGTCTGGGCCATCCACTTCGACAAAGCGGCACGACACGAGAACCCTCTCATCGTGGCCGCCGGTAGCTACATTCCCGATCCTGCAGACAGAATCGAAAGCAGTCGACGTCGCCCAAAACACGTCATTTCGGATCCTCCCGATCCACAAACGGTGCTTTTAGGTACTTCAAGCAACGGTCACCGTTCTCGTCGAATCCGTCGCTTGCGACGAAGGGCTCGACGAGTAAATTAATCCACAGACACAGCCCACTGAGTTTCTCGCCGGATATTCTCAGTGGGTCACGTTTCCGAACCGGTGGTAGATTCTGCGAAGCACGGCTCTTGCTAGGGTTCGTGTTAGCAACGTCGTCAGGTTTGAGCCCCGTGAGTTCACCTACTAGTTAAGGTTACGCTGAAAGAGCCTCTCAAGGCTCTCAGCTAGGTAGAAAAAAAAAAAAATGTGTGCGTGTACTAGTGTACACACGTAAGAAGTGAAACTTCTTTATGGCCTTATTTTTCGAAAAATGATCTACATGCAACTTTCTAGAAATTGGTTAAATAAAGTTAAATTAGATAAAGTTTAAACAAAAGGATTTTATTATCATAGACATGAATACAAAAAAGTTAAATTAGATAAAGTTTAAACAAAAGGATTTTATTATCATAGACATGAATACAAAAAAGTTAAATTAGATAAAGTTTAAACAAAAGGATTTTATTATCATAGACATGAATACAAAAAAGATGGCGCGTAACGGAAAAATGTGACGCGTAACCGAAAAATGTGACGGTAAATTTTTTTCCAACGCCGATAAGGAAGTTTCACTTCAAAAACTGGTCCAATTATTGCCTGAGCATTATTATGTGACCTTTTTTAAGTTCAAACGTTCAAACATGTTTGAACAACATTAACAGCAGCAACATGGAAATTCAAAATCCAATCATTATTCAGTTATATTCGTTTAATAATAAGCAACTAGATATTATCAGTGCTTATAAGTTTGTAATGATCAGTAGGTACAATGGGATTTCAATTTTTTTATAATATGTTTAGTATGTTCTTTTTATCATAATAAATTCTAATCTATAAAACATGCAGAATTAATTACTAACTAACATCTAGTAGTTTAAAATAGAATATATCATTTTAGGCTCTCAGCTAGATAGAAGAAAAAAAAACGGATCCAATTATTGCTTTTTTTTTTATTGCTTAGATGGGTGGACGAGCTCACAGCCCACCTGGTGTTAAGTGGTTACTGGAGCCCATGGACATTTACAACGTAAATGCGCCACCCACCTTGAGATATAAGTTCTAAGATCTCATAAGTAGTAGTTACAACGGCTGCCCCACCCTTCAAACCGAAACGCATTACTGCTTCACGGCAGAAATAGGCAAGGCGGTGGTACCTACCCGCGCGGACTCACAAGAGATCCTACCACCAGTAAGAGCCTGAGCATTATTATGTGACCTTTTTTAAGTTCAAACGTTCTAATCTATAGATTTTATAAAACATGCAGAATTAATTACAAACTAACATCTAGTAGTTTGAAATAGAATCTATCATTTTAGTTCGAAACAGATGCAGAACTGGGTAGGACGCTTATCCAGATGTAAGCATGACAAATGGGCTTACCAAACTACTAAATGGCTCGGCCCAAGAAGCAAACGAAATGTCAGGAGACAGGAGAAAAGATGGTTTGTTGATATAATAATGACTGTTGGAACAAGTTGGATGCATTTGGCCAAGGACAGCGACTGGTGGATAAAGATGGAGGAAGCTTGTACCCAAGAAGAGGCCACAGAGCAAAGAAAAAGAAGAAATACCTAGTCTATAATCTGATATATATTTGCTTTGTTAAGTGGAAATGTAGCTAGAATAATAATAGCATCTATTAATAGTTATTTTAGAGAGACCACAATATTATCATTGTAAGAGGGTTGTTTGTTAATGTATGCACATTATTTTTCATTTCTTTGGTCCCAATATGTACCATCATGTTAATTTTATCCTGTTCCCAATATGTAGCATCATGTTAATTTTATCCTGTTGACGACATTAATACACAAACAAGTTTTTTTTTCTACCTATGCTGATAGCCTTGAGAGGCTATTTCAGCTTTACCCTAACGAGTAGGTGAGCTCACAGGGCTAAAACCAGAAGTGTAACTAAGACTGACCCTGGCAAGAGCAGTGCTTCGCAGAATCTACCACCGAATCGGAAACGCGACCCACTGAGAAGATCCGGCGCGAAACTCGGCAGACTTTTGTTAAAAATTTTGTAGGCAATTTAGAAAAAGACCCCTTTGCATTGTGGATAAACTATTGGTGTTATGGGCAGTTATACCTACACATATCTATACAGATCTACTTCTCTCACAGATATACACAGATATTCAACACCTTACCTTTCTCATTCCCAGTATAAGCTTTTTTCCAAGTTTCTTATTCATCACAAATGCTCCTGGAAACTTGTGATTATATTCAGATATAACTTCTTTTATTGTATTTTCCAGAACCTAAAAATGACATAATAAATTGTGTCTGCTGTAAGCGAGCTAAGTGAGTCTAGCATCGTATTTTTGAAATCTCTCAAGCCCAAAAGCAAATGGACAACGTTTGTGTTCCTGAATTTACAGACTAACTGTTTACTGAATTCATCTGAATGTCTGTCATTTCAACAAATTCAACAATAATATGTGCCGCCCGAAATGAGCTTATCATGTAACACATGCATTCGACGAGTACGGTTACCGGGATCCCTAAGCCTGCTCCTAGTGTTAGAGCTGAAGACGTCTAATGCTAAGGCTATTGGATCTGATGGATCCGTAAGGACGTATGAAGTTAGCTTATCATGCATGTGCAGTAAGGTTGCAATGTATCGAGCCATTATGAAGTCAGACAGTCGCACATAACTCGTCAACTAATACAGTCACATTATACATTGTATATAAACCTCGTTAATCAGTGTTCAGCAAGTGTAACATCTATGTATATAAAAATGAATTGCTGTTCGTTAGTCTCGCTAAAACTCGAGAACCGCTCGACCGATTTGGCTAATTTTGCTCTTGAATTATTTGTGTTAATTATTTCCAGAGAAGGTTTAAAAGGTATATAAATATAAAAATACTCTGAATGAAATAAAAATAACAAATTTGTTTTCCCTTTGATGTGTCCCCCGTCGGACGGATTCCTTTTGTTTGTTTTAAGTTTATTTTATATAAAAGTTTAGGTCTTTTATTTATCGATTGAGGTACTACGAAGTCTGCCGGCTCAGCTATGTGAAATATTTTTGAGTCCAGAGAAGGTTTAAAAGGGTGATAAATATGAAAATGCTCGGAATCAAATAAAAATAAAAATTTTTCGGACGATTTCTTTTGTTTGGTTTAAGTTTATTTTATACAAAAGCTTAGGTCTTTTATTTATCGATTGAGGCACTAAGAAGTCTGCCGGGTCAGCTAGTATCTAATAATAAATAAATAAATAGAATATATCTTAACTAGTCTTTGTCTGAACTTACTAACATGACATGACATACAAAAGAATATGTAATTACCAAAAGCACAAACAGACTAAGCAGTAAATCAATCAAAATTTCACCAGCCATATTACTATTCGTGCCATTCTATCATAATTGAAAACATTTGTTGCTTACTGTTTTTGTTGTGAATAATGTTATTTACTCAATTAACATTACAGCCTAGATTATAAATTAATGTAATTCTTAAAACAAGACATTATTTGTAACAAGTTTATATGTTTTTTTTTTCAAAACCTCATAGGACGTACAACCATCCTATATAGTTGTGTTACAAAGCAAGCTTTCCAGTTTGATAGGATAGTTGTTATGAATATCATTATAACATTTGAGCTTATTCGATCGAAAAAAATAAAATTAAATGATGTTACCTCTGTAGGACTCCCCTCGATTGGAATGTTAAGTCTATGTTTCAACTTTGGCGGTATAGTTCTTGGTTTCTTTGATACTTTTAACTGAAATGTAATATTTAATTTTTAATACTGTAAAATAAATTGAAGTATAAAAAATGGGTGGGTACCACCGCCCTGCCTATTTCTGCCGTGAAGCAGTAATGCGTTTCGGTTTGAAGGGTGGGGCAGCCATTGTAACTATACTGAGACCTTAGAAGTTATATCGCAAGTTGAGTGGCGCATTTACGTTGTTGATGTCTATGGGCTCCAGTAACCACTTAACACCAGGTGGGCTGTGAGCTCGTCCACCCATATAAGCAATAAATAAAAAAATAAATAAAAAAAAACACAAAATTAAAATTTGTTACTTTGCTACTTTCTTTTGAATGAAATTCAGAGAACAGTTATTCCACCAGTGGAGTAACGTTCCAGTTTTTAATGTATTTTTTTCAACTGACAAACTTATGCAACTGAACTTATGTTGATATAGCTTTCCTTAGGGCTAAAATATGCCAAAGTACACAAAGGTATTTACTAGGTATTTTTATCATATTGAGATTTGCTCAATGACATTTGTCAGACATAAAATAGTTTAAAAGAACTAACAAAATACGGTCTTGTAGAAAATCCAACAAAAAAATTAAAAATGTGCTTTTCAGGATATTATCAAAATAACCCTTTAACCCTTCTTGTTCATAAAATATTTATAACTACTGATACCATGCACCCCATGCTTTTTTACAATAAAATATATTTTTTTACACTATTTTTAATTCAAATTTATTAAAATTTATTTTCTATTTTTTTAGTTGGATTTTCTATAAAAGCGTATTTTGTTAGTTTTTTTAAAATATTTTTTATTTTTTATTATGTAGCTGAATTTCATTTTTTTTCAATTTTTTTTCTTTTGAATTGTTATCGGTTCTTAATAAGTACACCAAATTTCGAGTTAATCCGACGTTTTGAAGGGGGGTCAAAATCATGTTCAAAGATTCCGTTACAAACATACATACGTCTGAAGCTAATAAAAGCGTATTAAAAAAAGGGTAGTTGTTTTAGTTGCAGATAATATGTAGATCATACACAGGACTGTGTGAGCCAGTGAAAGTAGTTTTCATTATATATACGAAAATAATAACTCACTTGTGGCACAACCTCCGGTATGCGTGCATTAATTCTATAGCATCCAAATGTAGCTCTGTTCAGTCTGTTCACTACTGTATGAGGATTGAGGATTTCTGACAATTTTAAGTAGCATGCTCTGCCCTCCTTAGAAGTGGCAAAGTTCAAAGCCGAGAAGTTTCCTCTTATCACAGTAGCCAGTTTTCGGACAATCATTGATAAATCCCACTGAAAAATATTAATTTGAACATTAGTTTTTCACGTATCTCCGTAGCGGAAAATATCAGAATCAATGTTCAAAAAAGCGCCAGTTTGCGCTAAAACCGCCAAAAAACGCAAACGAACACTATGAACAAAAAAATGTGCATGATCTTTTTTTTTAATATTCATTTGAATTACATAAATCAATTAAATACGATTTAAATTAAATGTCAGATTTTCCCTTAAGATCGTGTATTTGAAAATCTAGTATTAAAATAATATAAACATAATTACGGAGAAAAAATTATTTACCTTCGGTGGAAAATGTCTGACCTCAATAACAGACATGACTCTTTTGGTTAGATTTACTTTAATAATAGAGTTAATTAGAGTTAGGGTTACTTTAGTGTTTTAAACTATTTAATGAGGTTATTTAATAATTAACTTTCTTTTATTTTACCACAAATTCTACACACCCACACAGAAAGTAGTAGGTTGTCAAATGTCAATTAGTGCTTAATGAATAATCTATGGTAGTAGTAGTTTTATTTTTCCAAACGTAAAGGCAAAGATAACATACCATACACCCTAATCTTTTATATATTTATTTTATTTTATGAAATATGGTGCTATGAAATGAAATGAAGTTGATTAATATGAAACATGGCATGAAATTAAATGAGATGAGATGATATAATATGGGATATTTTTATGGAAAATCATAATACGAAGTGAAATGAAATGAAGATGATTAATTTGAGACATTAATCAACTGGGATGAAATTAAATTAAATGAGATTAGATGATATGGGATGAAATATGTAAAATGGTGGTTTACTGAGATTTTTTACTGGTTTACTGGTGGGTAGGACCTCTTGTGAGTCCGCGCGGGTAGGTACCACCACCCTGCCTATTTCTGCCGTGAAGCAGTAATGCGTTTCGGTTTAAAAGGTGGGGCAGCCGTTGTAACTATACCGAGACCTTAGAACTTAAGATGGGTGGCGCATTTACGTTATAGATGTCTATGGGCTCCAGTAACCACTTAACACCAGATGGGCTATGAGGTCGTCTATCAATCTAAGCAATAAAAAATAAAAATTTTTTTTTTTCATTGGACTTTATGGAGGATCCCCATAAGTTACGCCCGCAACTTCTAGGAAGTTCACAGAAGGTTGTCGATCAGTGGACTTGGATCAAGTAGAGATCGTCGCGAGCCGCCATTTTCATTTTATGAGGACGCCTAAATACTTCCAATCATTGTGGAATTTGTTTAACCGGGATAGATCATTTAGTTCAAAAGTTACACCGTTTTGTTTACACCGCAGTCACAGTAGTGAACAAAAATTTAAAAAATTCCGTAAAAAAAAAAAAAATTGCATTTTTTTTATATTTTTCTCTCGATAAAATTAAGCATAGATTCCCTCATTTCGATTTGTGCACATTATAAAGAATCACACTGTATATATTAAATTCAGTGTTGTTAGTATAACGGAAAAATAATGTCATTAAATCGATATATCGAGTACTTTTTTAACTTAATAATATTCCAATTTATTTATTTAGGTACTGTTCTTGCTTAGACGGCTGAACCAGCTCACGGCGCATCGGTTGTTAAATTTTTAGTTGAACCCATAGACATTACAAATATGAATGCCTCTAACCCCCCACACGTCTAATCTCTAATTTTCAATAGATTAGTAAATAAGCTTAGAAAAATTCTACCCGCCTAAACATTACCATATTCACATACACCAAGCGCCTTATTCTTTAGGTCACGACGAATTCAGATCTGAAATTGCCTATATTATAGGGAGATTTAAGAGACTATATAAATAGCCCCATTTGCTCTACTACTGGGAGCTTGGCTATATCTTTGTCTGTAGTCAACAAACACGATTATTTAGAGTATTTATTTTCCAAGATAATTGAAATTAACAATGCTAACCACTGCCCTGAATATAAATATAAATTATATATAACTCCAATACAAATTTTGTTTCCCTGAAAATTAAAGCAATTTTTATAATTAATCTTCTTTTATTTGTGCAATTTTTTTGTAAATAATAAAACAACATAAGTAACAATCTTATTATCTTTATATTGTAAATAACTATTGTATATTGAAATATGTCAATAATATGATAATAAAAAAATTATAAAGTATCTAAGGTATGATACAAATCATAAAATAAAAATGGTAAAGTAATTAGCTTAAAACTAGAACTTTTTTTAAAGAATTCCCTTTGATAATACCCATACTAGACTAAATATCTAATAGCGTATTAAAGGTTTGATTTGGTGTATTGTTTTACAAGACTCATCTGCCCATGTCAAGAACTCATCTCGTAGAGTCAATACACATTCTATAAGTATAACACAGTCATCTTCTGCTCTGTGTGCATTTACTGCATCTTTATCAAGTAGTCTTTTATATAAACCAGTCAAAGTAAACTCCCTCTTTTTAGTACTTTTATTTTGTATTGACAAACTTTGATCTTGAGTTGAAAGGTCATTCTTATTTTTCCGACCCTGCTTTAAATTCGTACACTTTTGCTGATTTAAATCATTTTCTTTTTTACTTTTTTCATCATCAATACATGTGTCTTTGCTAAATGAGGCACACAGATTATCAATTTCTTCCCAATTTTCTGTAGACACGTCGAGTTCTGGCCATAGCAATTCACTAGCACTATCGTCTTTGCTAGTATTCATTTTTAACGGTAATGACTTCTGAGTGGTCTTTAGAATTTTTCGGAAGCCAATCAAAGAGTCTATGCACAGTAAGTCACTTGGCAACAAAATGCCTGCATCGTTGCACTCTGCTAATAATATCTTATAATCGAATGAATTTCCATTATGCGCGACTAAACATATAGGCTTCGGAAGTTCATTTAAAAAAGATACTATAGCATTTGCTCTCTGTTTAAATGTCGGCGCATTCTTTAGTGACTCATTCGTTAGGCCAGTCAAAACTACAACATCAGGATGAATTTTCTTTTCTGGGTTCAGTACGAAAGACAACTTCTTAATGGGTGGCAGACCTGATTGTATATCTAGATCATCTCTAGACACTGCCAAAAAACATAATTCGGTGATCTTAGTTTTATTTCTTTCTTGAAACGGCAAACCTGTTGTTTCGATGTCGAAAAATACGTAAGTTGTAATTCGAACCATTTTATGGATGATCTTTTGCTACTTGCAACTTCTGTTTTATTAAATTAAATTTTCATGTTGGAATAAAATTAAACTTTTACATGTTTATTTTTTAGAAACTTTTTCTTCTTTATTTTTTGGCTCCGGCACGGTTCGTGCATTAGCCAGCGTCAAGTAATAAGATTTTTATAATTAACAGCTTTTTTGTTTTATTGCTTAGGTGGGTGGACGAGCTCACAGCCCACCTGGTGTGAAGTGGTTACTGGAGCCCATAGACATCTACAACGTAAATGCGCCACCCACCTTCAGATATCAGTTCTAAGGTCTCAAGTATAGTTAGAATGGCTGCCCCCGCCCTTCCAACCGAAACGCATTACTGCTACACGGCAGAAATAGGCAGGGTGGTGGTACCTACCCGGGGGAAATCACAAGAGGTCCTACCACCAGTAATGGCATAAAATTAAATTAAATGAAACGATATGGGATGAAATATAATTTCAGTAAAATGGTGGACATTTACCGAGACTTTTTTCAGTGGAATTTTTGGAGGATCCCGAGAAGTTTCGTTTGTAACACAGTAATATTAACTGCATAATTTTAAAGCGACCCATGAATTGCATTAAGTGATTCTAGCAGCCCGAGCATGCGAGCCCTCTGCATCGGAACATCTTTTGTTCGAACATGTATAAAAAGGCATGCTACCGCTGAGCCACGCACACTTCGATAAAGCGGCACGACACGAGAACCCTCTCATCGTGGCCGCCGGTAACTACATCCCCGATCCTGCGGAAAGAATGGAAAGCAGTCGACGCTGCGACGTCGCCCAAAACACGTCATCTCGGATCCTCCCGATCCACTGAAGGTGCTTCTAGGTACTTCAAGCACCAGTCACCGTTCTCGTCGAACCCGTCGCTTGCGACGAAGGGCTCGACGAGTAAATTAACTCTCAGACACAGCCCACTGAGTTTCTCGCCGGATCTTCTCAGCAGGTCGCGTTTCCGATCAGGTGGTAGATTCTGCGAAGCACGGCTCTTGCTAGGGTTCGTGTTAGCAACGTCGTCAGGTTTGAGCCCCGTGAGCTCACCTACTAGTTAATGTTACGCTGGAATAGCCTCTCAAGGCTACCAGATTAGGTATGAGAAAAAAAAAAGGTGCCACTCATTCAGAAGCCGCGCCATATAGCCGAAAGTAAGCACAGAGTACGCTGATAGTTAACTGTATACGAATTTTACATTCAAGTTAATTATTAGTGCCCGATTTGTGATATCGGGTTCCAATAGTCCCGTCAATCGAGACTTTTTGTTTTGTAATTGGAATACGCTCCACGGAACGTCCCGTAACGTATCGGAATCAAAATCTGATCCTATAACCTTTCGACTGATGCCAAGGAACTGGAGTATCATCGATAGACCCCAGGATCCTAGTCTTCTGAATCGCCTTAATTTAAAAAAATACGTATAATTCTTTTATTGTAATATTTCGACGCAGATCGATCATAATATTTAGCCTAATTTAATTTTGTAATTATATTTAACCATGTGTAACAATCTAGTTAAGCAGCTTAATAGTTCTTTTTATATAGTTGTTTCCTCTTATTGTATATTTGTGTGCTTTAGTTTAATATATGTTTGCTCAGTGCGCAATTGTAGCAATTACCGAACAATAGCCCTTGTGTCGCACGCTAATAAGATCCTACTCCACGTCATAAACAGCAGACTAAAATAGTTCCTTGACTGGCAGATACCTCAGGAGCATGCGGGTTTTGTTAGGGGCACAAGAGAGCAAAATCTAAGCTTGCGATCATTGTAGAGAAATGCTACGAGTACAACACACCTGTATTTATGCGCTTCGTTGATTAACAAAAGGCCTTTGATTGCGTGAAATGGGAGAAACTGTGGGAGATCCTAAGTGAAATAGGAGTTTCGGGTCATCTTATTATGTTGATTCGCAACCTGTACGAGTCGGGGTTTGGGTCTGTCTCTATCGAAAATGCCACTTCAAGTAAATTTCGTTTCCAAAAAGGAGTCCGGCAAGGATGTATTATCTCACCTATTCTCTTCAATATATATGGGGAATATATAATGGAAAATATAATAATATATAATATAGGATGGCAAGCGAAAGCATGGCGGACAGCTCCTGCTGTACAAGGATGTCGTGAAACGACACATGAAGAGATGTGATATAGAGCCCTTTCAATGGGAGCGCTTGGCAGTACAGCGGTCAGAATGGCGCAGGATGGTGAATAGCAAAGTACGCGAGTTCGAGGATCAGCGTAAAGCTGACCTTGATTACAAACGCGACCAGTTGAAGGCCCGCCCACCTGCTGCCATAACCTATAATTATAAGAACGGCGTGCTTATGTGCCCTCAATGCGCAAGGAGCTTTGCCGCGAAGATAGGCTATATAAGCCATCTTCGAGCACACGAGCGCCAAATCGACGGGTAGCAGTCAAAGTGGTCGCCATGGCCGAAATCGGTCGGATGAATCATCATCATAATGCGCCATACTTTAGAAAACTGGGAAGGAGGCGTTAGAATAGGTGGAGTTCAGATAACGAACCTGAGATATGCCGACGACACCACACTTCTTGCATCATCTGAAGCGGAGATGAAGGAGCTTCTGGACAGATTAGAGGCTATAAGCCTAAACATGGGACTAGCAATTAACAAAAGCAAGACCAAGCTGCTAGTCGTAGACCGCTTCTCATCCACCCAGCGTACGGACCTTCTGGCGGAATACGATGCCGTAGACCAGTTTGCCTATTGGTTCTGTGATCACGGATAAGGGGAGTTGTGAGCCTGAAATACGCCGACGTATTGGAATGGTTAAAACAGCTATGACGCAGTTGAGCAAAGTTTGGAAAGATCGTAATATTTGGAATAGGACCTAAATACATCTTGTGCAGTCACTGATCTTTCCAATCGCTCTCTATGGAGCAGAAACATGGACCATAAAAGCAGCTGACCGTAACAGAGTTGGCGCCGCCTATTAAGGATTCCATGGACAGCCCACCGCATGAACATCTCGGCCCTACAACAGCTTAAAATGGAGATCGCTCAACGTCTGTCTAACACCTGTCTGCAACGCTTAATGCGCTACTTTGGCCACGTTGCCCGCAGAGGTGTAGACAACTTGGAACGACTGATGGTAACTGGAAAAGTACAAGGAAAGTGTCCTAGAGGCCAGAGCCCCAAACATTGGTCCTACCAGATCTCCGAGCAAACCAACGGACCACTTAGCGCTGCACTACACCAGGCAACTGACCGGAACCGATGGAGATTGGCAGTCGACAAGCTGAAACGGAGTCACGACCCTCAGCAATGAGGGAGCGATGGAGAAGAAGTGCTGCACTTCGTTTTTTTATTTAAAAGGCGCCCTGTGAATTTTTTTTGTTAGAACTCATACTCTCCACTGTGGCTATCGGTTGGTGTAACGCTTACCGTTACACGTTCAGCGCCTTTGTTTCATTTTCCCACATTTGTGCACTTTTAGAGACATTAAACAGTTAATAAACCACCGTTATTACACATTTATACCTGAAGATACACTAAATAAACAAAATAAAACAAATCACACAACTTCACTCCCCACGTAGTTAAGTCGGGCACCTCTGCTGACGCATGTCTGCAAAGGCAGATCTTCGGCGAACTCAACTGCTGAATTGTGGAATTCGCAGACGACGGCATCCGCTGGACCGGTGGTCCGATGCCCTTCCCGTTAGATTAAGATTAGTAATAAGTTAGTCTTAAGTCAGATTTGGTACGGAATAAACGTTCATAAAATATAATTTCTATTTTTTANATCTTCGGCGAACTCAACTGCTGAATTGTGGAATTCGCAGACGACGGCATCCGCTGGACCGGTGGTCCGATGCCCTTCCCGTTAGATTAAGATTAGTAATAAGTTAGTCTTAAGTCAGATTTGGTACGGAATAAACGTTCATAAAATATAATTTCTATTTTTTAAAACGTACTCCGCGTGGCCCGCAACTTGACTACGTTCCCGCCAAAAAGTTCAGTAACAAATCATAAATACTACCATAGATATTTTTTAGTACAAGTTTCCTTATTAGGAAAGGCAAGGGGATCTTAGCCCATACTGCCTTCTATCATAAATCATTTTTAAAGAGACAATACTAGGTACTCACTAATATTACATATGAACTCTTTTCGATTTATTGAAGATCTATTCAATAAACAGAACAGTTCATTTATAATTTGAAAAGGGATATTGTATAAATCGTAATCGATAAAATATGTAAACCAAATCGTTTTTAATGCTACCACCTAAAACATACCCATAAATTTCTTTAGAAGAAAGAAGTATAAGCATTTAGTAATACCGGCTTCTTTATTTCCTTGCTAGCTTGCTTCCTGATCATAGTATTAAAATCATAACGTCTTTTAAATCGATGCCAACGCTGTTTAAAGATGATATTATTCATAATATTATTAATATTATATGCATAAAAAATATATATGATAACTGACCTTTATACTTCAATGAATTTGAGATATAATTTAGATTCCTTTGGTACCTGTTAATATTCAAAGATACCAGTATCCAAACTTTTGATCAGTATCTCTACTTCCTGTAGACTTTTTGGCGGGAACGCAAGGATTGAAGTTGTGCGAATTGTTTTGTTTTGTCTACTTAGTAGTTCTTCAGGTTTAAATGAGTCATTACGATGGTTTATTAACTGTTTAATCTCTGTGAAAGTGCACAAATGTGGGACAATGAAACAAAGCCGCTGGATGTAACTTCTTGGGATCCTCCAAAATTTCCACTGATAAAATCTCAGTAAATGACCACCATTTTACTAAGATTATATTTCATCCCATATCATCTCATTTCATTTAATTTCATCCCAGTTGATTAATGTCTCAAATTAATCATCTTCATTTCATTTCACTCCATATTATCATTTTTCATAAAATTAAGAATATAAATTAAAATAAGACATGACTTAAAAGCCTTAATTACCAGGTCGTAAAATCCTTTTAAAAAAAATTGTGTAAGCGACACAATAAATACATGAATCTTATTAAATTAAAATTCAATTTATTACCTAAAAAGTATTTTATTAGTGGAATAAAAAACAAGCTACAATACTGAGTAATTACTTTATAGAACGTACTATAAAAAGGATTTGAGTCAGAAGAATTGCTAGACATTGAATAATTGTATTTAGGAAGAATATAAGCAGCTGCCTATGTATCTAAAGTAAACTTCATGGAAAACTCGGAAAAAGAAAACAAAATAACTGAAACCCCAATGGTATGTATGTAAGAGTGAATTTCAATTGTTTAAATACATAAATTGTCAAGTTCAAAATGTCTATTAAAGTTTTTATCAAATTTATTCTTATTCTGTTCTTTCTAACCGGACTTTCAAACCTGTAGATAGTGTTATTAGTTATGTTAACTACTTGCCCAGTAGATAATGGCCCGTATGCAACAATGTTTACATAATGATTGCTTTTCTAAATCATCCTATGCTTATGTGACACAATCTCTATATATAAAAATGCATTGCTGTTCGTTAGTCTCGCTAAAACTCGAGAACGGCTGAACCGATTTGGCTAATTTTAATCTTGAATTATTTGTGAAAGTCCAGAGTAGGTTTAAAAGGTAGATAAATAAGAAAATGCTCGGAATTAAATAAAAGTAACAATTTAGCTTTTCCTTTGATATGTCCTCTGTCAGATAGATTCCTTTTGTTTGTTTTAGGTTTATTTTATACCAAAGTTTAGGTCTTTTATTATCGATTGAGGCACAATGAATTCTGCCGGGTCAGTTATTTAAAATAAAAATACCTNGTCAGATAGATTCCTTTTGTTTGTTTTAGGTTTATTTTATACCAAAGTTTAGGTCTTTTATTATCGATTGAGGCACAATGAATTCTGCCGGGTCAGTTATTTAAAATAAAAATACCTTTCCGAGCTCTACATTAGTTAACCCACTGAAATGAGGTCGCAGGTAGAACTAATTAAATACACAATAAAGATAATTTATAATTTATCACATATATCCATCTGATATTTTTAGGAACTTTGGGCGTCTAGTTATTATTGTATTGGCTAAATATATGATATTGTATTCTTTAAAAAAATGTTTCGAGCCCCAGGGCTTAAACTAGCCTTTTTTTCCACTGGAGAAAATCGGACGGGTGGGGTGTGTGGGAGTCGAACCTTACTAAAAACTCCTGCCTCTCCCAGCCGGCGCCCTACCCCGGACCGGGCGGGAACCCAGTCGGAGCTATTGAGACGGCGGGATAAGGTTTACGCTGAGCATATTACATCCATCCCGCTGTCCCCCAGACGCCGGACTGGCGGCCGCCAGCGTCACGACCACCGGTTCCCTCGGTCGACGGGCCAAGTGCCGGCATTGATGGCGCCGCGCTACACCTTCCCTTAGAGCGGTCAAAGGAACGCAGCCTACCACGCCACCCCACCACCCCACACCTTTGTTTCTCCGCGCACAAAGCGGGTGGAACCCGAAGCTCTTAGGGGGCCGGGTTACGGACGGGACCCCGATCCCGACCCTCTGCTCGGCGGCGGCGGATTTCTGCGTAGTGAGGATAGCTTTGCCTCACTCGCCCCGCCGCCTCCTTCTGCGAGATGGTGCACTCGCAGAAGTCGAGCATAGCCTTCCAAGACTCGTCGTCGCCAAACATCGACGTCACGACGCCAGGCAGCGACAAGTCCGGTCCTATCTTTGCGACAAGGACACGGCGTTGCACCTCCCAAGCGGGGCAGACAGCGAGCGTATACTCCGCCGTGTCCAGGGCGTGTCCACAATGGTGTTACCTCGTCGTCGGCTCAGCTCCTATCCGGTGCAGGTACTTCCCGAAGCATCCGCGCACAGTCAGTACCTGCACCAGACGGTGAGGCGTCCTCGGCCACGATTCACCCAGTCATCAAAGACTGGGTAAACCGCCTCGACGGTCCGTAGACCCCACGTGGGGTTGGCCAATCGCCTCGACCACGATTCGAGCACGGACCGCCGAGAATGGGCCTTCCGCGCCCGCAGCTCACTTTTGGAGGGACGCGCCACGCCCAGAGCACGAAGCTCGTTGCGCCACCGATAGTCGGCAGCGAGCGACTCCGCCTCCAGATCCCACGGCGGCTTCGCCGCCAACACACACGCCACCTCGAATGAGACGGTGCGATATCCGTGGACGACCCTGATAGCAACGGTGCGCTGTGGCCGGCGCAGGAACCGAGCCATAGCAGCCCGGTTGCGCGGCTCAGCCCATACAGGCGCACCGTACAGGGCCATCGATCGCACCACCCCCGCGTAGAGGCGGCGCACAGCCTGATCCGGCCCCTCGATATTCGGGAGCAGTCGGCTCAAAGAACCGGCTGTCCTCATCAATCCTAGTGTTAGTTGGGCGCACCTTTTAACATCATTAGAAATATTTATGTATCAATTTACAGGAAGATAAAAACAATGAGGAGCCTGATTGGCCGCACATACCGAAATTTAAGAAACACAAAGGGAGACTTGTGTCAGAAATGAGAGAACTAATGTACGGGTATGCTCAGCACCGTAGAATGGATATATACAAGAGGCTACTCCAGGTAGAGCTGTGCAGAAATATAGCACTGATCCACGAGGAAAACGGTTACGACTGTATGGATGTTGAGAATCGACCTAGGGGATGTGCTGTCTTCAAACATGCATACAGGGAACGGTACCCTGCGGCGAATGACCATTTGATATTTCAGAAAATCAACAGGACCATCAGAGATTCTATGTGGCCTAATAGACTTGGATTTTCATATACTTTAAGTAAGTCTACAGCTCTTTTATAACTGCATTTTTTTTTTTTATTGCTCGTGAAGCCAGACGATCATACGGCCCACCTGATGGTGAGTGGTATCCGTCGCTCATGGATGTAAGCAATGCCAGGAGCAGAGCCAAGTCGCTACCTATATATCAGTATAATATATTGTTTCATAGAAAGACACACTTATGATTTATACTGTTATGCGCTGGGGTTCGGGATAAATAAAACCTCCACCGAAGTACAAATTAAACTCTATTAAACACTTAAAACACTCACAGAACATTTTATAACTTGTAATTCTCTTTTTCTGCTTTGCTTCAGATGATCCCTTCGCTGTTTAGCTTCGAGTAGATCTGATTTAGATATGTATTTCCGCTTTTTTTTTTTTTATTGCTTAGATGGATGGACGAGCTCACAGCCCACCTGGTGTTAAGTGGTTACTGGAGCCCATAGACATCTACAACGTAAATGCGCCACCCACCTCGAGATATAAGTGCTAAGGTCTCAGTATAGTTACAACGGCTACCCCATCCTTCGAACCGAAACGCATTACTGCTTCACGGCGGAAATAGACGGGGTGGTGGTACCTACCCGTGCGGACTCACAAGAGGTCCTACCACCAGTGATTACGCAAATTATAATTTTGCGGGTTTGGTTTTTATTACACGATGTTATTCCTTCACCGTGGAAGTCAATCGTGAACATTTGTTGAGTACGTATTTCATTAGAAAAATTGGTACCCGCCTGCGGGACTCGAACACCGGTGCATCGCTACATACGAATGCACCGGACGTCTTATCCTTTAGGCCACGATAACTTCTCAATTGACTATTTTTAAATATTTGACTATTTTTTGGCTATTTTTCTCGAGCGTTCTAGATTTTACTAGTTCTTTGGACATTCGACGATAGATGGCGTTACTCTTACCGGCGTAACAATACTAACGAAGATAAATACCTTCAATGTTGTTGGTGGTGAATAATATCTGTCACTCATGAACCTTAGCAATGTCAGAAGCACAGTCAAGGCGTTACCTACTATTTTCGGACCGTGGGCTGAACCTCCTACGAAATCCCCACATCTAGGGGAGCGTGCGGGGAATGTGGGTCTGCCCCGCAAAAGCGAACCTCGGGCCCAGGAGATGGAATTTAGGACAAGCCGCCTACTTGTTACGATGATATTATGATACTTGTTTTAAATGTGATGGTTTGGTAATGAGACCTTTGAGCCGAATCTTATATTTTCTTCGTACATTGTATTTTAATTTGGAAAATGATGAGAAGCTAAATCAGATGAAATTTATTAATTTAAGACTTTAAATCAATTGGGATGAAATTAAATGAAATAATGAGATTTGATGAGAAATACATAAGCTGGGGTGGTTATTTACTTAATATTTTTCAGTAGACATTTTGGAAGAACTTTCCTCAATTGTTGTTATCAGCTTTGTTTTATTTTTCCACATTCGTGGCCGCTACACATATGCGGAACGGCTTAAACCACCATTACCTCACACATTTAAACCTCTAGAAATGCTAAATGAATATTCTAAAATAAAACAATTCACACAACGTCGTTCCTCGCGTTTCCGTCGAAAAGTCGCTATAAAAAGTTTGGAATACAATGAACAGCCTGCTGACAATATACTTTTCACAGCATAGATCTGTCCTAATGTGCAGAATTGGTTCGGGCAGAGGTTCCTAAGTACCAACCACTTTCATTTATTGAGTCCATGCATTGTCGATTATCCTGATCCCAAGGTCGGTTAGGAACCTTCACTTCTACCAATTGCCTTTACTTATCTTTGAATTTTATGTTAAATGTTCCATGAGGGGTGCTGTGAAGAATTGTTTGGAATGATCCTGTCATCTCCTTTTTAACTATCACCAAACTAGTAGTCGTCAAGTTGAGTATTAAGTGGTAGGCAGCGGCTTGGCTCTGCCCCTGGCATTGGTGACTTCCATCAGCGACGGTAACCACTCACCATCAGTTGGAGTCATCAGAGGAGTATATCCTCTGCCTACAAGAGCAATAAAAAAACTGTTAGATTTTTGATTACCTAANGAATGATCCTGTCATCTCCTTTTTAACTATCACCAAACTAGTAGTCGTCAAGTTGAGTATTAAGTGGTAGGCAGCGGCTTGGCTCTGCCCCTGGCATTGGTGACTTCCATCAGCGACGGTAACCACTCACCATCAGTTGGAGTCATCAGAGGAGTATATCCTCTGCCTACAAGAGCAATAAAAAAACTGTTAGATTTTTGATTACCTAATAGTTGTACACACCGCAATAGTGCCATCCATATTTGGTCAGACATTGTTGTAAACCATAACGGTAATAGTATATTTTTATTCGTAGGGGACATATTGAGATCAGTGAACCCAAACCAAATGCAACAGTACAGGCAGATCGACTACAGTGATACAGTTTTTACACCCCAGCAAATAAGGGTATGTCGTTTTTTTTTTATAAATTGTCCGGCTTTCAATATTACTTACACAGCAAAACAACATACCCCACAAATGATCGACACCTTTACATTCTTACATACTTTCGGTAGACAGCGGCTCGGCTCTGCCCCTGGCATTGCTGAAGTCCATGGGCGACGGTAACCACTCACCATCAGGTGGGCCGTGTGCTCGTCTGCCGACAAGATCAATAAAAAAAAACGTAAAAAATTTAATAGTTCTAGTAAACAGTTGTATATTTAATTTTATCTCATATACAGTGATGGATTTACGCCTAGGTCTGTGAGGCCTTGGATGATTTTAGGGACTACATTTTTTAAATGCCAAATTTTCAGAGACGCTAAAAAATAAACACAGACCTTTGAAAATGAGTTCAGATTAAATTTTTATAAAAAAAATATAAAGTCGTTTTAAATTTAAAATAAAAATGTTGGATCAAAATTAATAAAATTTATTCTTACATTAAGGGCGGCGCGATAAAGGCGGCAAGCTCAAACCTAAATCCGTCACATGAAATTCCCATGGATGACCTAAGATAAAAATATCGTATTTGTATATTTTCGCGCCTGCCACACCCCAATGTATGCTGAACCCGATGTGTGCTACACATAAGGTGTGGGGTGGGTCATTGAGAATCGGTGGTCTAGTCAACTTTGTGTTGAATTGTTACCAAAGCCCATAATAGACTTAATATGTCTGCAACTAACGTTGATACACGGACCGGTTCTCAAAGAAACTTAACCTTGAACAGTATTGTACCATTATTGTACCCATTGCAATTATTTTTTTTCAGGACATGGACACTGGACCTTTATAAAAAACACATAAAAAAAATTCCAATAAAAAAAAATTGAATTCAATTTGGTTTTATTTTAAAACTAATATGAAACCTTTTTTGACCTACATAGTTGCTATTGATAGCAATTTGCTGTATAAAATACTCGTAGACTGTTGCCGAGTCTAGTGATTATCTGTATTTCCATAATGATCATTCCATAATAGTACAAATCAACACATTTTTTTATGGGATTTTATGACGGTTCACTGAATTTGACCCCTCTTTTCTTAATTAGAATAATTAGAAATCATTCAAATTTCTATATGTTTATTGTTTGTTAATATTCAATATCATTAAAAATAACTGAATTTATTAAAACCGCGCTAATCATACTTTAAAGACTAATTGGCCGTCTTCACTGACTTTTGTTGTTGAAGAATTGTTGAAGTTTTCAATATTTTTTTGATCTACATAAGAAATAATTAGAGAGTATAAACGCACTTGTTAACAAAACGCTAGTAAATACAGCCATTGCCAGCTGACTGACCAAACCGGCGCATGCGCAATGTAGGCTTGAGGTGATGGTTTGCTTATTAGATATAAAATAATTAATAATTGGGAATTTAATTATTTTTATGATCGAACAATCACCAATAGTCGTCGAACAAACGATAATTGATCAAAATTAATTAATCTGAGCGATAAAAATAAAGATATCTAGTAAGGAGGCCCACTTAAAGGTGATCATTTGTTTAATTAATTATAAATAAATAAAAGACGAACAAACGACGAACAAATAATAAAAAATAAAAAAAACGAAAATAAAAAGGGGGCCAAATTCAGTGAGCCTTTTAAGACCTGTAGGCCACGTCTTATTTTAATTTATTTCTTATTTTTATGGAAAATGAAAGTATGGAGTGCAATGAAATGAAAATTATTAGTTTGAGACATTAATCAACTGGAATGAAATTAAATGATATGGATATTTTAAGTCGTCGTGGCCTAAAGGATAAGATGTCCGGTGCATTCGTATCAAGCGATGCACCGGTGTTCGAATCCCGCAGACGAGTACCAATTTTTCTAATGAAATATGTACATAACAAATGTTCACGATCGGCTTCCACGGTGAAGGAATAACATCGTATAATAAAAATCAAACTCTCAAAATTATAATTTGCGTAATTACTGATGGTAGGACCTCAGGTGAGTCCGCAAGGGTAGGTACCACCATCCCGCCTATTTCTGCCGTGAAGCAGTAATGCGTTTCGGCTTGAAGGGTGGGGGAGCCGTTGTAACTATACTGAGACCTTAGAACTTATATCTCAAGGTGGGTGGCGCATTTGCGTTGTAAATGTCTATGGGCTCCAGTAACCACTTAACCAGGTGGGCTGTGAACACGTCCACCCATCTAAGCAATAAAAAAAAGGGATGAAATATAATCTCTGTAAAATGGTGGTCAGTTACTGAGATTTTTTCAGTGGACTTTTTGGAGGATCCCGAGAACTTATGTTCAGCGGCTTTGTTTCATTTTCCCACATTTTTGCCCTTTCACAAATATTAAACAGTTAATAAACCACCGTTAATACACATTTAAACCTGAAGAAACACTAAATAGACTGTAACACCAGAAAATTTCCTTTCAATTAATTTAAACCTTTTTTTTTAAATTAACGCCATCTAGCGTTTGTACGTGGCGCAGTGTGGAGAATCCGATACCTTCTTTTTTTTAAAGTTCAGTAACTGGACACTGCATGTCGTGACTGTGCGATTTTGTCTGTTATTCGACGACAAACTTTTCATATCACTGGCATGCAGAATCTTCGAGAAACGACACCTTATTAATATAAAAGGACAAGTTCACTTTGTCTAACTCTCTTTCATGTAACATCTCTGGTGCTGCGAGGTGATTAAGTTCATTACTTTACCAAAGTCAATTTTATTAACCCGTGGTGACGTGTTAAGCCAGGGTAAGTGTACTTGAATTATTCTCCACACTGAGTCCACAATCTATAATTAAATAAATTTTAAAACATAATGTCTTGACACGTAGGTCCTTATAACGGGTACAAACTATGTACTCCAGTTAGGGTGCGGAGCGTGACCTTCTGATCACCTTTGGAATCCCATAGTACCTTTCTATATGGACGTTGCCAGAAACGGGGAGCTCTAGCAAGTCCGTCCAAGGAAGGCTGCTTGACTTCGGTAGAAATAGGACACACCCGCATTCCTAGCCTCGCTCCCATACAGCAACCCCGGTTGCTGGGAAGTGATCCCGGTGAAGCGTATTGTTTCTTTTATTTGTATTAAAACTTTCTCGAGTGTTCAGTGTATCTACCGACACACCTTCTTTATTAACTTTGTAACTTAACCTCTCACCAGTATTATTTTACTATTATTGTAAATTAACTAATTTTATACTTGTAAATTTGTGTCCCATAAACACAGTATTGTTAATTTTNACCCCGGTTGCTGGGAAGTGATCCCGGTGAAGCGTATTGTTTCTTTTATTTGTATTAAAACTTTCTCGAGTGTTCAGTGTATCTACCGACACACCTTCTTTATTAACTTTGTAACTTAACCTCTCACCAGTATTATTTTACTATTATTGTAAATTAACTAATTTTATACTTGTAAATTTGTGTCCCATAAACACAGTATTGTTAATTTTAATATGTTTCTTTTATTGGTGTAAGTCTCCCAGAGCAGTAAGTGGTGGTGCCCTGAGATCCTCCTCACCGAGTCTCCTGTTCACCGGTTGTCTAGTGGTGGTGACGTGTCAAGAAGTGGTGCGACTCGGCCCCGTGTCTCTCGACCCATAGACCACCTTTTGGGGAGTGACGCGACAGGGCCTCATATAACATCGGCATACCCAGGGGCACCCTCAGACACAGACACGTTATAAAATAAATCACACCACTTCACTCCTCGCATTCCGCGGGCGTATTTTCGCGTGTATGTTTCGGTGGTTGCGGGTGAACTATGGGCACCCGAAAGGGCGCGCGTGCGGCTTGCTAAAAGGAAACCCTTCGGTTGCTACTCTTTGAGTCGCGCCGCGGCAGGCGTTTTGGTTGCTATAGAATATTAACGAAAATAAGACTTGACCTAAAGGTCTTAGTTACCAGGTTATAAAATCCCTTAAAAAAATACTACTGTCAATTTTTTGAGAACTTGAAAGTTATAATTTACAGCAAATTGATAAATGATGCCTACTCAAATATATTAAGTGTATAATCTATGATGCCTACCTAGTGAAGACAAGTAATATTCACACAGAAAAAATAATAGTGTTTTCTTACATCAGTAGTAACACAAAACGAAAATATGGATGATCTTGCTAAAACTAACCCGCCAACAGAAGTACGTATTAACATAATTCAAAATATTCATTGCACTATAATTAAAAAATTACAAAAACAAATAATTATTTCCAATAATTTCGTTACCTTATTTTTCTAATAAATTTTCATTCTTCATGAATATCTTTAAATTTTTATTTGTTTTCAGGGAACCAACATTCGAAACGATGGGCCTCCTCTAAATTTATTAGATAAAGCAATATTAAAAGATAAATATCGCGTGATACCGAATTTAAAAACTGCTCAAAGTGAAATCACCAGAGAAATGCGAGGAATTATCGATGAAAAAGTAGAAAAATATCAAATGGTTTACTTTTATAAATTACTCAATTTAGGGTTAAGACGTAGACTCTGTCTATTGCTCGAAGAACATGGTATAGATGTTTTACCCGAAACAGAATTGAATCATAACTCATTCTCACACATTAAGTTGTCCACAGTGTACAGAGATAAATATAGTACGACCACAGATGTAGAACTTGTGGAATCAATTGTCGACATTGTCAAAGATGCTATGATCTGTAAAAAAGGTATGACAAAAGTGGATGGCTTGTAGATTAAGAAATAAATTATAAATAAATGAATTGTGATTGATGCTGTGAGAGGTTTGAAAAAGTAGTATTTAAACCGTGTTTTAGCTAATAAAGTTTGATTTAATTTAAATAGTTATAAAAATGAAGTATATGTTATAAAACTAATTGCATGGTTTTTAAGTTTTATTTTAATTTGACTTCACAAAATAGCAATAGAAGCTATTGTCTTTGATGGATCCCTCACCCAAATGATGCTCTGTGAGCACTATCTTATTAACTAAATTAAATAACAATCATTAGTTTAATGATAAGTTTAATTTTTTCGTTAGTATAGAATTGCTTTACACAGCTTATACAGAGGTTTTTTTATATAAAAAGCACTAATATTATTTAAAAAATCGATGTTCATATCATCATGTTTCAGATGTAAGTAAATATATAAAGGATTTACCAGAAGAAACCAGTCAATCAAATAAGCAACATAACAATGTAACAATAATAGAGTCTAAAATATATGAAGATAATGAAAAAAATAGTAGTGGTTCTCATAATAACAAAAATAATCAAAACAAATTACAAACTCTTTTTGAAGAATTCAAAAAACGATGCAAATTGAACAACAAACCCAAGGTCGTATCTCAGAGTGGAAAACAGCAAAGCACGAAATGTCAACAAAATCTGGTTACAAAGGTGCAAAATAAAAAATCAAAAAAACAAGCTCGAAAAAGAGCTGGTGCTCTCAATCAGAAAGAGCCACATGACCGAGAAAAAAGTAATACAGTGCAAGAAAACAAAAAAAATAGAAGTGATCAACAAGATTTCGAAAAGCAACAAAATACTAATTCTCAACCAAACATTACAAATTCAACAAATCAATTGAATTCAGAATTCCAGTCCAACATTTTTCCCTCAAATGGTCAACAAGAAGTGAAGTGGGAATTAAATTCTAATGAGAATGAAATACGATCGATTTGTCAAACAAAAGCATCACATCCGTTTGTAAATCTACAAGAATCTTGTGTCCAACAGAACATCATTCCTCAGTTTGATAATCAGACAAGTTCAGTATGGAAACCGAATACCCACTTTGAAAATATACCAAGTTCTCAACCTGAAGTCATTTCCAGTTTGAGATCCCAACAAAATTCAAGTTGTCAAATTAATTCCATTCCTCTAATAGCCAACCAACATTTGGCAAACGACCAACAAAGTCTTATCTCACAATTTTTAAATCAACAAAACTCATATGCTTACCACGGAGTAGTTCATGGACCAACAGTAATGCCCCAGTTTGTTCATCAACCAGTCGTGAATTACGCACAAAACATTGTACCCCAGCTCGTTATCCCAGTTCAACAAAGCTTAGTTTGCGCGCCAATTGCAGTACCCCAGGTGCCACAGGTCAACCAACACACAGTACCAGAGGTTATTGGCCCCCAAAAGTCAATTTACCAACCAAAACCAATACCTACCGTCATAAATCAACAAATTTCAGATTGTCAACAAAAAATAACTTCCCCATATGCCAATGAAACAAATCCAATTTGCCATCCAAAAGTTATAACCGAAATAAAGCCCATCATTCCTGCAAACGCAGACCTGTTGATATCTGACAAACCAAACCTCATACCCCAGCATCTAAATCAACACAGTCCATTTGATAGATCAAACACGACTGCTAAAGAAAAAAAGCAAGAAACAATATCTCAAGACACATCTGGAAGAAAAGTACTGAGTAAGTATTAAGATTTTATTGGTAAGTTGGGTGAACAAGCTCACACCTTCACTGTGTGGGCGCGTTGACCCGTACAGGCGGCCACCCTTCTGGCTACGCTTCCAGAAGGTCGGTCCGCCAACTCGCCTGGAGGCCGTGCGTGGTCTGGGTGATAGCCCATGTGCAGCTGCAGGAGGCACACCTGGCGATGCCTCCGGTGCTTTAGCATCCGGCACGGCTTCGCCAGGTGCCATCGGCTGTGGATCGCAGCGGACTTTGCTTCCGTTGCGGTCAGCCTGGGCCCAAGGCCGCCTTCTGCACCGCCGCCGCGCCGCATTGTGTATTGTGTGACGTGACGAAGCGGCGGGCAGACCACCAGGTCGAAGGCCCGGCCTGTCATTCCGCTTCCTCCTACAAAAAGTGGAGTCGTGGCGGAAAAAAGAAGAAAATAGAGTAAGAGCCGGCCGGTCAGTTTCTGTCGCGGACGTCAAGCTGCAAGGCGGGACGGAAGACGAGGGAGCGAAGCACGTGACACCTCAATAATGGATCACGTCCATCGTTTCCTCCAAGCGAACGCGAACCACTTCGCCGGGGCGCAGGATCTCCTATCATCGACATCGCGTTCGTCACGGAGCCATCCTTCGTACCTGTCGACCGGGAGGATTGCTGGGCTGGGGATGTCGATGGCTCCGTGGCGATCATTTTGCGACAGTCGGTAGCGTTACTCCCCCTTGGAATGGTCCACGGGATCCGGGTAAGCCATAGTTAGGGTCGACGAAACCGTCGTGATAGGGGTGTACTTCTCTCCGAACAGAAGTCTCACCGAGTTCGAGCGATTCCTGGGTGGGCTCGAAGCGTTGGTTCATCGCTTTAAATCTCGGTGATACTGGCGCGGGACCCCAATACCAAATGTACGGCGTGGGGTTTCCCCCGCACGGACTCACCCGGCGAGTTCCTGTCGGAGTGGGCCTTCGCGACCGGCTTCTGTCATCTGAACAGAGGTTCGGTCGCGACCTGCGTGCAGTGGAACGGGGAATCACACGTGGATGTGTCGTTCGCGTCTCTGTCCGCCGCACGCCGTGTCCGTGGCTGGCGTGTTCTCGAGGGGTCGAAGACGGTCCATCTGTTCCATCTGGACGTCGGACGCTGTTGGACCATCGGTTCGTCCAATTTGAGCTCTCCGTCTCCACCTCGTTGAACGCACTGGCCGAAGACGCCCGCAGCGAGGAGGAGCTCCTGCGTAACGCTCCGCGATCATTCCTCGATGGGCACTGAAGCACCTGAATAAGGTGCTCGCGGTGGAGGTGGCCATAGTGGCCACGTGGGCGCTGATGCCAGCGCGTCTAGTGGACGTGATGTCGGAGACCAACTGGTTCCGGAATACGATGCGTCGCGTCTGTGGTGCTCCGATGTCCCGGGTCAGCGGTCGGGCTCCACGTGACGGTGCATATTTGTGGACGCCCAAGACCCCTCTCCTCCGAGAGGAGTGCGTGCGGGCGCGCCGTAGGAGCGCCCTCCACCGCCGCGGCCGCTTTCGCGACGCAGACTTCGCGGAGGTGGCTGTCCGGCTGTATGCCGACTACCGTCAGAAGCAAGAGGTCGTTAGGCCGTCAGCAAGGCAGTCTCAAAGCATGAAGACGCTCCTAGAGACGCTCGACCAGGATTCCAAGAAATTGCGGCCTTGGGCGCTCCCGGTGACAGAGCGCCTCAGGGCTCCGGGCTGTTCCCGCGGATGGAGGGGGACTTAGAGCCCCCTCCATGGGTACGCCGCCACGCGGTGACGTGAGCAGTGATGCCCCTGCTGAGGCGGTCCCTCTGAGCATCTCGGAGGAGGAGGTTCGCGCGGCCGTAACGAGGATGCGGAGGATGCGGCTCCCGGCCCTGACGGTTTTTGGGGAATCGGCTCGTTGAAGCCTGTCTCGAGTCGGGACGTTTTCCGAAGGAGTGGAGGACGGGCAGACTTGTTCTGCTGAGGAAGGAGGGACACTCTGTGGACTTACCAGCGGGGTACCGTCCCATCGTGTTGCTCATCGAGGCGGGATAACTGGTCGAGCGGGTGGTGGCCGCCCGCATCGTCCAGCACCTTACGGGGGTGGGTCCCCGTCTGTCAGCGGAACAGTTCGAATTCAGGGAGAGCCGTTAGACCATCGCCGCAGTGATGCGCGTGTGCGCCCTCTCTGATGAGGCCGTCGGCTGAGGCGGGGCTGCACTGGCGATGTCCCTGGACATCGCTGAAGCGTTCAACACCCTACCTTGGTTGGTGATTCCAGGGGCGCTGGAGTATCACGGCGTCCCTGCGTATCTCCGTCGGCTGATGGGGTCCTACCTCCAGGAAAGGTCGGTTGTGTGCACTGAGCTTGATGGGGCGGTGCTCCGCTTACCCGTCGAGTGCGGTGTTCCACAGGGGTCAGTCCTCGGCCCTCTCTTGTGGAACATCGGCTACGACTGGGTCCTGCGGGGCACCCTTCGCTCTCCTCTCCCGGGTCTGAGCGTAGTTTGTTATGCGGACGACACTTTGGTCGTGACCCGGGGGAAGAATTTGCGCAAGTCTGCTCGTCTTTCCTGCGCGGGTGTGGCCTTCATCATTGGCAGGATTTGAAGCTTGGGTCTGGAGGTGGCGCTTGAGAAATCCTAGGCCCTGTTATTTCACATAGCCCGGATAGCGCCGCCTCAGGAGGCTCACCTCTTGATCGGAGGCACCGCGTCGAGATCGTGGCGAGACGAGGTACCTCGGTCTCGTACTGAACGGTCGTTTCCGTGCTCACTTCGAAAGATTGGGTCCCCGACTGATGGCGACCACTGGCTCGCTGAATTGGCTTTTGCCGAACGTCGGGGGTGGTGCGATCGGTGGCGCTGTACAGGGCTCCTGTGTCGTACCACGACCTGACCCGCGACAACGTCGCAGCATTGCGACGTCCGCAGCGCGCGATTGCGGTCAGGGTGGTTCACGGGTACCGCACCGTCTCGTTTGAGGCGGCGTGCGTGTTCGCCGGGACACCTTCCTGGGACCTGAAAGCGGAGGCGCTCGCTGCGAATTGCGAGTGGCGATGCAAACCAGGGGGGAACCGCAGCCTGGCGCGACGGGAGTTCGAGCGCGGAAGCTTCAATCTCTGCATGCCGTGTTCGAGGCTTGGGCTCGGCGGATCCCGCCTACGAGCGATGGAGCGTCGAGGCGATCCGCCCGGTTCTCTCGCACTGGGTGAATCGCAACCGAGGACATCTCACCTTCCGGGCGACGCAGATGCTCACGGGACACGGCTGTTGAGGTCGCTACCTGCAACTCGTCGCCCGGAGGGAGCCGACACCTGAGTGCCACCACTACAGTGGTTGTAACGAGGACACGGCGGAGCACACGCTCGCGTACTGCCCCGCTTTCATGGAGCAGCGCCGCGTTCTCGTTGCAAAAATAGGACCGGACTTGCCGCTTCCGAGCCTTGTGGCTACGATGCTCGGCAGCGACGAGACCTGGCAAGTGATGTTCGACTTCTGCGAGCCCACCGTCTCGCGGAAGGAGGCGGTGGAACGGGAGAGCTCTTCTTCCCTCTCGGCGCCGTGCCGCCACCGCCGACCCGGGGGTCGGAGGAGGGCGTTTGTCCAGCTCCGGGCTTGTGAGGAGGCAGTCTCCTCCCGGTCATGGTCACGGGCGACCTAAGGGGGTTGAGGCTGCGCCGCACGCTATCGTTGCTCTAGCGCGCTGGCACCAGGACGATGGAACGACGCGTCGACGGCTGCGGCCTGCGATGCGCTCCGCGTCGTCGTCGTCGCTGTCGTCGCCGAACATACTGTGGAAGATCAACTGGTCGGAGGTCTATCGACCCAGCGGGGTATCCCGGAACACCAGCGGCATGACCCGGGCGGCCTAGTAGGGTCGCCGTACTGCGGAGACCGGCTTCATTGGTTGTCGACTATCGCCTCGTCGACCCGTTGACCAGGCGTCCTCGGGGTGACCCCATGAATCTGGTTGTAGGGGCGGGACCTCGTAAGAGGCTTGGCCACCGGCACGAAAGAAAACTAACCTCACAGCTTGGTGTTAAGAAATTACAATTATATTGAATCATTTGCGTTCAATTTCTGACTACTGAAATAGGAACAAATGAATCAAGTATTGAAGCTTAGTCTTTATGATTGGCTTCGCAAATAGATCCGGCACACCCATGTTTATTTCTAATATTGAATGGAAATTGAAAGAAACATTTTTCAAAATCCTAAAAGAAATAGACAAGAACCATCACAGCACCATCTTAGCGTTGACAATGGAGCAAAATCAGTCAACTATTGTTTCACATTTCTACTATAATTTTGCTTTCTACAACATTCTTCACGAACACAGTCAAGCTAGTTTGGTCCATCTGATTGTAGAGCTAAAGGTCACCTAGCAGTAAGGCTTTATATCTTTCAAACTTTCAAGCTTTACGGATTATACAGTAAATGATAAATTTCGACCTTAAATGCCAAGGTGGCTTGCGGCATTCACTTGGCGGTGTCTGTGGGCCTCCATAACCATCAAGTGGGCCGTGCGCTCGTTAAATGCAATAAAAAAGATCATGATTGTTCCAAGGTAGAGTGTGAGATCTTACAGTGGGTACACAACAACCTTACCAGCTGTACTTAGATAAGCAATTGTGTGTCAGGTCATCAAGTAAATAGTGTGAGTGTATTCATATATGTCGTTCGTTATAAAACTCGTGGTAAAATTGCCGACTTCTACACTTAGTACACGCAATGGAATATAAACAATAAAAGGAAGGGTCATACGAGGTCAACGGCCTTGAGCGAAACACCGAGGATACCGACTGACCTTGCTGATTTACCAGATGTTAAAATTGACAAAATGAGAACAGGTCTACTTTAAAAAACAAACAATACATTAAATAAAAAAATGTTATTTATTTGGAATATTAAAAGTAAATTGAAATATGTAGTGAAATAAAAAAAAAATTACTCTTTTAAAAATCGGGTCGAGACTGTCCCAGTGTTGGAGATGAACTATAAAATGGTAGTTCATTTTGATTCACATTTTTAACCCATAAAATATATCGTTGACAAATGTTAGTTAAATGTTTTAATATTTTAAATCAACAAAACACATAATATGTGATGCTTACCACGGAGTAGTTAAAGGACCAACAGTAATCCCCAGTATGTTCATCAACCAATCGTGAACTGCGCACAAAACATTGTACCCCAGCTCGTTATCCCAGTTCAACAAAGCTTAGTTAGTGCACCAATCGCAGTGCCCCAGGTCAACCAACACCAGACCATGGGTTATTGGCCCCAAAACTCAATTTACCACCCAAAACCGATACCTACTGTCATAAATCAACAAATTTCAGATAGCCAACAAAAAATAACTTCCTCATATGTCAATGAAACAAATCCAATATGCCGTCCAAAAGGAATGACCAAGATAAAGCCCATCAACATGCCAGCAAATCCAGACTTGTTGATATCTGACAAACCAAACCTCATACCCCAGTCTCTAAATGAACACAGTCCATTGGATAGATCAAACACACCTACTAAAGATAAAAAGCAAGAACCAAAATCTCAAGATACATCTGGAAGAAAAGTATTGAGTAAGTGTTAAGATTTTATTGATTAGTTATTTATTTAAATAATTTAGCTCCAGCGCCTTTGGCATTGATTTGCCTTGAAAACCTGGCCGGGTGTAGGTATGTTGAATAGAGGCAGTTGCCGGTAAATGTGGAGCTGATCTTTTTTCTGGGACATTTAATACATCTTCCGCAGGGCGTTTTTGTGGAGCTTTTACTGGAGAATTAAGCATTTGAGAAAGATCGTCCATCTCCGAATTTAAAGAAGACCTCCCTCTGTCCGGAGGGACGTTTTCGCCCACCGAGGACGACATTGATATAAAAAAATACACTTACCAGTTAAATGAAACTTAAACTAATCCACCACCAACAAAAATAGGACAACACAATTCTTAAAAACACAGAAAAAACGGGAAAAACACTAAAAATAATCCAAACTTGTGTAATCTGACAGATGTCCAACTACCCTCTCCATTGATTAGTTGTGTGAACAAGCTCACAGCCTGTATTTAAGTAATTACAATTATATTGAATAATTTGTGTTCAATTTTGGGCTCATGAATTATGAACAAAATAATCAAGTAGGTATTGATGTTTAGTCTACAAACAGATCCGGCATACCCACTTGTATCTATAGTATTGAATTGAAATTGAAATTAAACATTTGTCACTATTTAATTACACCTTAATTGTTATGATTCACAGGCAAGAGGAAAGGCGATGAGGAATTGATGATTGTTAATAAAAAATGTAAACTTTCAACTGAATTAGAAAACCTTATAAGAAATAGACAAGAACCATCGAAGCACCCTCTTAGCGTTGACAGTGGAGGAAAATCAGTAAATTATTGTGAGTTTCACATTTCTGCTATAATTTTGCTTCCTACAACATTCTTCACGAACACAGTCAAGCTAGTTTGGTCCATCTGATTGTAGAGCTAAAGGTCACCTAGCAGTAAGGTTTTATATCATTCAAACTTTTCAAGCTTTACTCAGACACAGCCCACTGAGTTTCTCGCCAGATCTTCTCAGTGGGTCGCGTTTCCGATCCGGTGGTAGATTCTGCAAAGCACGGCTCTTGCTAGGGTTCGTGTTAGCAACGTCATCAGGTTTGAGCCCCGTGAGCTCACCTACACAAGTTAGGGTTACGCTGAAATAGCCTCCCAAGGCTCTCAGCTTAGGTAGGAAAAAAAAAGAAAAATCAAGCTTTAAGGGTAGGAAAGCCATTATACAGTAAAAGTAAAAAAAAATCGACCTTTAGTGCCAAGGTGGGTTTCCGCATTCACTTGGCGGTGTCTGTGGGCCCCCATAACCGTCATGTGGGTCGTGCGCTCGTTAAGTGCAATACGTGTAGAAAAGACCTTGATTGTTCCACGATAGAGTAAAGTGTTACAGTGTGTACACAACAACCTTACCAGCAGTACTTAGATAAGCAATTGTGAGTCAGGTCATCAAATAAATATTGTGAGTGTGATATACAAAGTGTATTCATATATGTCGGTGAAAGAGCAGAGCTAGTAAAACTGTCGACTCAGTAGTAGAGAACAGAGTACACGCAATGTAATATAAACAATAAAAGGAAGTGTCACACGAGGTCAACGGCCTGGAATGAAATCCAATTTATCAACCAAAACCGATACCTACTGTCTTAAATCAACAAATTTCAGGTAGCCAACAAAAAATAACTTCCCCATGTGTCAGTGAAACAAATCCAATTCGTCAGCCCAAAGTCATGACCGAGATAAAGCCCAACATGCCAGCAAATCCAGACCTGTTGATATCTGACAAACCAAACCTCATACCCCAGTCTCTAAATCAACACAGTCCATTGGATAGATCAAACACAACTACTAAAGATAAAAAGCAAGAACCAAAATCCCAAGACACATCTGGAAGAAAAGTATTGAGTAAGTATTAAGATTTTTAATGGTTAATTGTGTGAACAAGCTCACAGCCTGATGCTATGTAATTACAATTATATTGAATCATTTGCGTTCAATCTCTGGCTCATGAATTATGAACAAACGAATCAAGTGGGTATTGAAATTTAGTTTTTTTTTATTGCTTAGATGGTTGGACGAGCTCACAGCCCTTTTTTTTTTTCTACCTAAGCTGGTAGCCTTGAGAGGCTATTCCAGCGTAACCTTAATTAGTAGGTGAGCTCACGGGGCTCAAACCTGACGACGTTGCTAACACGGACCCTAGCAAGAACCGTGCTTCACAGAATCTACCACCGGATCGGAAACGCGACCCACTGAGAAGATCGGGCGAGAAACTCAGTGGGCTGTGTCTGAGAGTTAATTTACTCGTCGAGCCGTTCGTCGCAAGCGACGGGTTCAACGAGAACGGTGACCGGTGCTTGAGGTACCTAAAAGCACCGTTAGTGGATCGGGAGGATCCGAAATGACGTGTTTTGGGCGACGTCGACTGCTTTCCATTTTTTCCGTAGGATCGGGAATGAAACACAGCCCACTTGGTGTTAAGTGGTTACTGGAGCCCATAGACATCCACAACGTAAATGCCGCCACCCACCTTGAGATATGAGTTCTAAGGTCTCAGTATAGTTACAACGGCTGCCCCACCCTTCAAACCGAAGCGCATTACTGCTTCACGGCAGAAATAGGGAGGGCGGTGGTACCTAACCGCGCGGACTCAACAGAGCTTACCACCAGTCTTTGCAAACAGAACCGGCACACCCATCTGTATCTATAGTATTGAATTGAAATTGAAATTAAACATTTGTCACTATTTAATTACACCTTAATTGTTATGATTCACAGGCAAGAGGAAAGGCGATGAGGAATTGCTGATTGTTAATGAAAAATATAAACTTTCAACTGAATTAGAAAACCTTATAAGAAATAGACAAGAACCATCGAAGCACCCTCTTAGCGTTGACAGTGGAGGAAAATCAGTAAACTATTGTGAGTTTCACATTTCTGCTATAATTTTGCTTCCTACAACATTCTTCACGAACACAGTCAAGCTAGTTTGGTCCATCTGATTGTAGAGCTAAAGGTCACCTGGCAGGTCACACAATGGAATATTTAAAACAATAAAAGGAAGTGTTGTACGAGGTCAACGGCTTTGAATGAAATTAAATTTACCAACCAAAACCGATACCTACTGTCATAAATCAACAAATTTCAGGTAGCCAACAAAAAATAACTTCCCCATGTGTCAGTGAAACAAATCCAATTGGCCAGCCCAAAGTCATGACCGAGATAAAGCCCAGTATGCCAGCAAATCCAGACCTGTTGATATCTGACAAACCAAACCTCATACCCCAGCATCTAAATCAACACAGTCCATTGGATAGATCAAACACACCTACTAAAGATAAAAAGCAAGAACCAAAATCTCAAGACACATCTGGAGGAAAAGTACTGAGTAAGTATTATTAAGATTTTATTGCTTAGTTAGGTGAACGTGCCCAGGGCCTGGTGTTAAGTAATTACTGGAGCCCATAGACAACAGCAACGTAAATGCAGTCATCCCACCTTGAGACGTGTGTTCGTAGCTTTATAGTTCTATAGTACAATGACTGCCCATAGATCAAACTTACCCGAGCTGGCTCAAAAATTTCCTACTGTTACTGGTAACAATGCAAAGCATACTTTTTCTGAATTTGATTCTTAATACACTGTGTTATATGTGACATTAACACGTTTCATTAGAAAAATATTACCTGTCTGTGGGATCCAAATACTGGCATGTTCATATCCCATCGCTCTCTATGAATGCACCAGAGGTCTATCTCCCAACTCTAAGCGACACAACTTTCCATCTTGCATACTGTCTATATTTGAAAAATATATCGGTTTTCACATGGTATTGAATCATTTGTTTAACGGCTGTCTGGTGTAGTGGCAAGTAACATGGTCACTACACAAGGGGGTTGCGGGTTCGAATCCCGCCAAGAGAAGATATTTGTATGATAAATATAAAAAAAAGTCTTTTCCAGGTTTATGGATGTATATCTAATATCTAATATATGTATGTGTATAATAAAAATATTACATTTATTTCCGTTATCTGGTACCTGTAACACAAGTTCTTTACGAACTTAGCACGGGACCAGTTAATGTGGCGTGATCGTTAGTAAATATTTATTATTATTATTCTGTATTGAAAACTGCCACGCCTGGGAAGACGGCAGGACACACTCCGGCGAGGTGGGCAACAATCGGCCGGAGCGTTAGGGACGTTAGGACTATTATTATTATTATTTGCGTTGAATTTTGGGCTCATGAAATATGAACAAATTAATCAAGTATTGAAGTGAGTTTTTATGTTTGGCTTTGCAAACAGATCCGGCACATCCATGTGTATCTATAGTATTGAATTGAAATTGAAATTAAACATTTGTCACTATTTAATTACACCTTAATTGTTACGATTCACAGGCAAGAAAAAAGACGATGATGAATTGATAATTGTTAATAAAAAATGTAAACTTTCAACTGAATTAGAAAACCTTATAAGAAATAGACAAGAATCATCGAAGCACCATCTTAGCGTTGACAATGGAGGAAAACCAGTAAATTATTGTGAGTTTCACATTTCTGCTTGAGTATTCCTATAATATTTTTTGTGACCTGACTCTATACATATATTATTAATTTTAGGTACAAGAGATGAAGAGAATTACAAGAAACAATGCACAGATGTCGACGTAGTTAATAATCCAATAGATAATGAATTCAGTTTACGTAAGCAAAACGAGGGTAGCCAAATTTGTTCTACTCAGACCGAACCCGTGCTGGAATCCAGTCAAGAAAATTCTGGTCACCCCGGAAAGGAGTCACAAGGCCATGTAGAATGTAAGTAACGTACTGGTAATTTCTATACTCATTAAATATTCTCTTGTGTTATGGGTATCAGTAACGCATCTGTTGCAGACATTTAATATTATAATATGTCTTTAATGAAGATAATGACTCAGTCCAAATCTCGAACCTTAAATAATTAGACCCCAGCAATCTGATTGAGCCACAATCACATGACAGTCATATTGCAGTAATGGTTTCAGGAGATTCATTGAGCAAACAAATTTGTGATGTTTCAGATGATGACCAAACAACTACATGGGACTCTACGCATGCACTGGAGACAGACGATTGGGCTTGGAAAGAAGGTTACACAGATTGGAGTTGAATGTATATAAGGTCAAAAGTTATTAGTTTGATAGGTAAACTTAACATATCTATAGCTAAGTAAAATGGAATGTAGTATATAAAAAGTGCTTTAAGCACATACTAGTATCTGTTGTATTCAAAAATACCGCCATGTTGTCGCAGGTTTCCCTCCCATAGGCAAAGGGCTTATGATATTTTGTTTAACGTATTCATTGTTATAGATTAAAAATTTAAGTTTATTTTTTCTAGGTACAAGTTTTGCATGAACAAGAAAACAAAAAGCAGTGTCAATCATGAATTTTTTTTATTTTTTAAATCAACTTAAAACACTGTTGTGAAAGTAAAGGCGTACTCAATGCATTGGACATTGTTGGTTGTAATCTCTCAACTGGAGAGCAAATGAGCCAAGACAAGATTGTTACTGTGATGACGGAGATTATATGTTGTAAATAATTCTAAGGAATATTTTATGGCTGTAAGAAAGTATTTTAAACTTGTCAATAAATAAGTTAAAATTATGTGCTGTATATATTGTGTTTAAAACACATGTTGTAAATATTCTTAATCCCTTTGCGAAATGAAATTTATGAAGAATGTACCTGAATAGTTCGCTCGAGTGACTCCCTCTGATATGATATTCAATGTCAAAAACACTGAAATGGTATAAAATTCAGGTCAGTGGTCAGTGTACATAATACTACATAACAACGATTTGTAAAACCTATTAGTATGATGTAATAACTTTATACCATATAATTGGTAGTTAAAACTGCAACTAATTACTTACGGAGAGGGGTAATGTGCACATATGTAAATTTAAACAATTATTTTTATTAAAAAGTTAAATACTTTTAATGCAGCAAACCTTTCGAAATATGAGTGATTTATACATAAATATGCTTCATACCACCTCATTGCATGAGCTTTAGTAGCTGTACTCATTAGAATAAAACAATCTTAATTCATTTTGAAATTATAATACATAAATTGATCAAATGCAATTAAATAATTGATCAATTCACAAAATGTTTACTGCAACATGTTTAGACAAAATTTTACAATTGCTCTGGCAATTCGACTCTTAGGGCTAAATTACACAAGCGGAGCATCTGATATTATCATATGCATTAACTCTTCGTACGATACATACGGCCTTAAAGTTCATACAACGTTGAAACTTGCACCTGTGGTCGACAACGGGCTCGCCTTACACTGCACAATCACAAACAACTAGATATAAACTTACAAACTGGTTCGAATCGCGACGCAGCTATCCCTTAATTCATCAGTAATCTTCGAGATCGTCATCGTCGACCTCGATATCGTCGGCGTCTTCCATATTCATATAATCGTCCCAGTCGCTCTCGCGTTTAGTCTTGTCGCTGTCCCGGGTCGCGACCAGTTCGTTCTGCTCGGCCGTGACGCTTGGACGAGTTTTGTCGTCAATTTTGATTTCGGTTTTGATCGGAGGCTCTATGTCTCCAGCGCTGGGACTGACCTTCACGGGAGACTCTTCCACTTTACAGCTGATGTCGTTGGGGACCACCTTGCTCTCACCGTCGACAACGGTAGTGTTTGGATGAGTTTGCGCTTTGTTCGCTTCTGTAGTTCCCTCTACAAGCTGTACAGTGCTAATTGGAGTCGTCTCAGTCTTACTACCGGCACCTTGAGCCTCCTGACCTCCTACTGTTGGATTTTTCTCAACAATATTGGAGTCCAGGTCTGCTTTGAGGGTATTGTTGGAGGTGCCTCGTGGAAGATTGTGTTGTGCTTTCGTCTCATTAGGCGAAGCCGCTGCGACATTACTCTGTGACGCCTTATTGACATTAGCGACATTACTCTGTGACGCCTTATTGACATTAGCGACATTATTCTGTGACGCCTTATTGACATTAGTCTGAGCTTTCGATTTCTTTTTCGGTGAGCTTTTCGGTTTGGAGGGACCGGGCGGTGGCTTCCTTACGTCCGCTGGCTTCTTGAAGACTGCGGCGGGTTGTGAGGTGCTCGGCTGCGTTTGTGAGAGTGTTTGCTTCTTTTGAAGCTCCGCTCTTAAGCTCTTCGATAGTTTCGGCTTCTGGGTGACGTGTAGCGGCATAAATTTGATGGGTCGACCGCCTGAAAGTGCGATGATAACATTAGTCGATATATCGACGCCGTTATCTGCCCTAAAAGTACATTCATATTTCTCGAAATTAGAAGCACAAGGTTGGATTTTATGAAACAATTAGTTTTATCAATACACGCGCGTAGTTTGTGTATTTATCGCGGCCGCCTTAACCCATACACAGCCCACTGAGTTTCTTGCCGGATCTTCTCAGTGGGTCGCGTTTCCGATCATGTGGTAGATTCTGCGAAGCACGACTCTTGCTAGGGTCAGTGTTATCAACACTCCGGTTAGAGCCCCGTGAGCTCACCTACACACGTTAAGGCGAAGCTGACATAGCCTCTCAAGGCTATCAGCATAGGTATAAAAAAAAAGCGGCCTCCACCTAAGATATACCTATAATTAAATAAAAATTTATCTAATACATATTACATTATCATACGTTATAATTGGGAGAAGTTCAATTTGAGAAAGATGAAAGCGTTTTAATATCCGATCCAATCTTGTACCGGTTATATCGTGTATTGTTCATAGTTGTGTGGCAGGAACACACCACACCGTGGCCTCCAGCAGAAAGGGTTCAGTTCAACACAATTAATTGAAGTTCAATTAAATTTGGTGTTACTGAAGACAAAATGTTCACGGTTGACCTCAATGGTGAAGGAATAACATTGTGTAATAAAAATCAAACCCGCAAAATTATAATTTGCGTAATTACTGCTGGTAGGACCTATTGTGAGTACGCGCGGCTAGGTTGGTACCTACAAACCGAAACGCATTACTGCTTCACGGCAGAAATGGGGGGGGGGGGGGGGTGGCACCTACCCGTGCGGACTCACAGCATGTCCTACCACCGGTAAACTCCCGACGAAGAAGACAAGTGGACTCACATATGGAGACCTTCTGGAACTCTAGCAGCTTGTCGAGGCTGCGGTACGAGTCCATGTGCGCCACGTAGAACGGCTGCCGGTCGGCCTTCTTCAGGCTCACCACGCCCTTGTTCAGGAGGAACTCCTCAAGGGGCTTCCTGGTCGAGTTGACGGCGCCCATGATGCGCACCGCTGGTCTCGAGCAGATATTGAACAGACGCTTGGCCACTTCCGATCTTAATGTCTGAAAGAGTTTTTTTTTTTATTGCTTAGATGGATGAACGAGCTCAGAGCCCACCTGCTGTTAAGTTGTTACTGGAGCCCATAGACATCTACAACGTAAATGCGCCACCCACCTCGAGATATAAGTTCTAAGGTCTCAAGTATGTTACGACGGCTGCCCCACCCTTCAAACCGAAACGCATTACTGCTTCACGGCGGAAATAGGCAGGGCGGTGGTACCTACCCGCGCGGACTAAAGAGGTCCTACCACTAGTGATTACGCAAATTATAATTTTGCGGGTTTGATTTTTATTACACGATGTTATTCCTTCACCGATGAAGTCAATCGTGAACATTTGTTGAGTACAAATTTATTAGGAAAGTTGGTACCCGCCTGCGGGATTCGAACACCGGCGCATCGCTTCAACACGAATGCACCGGACGTCTTATCCTTTAGGCCACGACGACTTAGTTTTTTTATTGCTTTTTTACTGGTGGTAGGACCTCTTGTGAGTCCGCGCGGGTAGGTACCACCGCCCTGCCTGTTTCTACCGTGAAGCAGTAATGCGTTTCGGTTTGAAGGGCGGGGCAGCCGTCGTAACTATACCCCGCCAAAAAGTCAAAACTATACTTGAGACCTTAGAACTTATATCTCATGGTGGGTGGCGCATTTACGTCGTAGATGTCTATGGGCTCCAGTAACCACTTGTATGTATGTATGTATGTAATATATTTATTCATAAAAAGTTACACTTACATCCAAAACATGCCCCGCAAAACTGCTTACGCAGTTTGACTGCAGGTAACTCGCTTTATACAAACATAGCGTATAAACCATTCAACTAGCTTATACTATAATAACACAATTAATTTACGTAAATGGTTACAACGTATTTAACAAATGTTTTTTTAATAAGCTTTTAAATTTAGCAAGTATAGGCTCACGTCTTATGTCCTCGGGTAAACTATNAACATAGCGTATAAACCATTCAACTAGCTTATACTATAATAACACAATTAATTTACGTAAATGGTTACAACGTATTTAACAAATGTTTTTTTAATAAGCTTTTAAATTTAGCAAGTATAGGCTCACGTCTTATGTCCTCGGGTAAACTATTGAGTAAGTATGGAACACGTTTTTTTAACGTTCTATCTCCATAGTAATTTTGCACCATGGGTATTAGACATTAGTATATATAGTATTAGTACATATATTAGTATTAGGTATTATTAATTTTTAAAAAGTTTTTAAAAAGTGGTACAAAGTTTTTGCTTCACGTATTAATATATAGATAAACCATTTGTGATCTTTTATCTGATGACTTACGTTCTCGATGTGCTCGAGGGGCCCAGTCCCGCGGCGGCGGCGGGGCTCCGACGAGTCCGTGCCGACCTGTGCGGGAACAACTCAAGACATTAGTAATGTGTCTTGATTTTGACGTGACAACGTCTAATAATTTGATGGAGTCGGCTGCACGCACGAAAAAACATGACTCATGCGGCGTTACCTCGCTCCGAGGCGTTCCTACTTGAGTGAGCGATGCATCCGCGTGGACAGCTGCTATACAATAATACATTTACATGTTTTCGTCAAGTATGAAGTTCAGTGAAAAGTGAATGTTGTGTCAATTGTCCATACAAAATATCTATCAAACAAATAAAAATAAAATTTTCTTTTGAAAAAAGGAAACCATTCCATCAGTATTTTCTTCTGACGTTGTCACATACAACTATCGTCAGTAAACCGACTTTACAGACAACCGATTTTTTACTAATAATTAGTTCACAAACACTCATTGACGTTCTAAAGTTACCGTTAACAAAATTAACAAATACAACGAGAATAAAAAACGCGATATTAAACTGTAACAAAGTAGTTTTAACTATGTATTCAACTCGCGAAAACCCTAGAAAATCCTATAATTTAATATATACATGTTGGAACGGAACGGTATGGATGAATGACAGATATGGAGCATAGCTGAGTGAGAGAGATAGGAGATTTCGTGTTAGGGAGTAAGAAAGACGGCGAATGAATGCGGAACACTTAGTTTTATTTTTTAAGTGAGAGGAGGGTAGTTGCGTGACGCGACGGCGGACAGACGCGGTGTAACTCTGAAGACGTAAGACGTATAAATTTTAGTTACATAGATTGAGAAAGACGAAATATAAATCAAGCTTGTGTGTAGTCATCAACCGTTTCACTGGCCCAACCTGAATATAAAACCCCACTTTTTTCCCTACCTAAGCTGATGGTCTGTCTAGAGAGACCATATCAGCGTAACCTTAACTAGTAGGTGAGCTCACGGGGCTCAAACTTGACAACGTTGCTAACACGAACCCTCGCGAGAGCCGTGCTTCGCAGACCGGATCGGAAACGCGACCCAATATAGTATAATACCACGGAAAAGTATCGCAGCGTGACTCACCTTCTGGTGGTGCAAGTACCGGCAGATAATCTCTTCGGCCTCCGTTGTCGGATTACGGTATACGCTCTTCACCTTTGATAATAAAAAAAAATTACATGTGTGCAATTCACACGTGGTAGAAGTGAAACCTTCCAAAATTAAAATACAATTATCCTAAACGTCTTAAGTATATGTAAAATTTTGTCATTAGTAAATAATTGTAAGGTAGCGCCCTCTGTGAATTGATATTTTCATTTCACGTATAATCCTAAATTAAAATTCACTACAAGAGCTTTCATACACACGTTAGTATTAAAAAATCTCACAGATGGCGCTGTATTAAATAGTATGTATATTTCTGTCTCATTCTNGGAGGTCAATAGGCTGATGATGATGATGGTCGTAATTCTTTCTATTCAAAACTTTGACTGTCTTCGCTATTTCAGCTTAATTTTCTCCTGCACCTGAGTCGTCTTAGAGGAAGATCTTAGATATAATTTCCACACTCGGTTCATCGGTTCTTCAACCAGCAACCAGAGCGGAATGGAGAGAAGCAAAGAGACGACCAGGATGAAAATATAGTACTGAACCTGAAATAAGTAGAATCATTTCAAATTTAGAAGCTAACTAATTTGTATTTTGGTATGTTCTTAGTGTCTAGTGGGACGCTTTGTGGCTGTACCATAGATGAACTATGGGGAAGGCATCATGGTACATAAACATATGACGAAGAAAATACATAGCTAAAACCAACTACACAAGTAGCCATCATTATCCTGCCCTTCTCCCAGTCACCTGGGGTCGGCGCAACATGCTTTCTCCTTCCATATTCTTCTATCATATACCATTTCTTCGCACACTCCCCTCTTACCCATATCGTCTTTCACGCAATCCATCCATTTCTTCTTAGGTCTATCTCTTCCTCTGTATCCTTCTACATTCATAGTTAACAATCTCTTACCAACCTCATTTTCATTTCGTCTCATCACATGTCCATATCATCCCAAACGCGTACTTCTCAGCTTCTTTGTCACAGGTGCCACTTTCAGACTTCCTCTAAGATATTCATTCCGTATTCTATCCATTCTCGTTACTCCACACATCCATCGCAACATTCGCACCTCTGCTGCATGCAATCGCCTTTCATACTATAAGTAGTATTTAATGAATACATAGTAGTAATTAATGAGTCACTTTAGGGGTAATCTAATTAGTTTCACTTACCAATGCCATAGTCGAATGCTGGAAAGGAACGGTGGACAGTGATGCGGTGTACCGAATAATGGTCACATGGATATTGTAGGCGCAGTACGATAGTCGCGCCACGATCGACCAACAATCCCACTCGAATATTGTACGGAAGACGTCTGAAGTAGAAACATAAGATGATATAGTAAATTATTTGGGAGACTTGCTTTTTGCTAAAGAATTTACGATTTGCTCATTAGTTTCTTTGTTACACTAGATAGTTACTTTAACCGGGTTCTGACCCCGGTCAAAGCAGTCCCTTATTAACTGTAACGACTACCCGATACATATTCACGTTTACCTTAAGAAAATATTCCCCAAGGCTGTATATCTCTCGGTTATGCAGATCCTTGGCGTTCAAGATACCACAACCCCCACATTTCCGAGGGACATATTATTATAACCTCATCACAGATGAACGTGGATGATGCATTCTGTATGTCGTTAACAATCGCCTGACTTTTCTATTCAATACGTCCAGCTTTGATTGCGTCCACCTTAATATGCCAAAGGAATAGGTTGACATAGGCATGACCATATCATTAAACGCTCGGATCGAATGGGATTTTAAGACCTTTATAAGACGACCAAAGACCCGATCTCTAAACGATCATGCGTCCACAATATTCAGCACTTCGAACATACCAAGGTACTTGTAGGTTTCCGATTCACAAACAGATTTGAGGACCACACTATGGTTAAGTTATAAGCACTCTGAGCTTACAACTTTAGCTCTCTGTACATCTGTGAGTGAACGCACATTTATCAACACCAATTATTTATTATTATTTGATCTAATGTATGGGCGATACCTGCCATTATTGTTTTCTTTACATGGGCAATATACCGTAGTTATATCAATTATTGAACACCCCTTTAAACTTCCAATATGAAGGAGTGCACGTCACGTCGTGGCTTATGTAATTATTTGTAATTAGGTAGGATGTGAGTTCATTTCCTCCTTACTACATCTACTGGTTAGTAAATTTAATATTCCATTGATAATAGAGCAACTATCAGACGTTATTAACATAAGAAAGCCATACGTACTTTCAAGTTTCATGATCATTGCGCATATAAGTACTGTGAACAGTAATCCAAAAACAGGTTTCGCAGTTGCAGCGTACATTGTTCTCAACATGACTGAAGACCTTGGCGCGTCCATGTAGAAATACGAGGCCATGACCATTATGCCAGAACCCAGGACTACTGGCAGCGGACCAAGCATCCAGCAGAGCATTTTATATTTCTAAAAAATATAGTTAACAAAGTTGACCAGGGTTGTAGTGAAGTGAAAGCTTACGATAAAATAATTCGGTGAAATATTATGAGTGCTGTTGAAACATGATGAGGAGGAGGATATATTAGGGTATACACTTATGAAAAGTTAATTTGTGGAAATATTATGAGTAACTGTTTATATTGATGATGAGGTTACCGGAGTACGTAGAGACCATGTGGTAAATATCTGGGGCATTTGCACAATTAAAGTACCATAAAATGAATATAAGACAAGATGGGTCTGACTTGGAATCAGAAATGATATTATAAAGAAACTAGCTTTACCCATCCGGTTCGCAGGGCATTTAAAATTAACATTATTATTTCTCACCCCCACAAAGATTCTCATCATAAACGCCCCCGCAACTGGTGTAGGGAGTCCAAAACTCATATAAATAATAGCCTATCCATTAAGTACATGTATTTAGTACATGTATACCAAGTTTCAAGTCAATCGGATGCATGGTTCAGTAGTTATAACGGTATATAACTACTGAACCATAAACTTCCGTAAAAAAACACTGTATATTAGTATATAATATTATGTCTGCTCTTCCACTTGCTACCACACAATACGTTCGTATCTCCGGATGTGCTCTCCTTGCGTCAGTATAGAGCATAGTCTGTTGATTCGCGTGTATACGTAATAATAATATATTATTATACTCTATTTATTAAAGCCTTATTAAATACACAATATTAAAAAAATTATTATAAATACCATTTAAAAAAATACTTAAAAAAATAGGTTGCTATTACATATTTTTTCTTAACTTTTATTTCTCTCCTATCGGACCGAAACACATGGCTGTACCACGACAAAAATATTTAGGCTAGTGGAACCTACGCGTATCCCTGATAAATTTTATACAATATAATGGGTTTTGTTATAAAGGGCACGAAGGGATGTCACGCTCAGGTTCGACTCCAACACCAATAATAATAAAAAAATACCTTAATTTTATCCAAATTCAGGTTAATCTTCTGCCAATAGTAAAACAGGTATCCTGCACCCATCCCCAGGATGTAACTGGGTATATTGGTGTGACTTCGTCTGTAGACTTTTAAGAACGTCGGGTCTCCCATGAATATGTTCCGAATGAGTCTGACAGATGGAACAATAATACTATTGGGTAACGGGAAATCATTGCGTAGTGTTTCATTTGATCTATATTGGTTTTAATTTGGTTTAAAAGTTAATGGGCAGATTGGGGAAGAGAGAGAGAGNCAACATGGATTCACAAATTTGCATTAATTTCTATACAAATCATTCTATTGCCTATTCTTATCCTACCTATCCTATCATATTCTACCGATTAATACTACACATCAGTTTCTTTAGATCTTAAGGATGGGTTTGGTAAATATGGTTTAGCACTTTTTAAAGATTTATTGTTTATTATTAGTTATCAGTAAAAAAAAAAAAATATTTATTACAAATGTCAGTGGATGGCATCATGGCTTACCTAATGTTAAGTTGCTACAGGAGTCTATTAAAATCAACAACATAAATGACACACCTAAATTGAGATATGTGTTCTAAGTCTTTGTTTTTTCAGTCCAACAGCTGTCTTAGCCTTCAAACTGAAATGCATTATGATTGCCGACAGAATGGACTGCCCCTATATAAGAAACTGTTGTAATAAGCATCTGTCTCTCATTAATCTAATACAGTGACTGGTATGGTGGCGGTGGTTACTCAGTTAAAATTATTTCATTATTTATTGTATTAGTTATTTTTATTTAATTTTATTTATTATTTACTACCTTTTATATGAGTCGACTATTATCAAAGCCGGCAATGTGACTTTTGGACAATTATTGGTAAATCAGAAAAACGAATTATTGACTTTGTATTCCATTGGCAGTCACAAAACTCTTCGGAACGACATCTTAGATAAATAACAGGTTAACTATTAACCTTTATTTAATGCAGGTTTTGAACCGTATTCTTTGAAGGAGACGATTACATTCAAATAAATCTGTATTGACATATCAATAAAAATTTTTTGTCCAAATGTACAGATTGCCGCCTTTGATAATAGACGACTCAAATGTAGGAACGCAACGGTATGGATGAATGACAGATATGGAGCATAGCTGAGTGAGAGAGATAGGAGATGTCGTGTTAGGGAGTAAGAAAGACGGCGAATGAACGCGGAACACATAGTTTTATTTTTTAAGTGAGAGGAGGTTAGTTGCGTGACGCGACGGCGGACAGACGCGGTGTAACTCTGAAGACGTAAGACGTATAAATTTTAGTTACATAGATTAAGAAAGGCGAAATATAAATCAAGCTTGTGTGAAGTCATCAACAGTTTCATTGGCCCAACTTGAATATAAAACCCCACTTTTTTTCCTACCTAAGCTGATGGTCTAGAGCAGTGATTCTCAACCACTGTGCCGCGGCACTTTTGTGTGCCGCCAAATTTTGCAAATATATAATAATGTTAATATTATTAAATTATATCATTTAAAAAGAAAAATATTTTTAACATGAATATACAGTCAAAACCGTTTACTGCGACATCGGTTAGAACAACATGCCGGTTATAATAACCTAGAACAAAGGTCCCGGCTGAATGCTATATGACCGCCTTATTAAAAACATTGCTTTATACGACATTGCTTATAACGACATACCTCATAAAACGACCACATTTAACTAATATTTCGGAGAATTAGATCTGTTAGAACGACCGACTAAGCTGTATTGTAAACAATTTGAATAGGTATCCACTTTTGTCTTCAATGGCTATTAAAATCAGGAAAGAAAACAATAGGATTTAGTTTAGTGTAGGGTCTTTTCTAATTCTTAGAAACAAAACACGTGCATGCAGTAGAGTCAAAGACCGCTTCTTCATATCTCTTCAGTTAGTTTATTACTTATCTATACACAAGACGCACCAAAACTTTGTGGTGTTATTCGTGAAACTTTCAAAATGTCGCAAAGAAAAAGAAAACAAATTAATATTGAAGAAAAATTGCGTTTTATGTAAATATATTTTTCCAATAATTCCCTATCGATTTGTTTGTACTTGCACGATACACATTAAACATCACCGGTTGTTACGACTATCGGTTTTTACGACTGAATATGAGCAGTCCCTTCGATGTCGTTATAACAGATATAACAGAAAAATAAATTATTTTATTATTTGCTTTGCAACGCGGTTTTTCTTAGTGCCAAATTATGATGAAGCGGCGTGCATAGCAATAGGAATATGTCTCAAGTCGGCGCGCACTTGCCACTTCTGCGTACAAAACGTGTTGTTTTAGTGATAGTTGGGATTCACAAGGTGTTGCATAGTAGTTACTGCACCTTTTCTTTCGTTAAAATTGGCAAATGTATGTGATTCGGTAGTAAGTAAATCTTTTTTATCTTTTTCTTTGTGTGCCGCCAAATTTTGAAATCGTTAAATATGTGCCGCAACAAAAAAAAAGGTTGAGAATCACTGGTCTAGAGAGACCATATCAGCGTAACCTTAACTAGTAGATGAGCTGACGGGGCTCAAAGCTGACGACGTTGCTAGCAAGAACCCTAGCAAGAGCCGTGCTTCGCAGACCGGATCAGACACGCGACCCAATATAGTATAACACCACGGAAAAGTCTCACAGCGTGACTCACCTTCTGGTGGTGCAAGTACCGGCAGATAATCTCTTCGGCCTCCGTTGTCGGATTACGGTATACGCTCTTCACCTTTAATAATAATAAAAAAATACATGTGTGCAATTCACACGTGGTAGAAGTGAAACCTTCCAAAATTAAAATACAATTATCCTAAACGTCTTAAGTACATGTAAAATTTTGTCATTAGTAAATAATTGTAAGGTAGCAGCGCCCTCTGTGAATTGATATTTTAATTTCACGTATAATCCTAAATTAAAATTCACTACAAGAGCTTTCATACACACGTTAGTATTAAAAAATCTCACAGATGACGCTGTATTGAATAGTATGTATATTTCTGTCTCATTCTTTGCTGGCTTCATCCTACACATTTTTGTATTTGTGTCTCTTACCTGTCGTTTTTTCCGTTGCATCCGGTTTGAAATCGCAACGATTCTAAAGAAGTTTTCACTTCAAAAAAAAGTTACGTCATTTCGCCATCGTTATAAACGACAACAGACGTTGAATCTCGTGCTTTTTCTGGCCTGCCTATTTGTTGGTAGCCTAAGGGACTATTCCAGCTACACTTGAACGGTAATCTCACGGGTTCAACCCGAGAGAATATGCCAACTCTGGCCCTAGCAAGAGCCGTGCTTCGCAGAATCTACCACCGGATCTGAAACGCGACCCACTGAAAAGATCCGGCGAGAAACTCAGTGGGCTGTGTCTGTGGGTTAATTCACTCGTCGAATTCTTCGTCTTAGTCGAGGGCGACTTTGCGTTGCCATTTCACGCCAAGATGTACTGCAGTCCAAAAAAATCAACCATGGCGGATCTATTCACGATTTCCAATAAGAGCCTGTGCACACGACGTTTTTATCCTACAGAGCGGTTTGTTGTCGTTTGTATCGATTCAAACGCGTATTTTTGAATTTATACATGACTGTGTGCAAAGGTCTACAGGCTGCATCTGACTTGCGTGCGTATCGCGTCTGTATCGCTGCAAACGGTATCGCTTAAAAGGTGGTATGCACAGGTCCTAACAAACACAAGTGGAATATTCTCGAACGTTCTGGTTGTTTCGCTGTTCGTTTTCGCCCCACGTCGACAGATGGCGTTGATTATCGGCGGCGGCGCGCGGTACTCACCACTTCGACGAGGGCGGCGACCTCCTCCTCGACGAGCCGGCGCGGTATGTCGCTACCCTCGAACATCTCTTCGAACGGCGTGTACGAATCCAGATTCATTTGCTTCTTCATCACTGAATCGTATATATAAAAAAAAAAAAAAAAAATTATAAAAAAAACCAACAAAATACGATTTTATAGAAAATACAACTAAAAAAAGAAAATAAATTTGAAGAAAAAATTGTTTAAAAAAAAATTATTTTATTGGAAACAAAAAAAGCGTGGACTGCTTTTCAGGATATTATCAAAATAGCCCTTCTACACATATCTGTTCATAAAATATTTATAACTACATACTGATACCGTGCACCCCACGCTTTTTTGTTAGTTTTTTTAAACTGTTATTTATTTTTAATTTTTTAGTTGAATTTCAATTTTTTCACAATTTTTTTTATCAGTTTCTTTTTTTGTATTGAATTGTCATCGGTCTTTAATAGGTATACCAAATTTCGAGTTAATCCCTCGTTTTGAAGGGGGTCAAAATCATGTTCAAAGATTCCGTTACACACATACGTCTGACGCTAATAAAAGCGTATTAAAAAAGTTTGTCGAGTTGACATTTTTAGTTTCTTTCCTTATTTGATTTTTTTTTGGACAATTGAATTAAACTAATGGTTTGTGCTGTTTGGTCGTTTTCACAATCACTTGATACGGACAATGTAAGCGTTTTTTATTTATTATTTATACAATTACTAACGTTATACGCTGAGCTGATTAATTCAAATTACTTACATTTGAACTGCTTCTTATCTGAAAAAGAAAAAAAAAACGTTATTTATATTATTTTCTCGTTACGTTCTCCCGAATCATAGATAATTAGAACTTTTACATGTTGTTTATATAGAAGAGAATGTATGTATTAGATATTTTCAAAATGTACGAACCTCCTCCGAGGTACGGGGGCAACAACCTTATCCTTGGATCCTCCTGAGGGTCCTCTTCCTCATCTGAAAATCATTAATCATTCTAGTACATTCCATAACTGATTATGTTTTGTTAAAGCTGTTTTACTGGTGGCAGGACCTCTTGTGAGTCCGCGCGGGTAGGTACCACCGCCCTGCCTATTTTTGCCGTGAAGCAGTAATGCGTTTCGGTTTGAAGGGCGGGGCAGCCGTTGTAACCATACTAAGACCTTAGAATTTATATCTCAAGGTGGGTGGCTCATTTACGTTGTAGATGTCTATGGGCTCCAGTAACCACTTAACGCCAGGTGGGCTGTGAGCTCGTCCACCCAATTAAGCAATAAAAAAATAAAATAAAATTATCTCTCTGTCTCTTACTCTCTACTTAGTGACACTCACCAATATTGTAATTTTGACTTGAAACTTCAAATTGAACCGGGTTATAAAAACGTGGCTGTAACGCTTTTTCTTCTGAAAATACATTAAACAATATATACTAATATTATAAAGAGGAAAGATTTGTTTGTTTGTTCGTATTGAATAGGCTCCGAAACTACTAAACCGATTTGAAAAATTCTTTCAGTGTTTAGAAGCTACACTATTTCCGAGGGACATAGGCTATCTTTTTTAAAAAAAATTAGGGATCCTTACTATAACTCCAATAATGTAACCCAAGGTGTAAAAAATTACCTAAAATATTCTTTACATCGCGTGCCCTGCGAAAACTATTCAAGATAGAGTAAAATAATGTACTACGACTTTTTAGAACACAATTTATTATTTACAAAAAGTGTCGCGACAGAATATGTTTAACTATTATAATTATGGCGCAATAAGTATTCTTTTATTTAAAAAAATAAATCAACGTCAAATATCGTTGAAATTTTTGTTAAAGACTCGAGCGGAGCCGGAGCGGGCCGCTAGTCACTACATAGTATAAAACAAAGTCGCTTTCTCTGTCCCTATATCTGTCTGTCCCTATGTATGCTTAAATCTTTAAAACTACGCAACGGATTTTGATGCGGTTTTTTTTAATAGATAGAGTGATTGAAGAGGAAGGTTTATATATATAATAACATCCATTAAATAGTGGAGAAATCAATAATAAAGTACAGTTTCCGAAGCGAAGCGAGGGCGGGTCGCTAGTATATTTATATAGTAGTTTGTTTGCGTGGTTTCGGTTGGCGTTTCTATCTCTAACGCCATCTTGTCAGAGGACGAGACATTAGTAAAAGGTTTTTCAACCGTTCGAGTGGTCTCGTGCGGAATGTATGAACGACTCATTCGGACGGATAACGGAAACATCAGTTGGAGAGTACAATGTGTGCCAGAAACGAAGCAACACCCTCGCTTTATCTGTTAAAAATTCAATTTTTTCGCAGACCGCAAGGCTTGGTAAATCCCTGACATACATCGCTTACAGAAAAACCAGACAACGTAGAACTTAAACTTTCAATTAATTCAGAGGATCTTAAAAGAGAAGATATATAGTGAGGTAAATTTAAGAGAACACTACTTAGATGATACGAGGTTATATGTCTCCCTGGTCACATCTAGTTATACCTAATAATCTCCCGTCCATTTTAGTAGTTAAACACCTATTTTTCTAGGTTTCTGTCTAATAAACAAAAATCACTTCTGATTTGGTAAACGAGTTGCCAACGGCAGACCTGGAAGCGTTTTTTGCCTGGAGGGCGGTCTTCGGGAGCATGGGCGACCTAACGGGTCTTTCTGCCCATACAGCGTCAGCGCAACCACGACCACTCTGCCAAGAGTGTCCGACTGAGAAGATTTGGCTACATAAGGCCTTACAATTGGACGTCCCCAATGAGAATTCTCATGAGCAGGGGCGCTCGTTAAAATGTAATTCATGCCGCCCCACTCCATGGTTTAAAAACGGGCGACGATGAATATCATCTAATCATAGATAGATATTATCTATGAATATTATTATCTTATTCCTTTTTCTGTGGGTAGATCCCACCTCCCACCCAGAACAGAGACAAAGGATCCCATCCTCTCTCTCTGTTCTCTGTGGTCTCCGCCAAATCGTGATCGTTATCGTTTGGTTGCTCGTAAACATGTCTCCGCCTAACATTTAGAATTATCTTCAAACTACGTTTGAGGAGAGACATTTCATAATTGCCAGGAAATGCGGCGATGGAATTTCATCGATGCAGAGAAACTGAGATCACTAGAAAAGTTCAAACAATTCCTCCTCGAAGCACTCCCCATGGAACATAAAAACATTCGATAGAAAGTCCGAAACAACTGAATTTCTATGCATATTCCGAAGTTCCATTATTTTTTGTTATTATTTTCATGTTTTTTGAAATACAAAATAACGAAACGAAAGAAATATGGATTCTTTCGTTTCTCAACAAAAATAATTAACTGCAAGTCATAATTCGCGATCAGACTGTGTTAGCGTGAATTATGAATTCAACGCGTATATTAGGTTTCTCAATTGGCTCTTGTGCCTTAATACAAGAGCAAACGATCATGGTAATCCAAAAGAGTGTTTGTAAAAGGCAATTTGCGCCTACCGTCATTCACTCTTCAGAGTTTAATCAACGTTTGGAAGATCGGAACATTGACCGCCCAAATCGATATGAAGTAATCTATTAACAGTAGAACCATATACAAGAACACCAGCTGTATAGTGCTTAACTAATAAATTTCATAAAAATCGTATAGTTTGTATTGTATTTTAAATATACAATACAACTATATATATTTACACCTAATAAATTAACAGCCTAAATCACCCACACACAAATGATTGATCTGCCATGGTGAAGTATGGGAGTTATTGATTTTCGAGCCAATGTTAACAATTCAAGGTTCAATAGCAGTTGAATCTCGAAGCCAACCTTTGATCCAAGTTATAGATCTATGTGTGGGGGCAATTTAATACGAGATGGTCAAATACACTGCACTTAAGCGTCAAAACGCTACTTTGAAAAAGCGGCACAACACGATAATCCTCTTATCGTGGCCATTGCTAACTACATATCTGACCCAGGCGGCAGGGCAAAGCAAAGCCACCATCACCCAAAACATGTTCTGTCGGAAACCACGGATTCATTCACGGTGCTTCTGAACCGGTCACCGTTCTTATCGAACTAGTCGACTACGACGAAGAGTTCGAGAGGCGAACTAGACCATAGACACGATCCTGTGTTTCTCGCCGGATCTTCTCGGTGGGTCGCAATTCCGATCCGGTAGGCGATTCAAGGCTGAGAAGCACTGCTCTTGCTTGGGTCAGTGTTAGCGATTCTCTCAGGTTGAGCCTGTGAGTACACCTATCAATCCATGTGAAGTTGAAATAGCCGCTTAGGCTACCAACGATTAGGTAGGGGAAAAAAATAGACCATCGTTTGAAGCACAAAATGACCACATAAAAGTACATCAGCGAATTAAATATCATACCAATATTTTATCTTTAGGCTTACTTCAACAACATCAACAATTTTTTTTCTAAAGTCTAAACCCGGCCCGAGATTTCTGGCCGTCATCAACTCCGTATCATTTACATTAACAAACTAGATGTACCTGAGGAATTATTGCACAACTTACCCTCTGCGGGATCTTCATTGGCGGCGCGAGTTACGATCGCTTCGCATAGCTGCTCATCGTGCCTCTCTTGAAAAAAGGTTCTGTACAGAGCCATTATTTCCGGAGGGTCAACACTGACGTAACAGCCGAGCGCGATTTCGATGCGAGCGCGGATGCACTTGTGCAACAACTGCAACGGCCTGCCCGCTTTTATTTGTTCGTTACTACTCGATTTCAGAATCTCGGATACAATATATTTGGAAACGATGTTCCGTTTTTTGTTATCCGACGCTAAGACGTTCTTCAATTTGTTAAGGGCCTTTCCGGGACGTTTCGAGAACTTGGTGTATCTCGTTGGTATCGGGGGCCGAGGCCGTTTGGCCGGCCTGGACTCATTATGATTGTGCTGCCACGGATCTATGGCATGCCTTTTCAGAGCGGGGCTTGCAGTGTTTTTGAAGCCTGGCTTCGGAGATCGAAGATTATTAGCTACTGAATCTTTAGGATCAGGTCTCTTTGGTCTATTACGAGACCTTTTTTTAGACCCACTTTTAGGACTGGAGCCTTTAGCTTGGGAGGCGCCAATACCAACATTTGATAAACCACTACCGGATCCGGAGTTTTTGGTATCAAACATTTGGTCTCTCGGATTTTTCGTACACTGACCACCAGCTCTGAGCGAATTATTAATTGTGTAACTGCCAGGCTTATTGTTCAACCCAAAATTATTTGATGAACCGCTTCCGTGTTGCTGTGGACTGTTTCTCGTATTCCCTAAGGAAGTCGAAGGCTCTTCAGAAGATTTGCGCTTGCGGGACATTTTATTTTCAGAATCCCACTTGTCATAATGGTTATTACAACTTCGTTCTTCAACGTCATATTCGTCTTTCCGCAAATGAGCCGCATCAGGTTTTTTTGTGTCCGACTGATAATCAGGCGTTTTGGACTGATTACCAAGCTTATTGTACTGATTAATAGGCGTATTGTACCGATTACCAGACGTATTATGCTGATTACCAGGCGTATTGTACTGGTTGCTCGGCGTATTGTATGGCTTACTCGTCATATTGTGCTGATTACCCGGCGTATTGTACTGAATGCTCGGCGTATTGTATGGTTTACTCGTCGTATTGTGCTGATTACCTGGCATATTGTACTGATTACCAGGTGTATTATACTGATTACCGGGCATATTGTACTGATTACCAGGCGCATTGTACTGATTGCCAGCAGTGTTTGTCTGATAACCAAGCATATTTAACTGATAAGGGTTGTTAGACTGATAAGAGTTGTTGGACTTATAATCAGGCGGTTTAGATTGGTAACCAGACATGTTAGTCTGATAATCAGCCGTGTTTGACACATAACCTTTATTATCTGANTTATACTGATTACCGGGCATATTGTACTGATTACCAGGCGCATTGTACTGATTGCCAGCAGTGTTTGTCTGATAACCAAGCATATTTAACTGATAAGGGTTGTTAGACTGATAAGAGTTGTTGGACTTATAATCAGGCGGTTTAGATTGGTAACCAGACATGTTAGTCTGATAATCAGCCGTGTTTGACACATAACCTTTATTATCTGACTGATATCCAGTCGTGTTCGACTGAAAATCAGACTTGTTCGACTGATAATTCGGCATGTTAGAACAAATTTGTTTATTGGGGTTTTGATACGAGTATCTCGGAGCCTGCTGTGATGAGTACGATGATTGTGCTTGTTGTGGCTGCGTACCGTAACCCGTATAGGGATTCTGTGGAAATAAATTGTGAATAGAACCAGAGTCACATGGAAACTAATTGAAATATTCCAAATATTTCATATTGTTACCAAATTGGAATCTGGTAATGTTGACTACTCTGACAGATAAATAATCAGTCCACCTGTTCCAGGCGACAGATTTGACCCATGACATTAACAATGGCAAGCACTACTATTAAGTAGATATTCAAGATTGTTCTAAGTTCTGTCTTTAAATAATTAGTACTTACACAGTTTTCGTTATACTCTGCGAATACCTTTCAATGATCTTCAACAATTGACTTAATATAATAAATTTTTCTTGTTATTTTACTAATGTAAATGGTAATTGGATCTCATTATAACAATATTGCCACATTTGAGACATTAGGTCAAATAGGCTTGCTGACTAAATTATTAACTTAAATGTGGTTGTGCATTACCTTGTACCAAAAATATACCAGATAATGGTACCTACCCATTTGGGCTTACAAGATCTCCTGGTACTGATAATTATACAATATAATACATATATCTTGCATATTAGGTCGGCGATGTTTCAAAAACCACCATGCCCATGCTCTGTTCTACATACAAACAGTTGCATAGACTAAGCATAGATACAATGTATGTTTGTATAAAACTGCATTCTAATCTATTTTAATGGCAAAAGCCTGTCTAATTTAAAAAAAACATTTGACGGATAGATAGTTCAGTGTGATAGATGCTTGGACTTTATTTACTAAACATAATGGGTTCAACGATGAGACGCATATAACGTTCTGTGAAATACCAATGTTAGCTCACCTGATTCGACATGTAATAAGGCATGTTTGGTGTGTTCAAAGGCGGGAAGCCATAGCCCATATTTGGATTCTGAGTAAGTATGGGTGCAGGATTCTGGTTAGCGGGAGGACAAACAACTGGATTCAGGGCTGCATAGCTTGCTGTATTGTTGGTGTACATCTTAGGTTGCCTAAGTGGTGGAACTGCTGGAGCATTGAACGATTCAACAGGTTCAACGGGCTGTAACACATTTATAATGCCTTTGATGGTTGACATTACATCCAAAAGATCAAGTTACCCAATTTATTGGTGAGTGATCACTTTTATTTATGCAAATCAGCAATATCAGAAGCACAGTCAGGGCTGTGTATTACTCAGGACTTTAGCCCACAAGATTTATCTATAATTTTAAATTCTTCAAATTATAATAGGTCTTAATTAATGTATTTTATAAGACCATTTTTATGATGACACATCTTTAGCCAATTAATTTTAATGACAGACTCTAGATTGAGGTTGAGGTGAAGGTTGAGACCTTAAAAATGCTAAAACTGCTAAAACTAAATGCTAAAACATACACATCTTTATAAAAGCAGATTTTCAAACCAATCTTATATCTATATAAAAGTACAGTTAAAAGTAAATAAGACCAATGGAACACAAATACTGGTACAAAATTACTGAATTTTTATAATTGTTTATCTGTTTCCAGGCATATCCAAAACTTTGTAACATATTTTCATAATTTTCACAGATATACAGTGATTAATCTAGAGCAGAATATTGGTTTATTAAAATTGGGTGTCACAGACTTTTAGTCAGCTTGAATTGAACTTATTAAGTTGTTAAAAGTTACATGGCAAATAGTTCAACTAATACAAAGTTATGTAAAAAAACGGTACTTTGTTTTGACATCTAAGCAACTGAGCTGGTTTTGATTCAATAGAGAAACAACATTTGATCCTGGGAAAACATTATAATTAGCTAATTATTCTCACTGTTGATTATGGGTCCTGCCCAGGGGATTACACAACATATACCATGCAGGCAAAGCTGCAGTAGCTGCAACGCTAGACTTAATATATTTTGACCAATTTCTATAGCATTGCAATTGTTCATTTACTAACTTCGTAGGAACCGCCTTGGTTCTGCTCCTAACATTGCTACCACCATTAGCGAAGGTAACTACTGACCATTAGGTGGGCTGCAAGCTTGTCTGCATTGACCAATACAAAAATACAAAGAATTTGTTTTTGAGAATTAATAAAATAGCAATCGATACCTTCTTTTGTCGGTTTTCAACGACCAATTGATGTCCATTGATGAAGATACCGTTGATTTTTCCAATAATGATAGCAGCGTCATGTTCATCAGTAACACCAACTGTTACCTTCTTACCAGCACTGTCTTGAGACATAAGGTTATCTAAAATCACATCAGTGAGCCCGCATTTTGAATGTATCAGCGATTTAACATCAGCATAACTGGTCTGCGAAAGAAAATTGAAATGTAAATAGTACGGGACTTCGTTTTTCATGTTTTAATTTTTGACTGTTTGACACTTACATCGGCAGGTAGATTGTGTATAATAAGAAGCATTGTTATTGAGTTTCAATTGCATCAATTGTTAGTAGGAAAACAAATGAATATATTTAACATATGAAATTTTTTCACAGTGTCTCTAAAGTTTTTTCACGAAAGTAGAGTGATCCAAGCGTTTTTTTCCCCTGCGATATTGGCAGAATGGCAGAGAGAGATTTTTTTTTTTAAGAGATTTTATTACCTGGTAACTGAGACCTTTAAGTCATGTCTTATTTTACTTTATATTCTTAATTTTATGAAAAATGATAATATGGAGTGAAATGAAATGAAGATGATTAATTTGAAACATTAATCAACTGGGATGAAATTTAATGAAATGAGATGATATGGGATGAAATATAATCGCAGTAAAATGGTGGTCATTTACTGAGATTTTTTCAGTGGACTTTTTGGAGGAACCCGAGAAGTTACGTCCAGCAGCTTTGTTTCATTTTCCCACATTTGTGCACTTTCACAGATATTAAACAGTTAATAAACCACCGTTATTACACATTTAAACCTGAAGAAACACTAAATAGACAAAATAAAACAAATCACACAACTTCACTCCTCGCGTTCCCGCCAAAAAGTCCCACCAATAAATTTTTTAAGAGATTTTATGACCTGGTAACTAAGACCTTTAAGTCATGTCTTATTTTACTTTATATTCTTAATTTTATGAAAAATGATAATATGGAGTGAAATGAAATGAAGATGATTAATTTGAAACATTAATCAACTGGGATGAAATTTAATGAAATGAGATGATATGGGATGAAATATAATCGCAGTAAAATGGTGGTCATTTACTGAGATTTTTTCAGTGGACTTTTTGGAGGAACCCGAGAAGTTACCTCCAGCAGCTTTGTTTCATTTTCCCACATTTGTGCACTTTCACAGATATTAAACCGTTAATAAACCACCGTTATTACACATTTAAACCTGAAGAAACACTAAATAGACAAAATAAAACAAATCACACAACTTCACTCCTCGCGTTCCCGCCAAAAAGTCCGCAGAGAGAGAGATGGGCAATGGGCATAGATAATAAGCTTCTTTTTTTTTTTGATTTTATGACCTTCAGTCTTTTATGACTTTAAGTCAAGTCTTATTTTAATTTATATTCTCATTTTTATGAAAAATGATATATTCTCATTTTTATGAAAAATGATAATATGGAGTAGAATCAAAATGAAATGAAGATGATTAATTTGAGACATTAATCAACTGGGATGAAATTAAATGAAATGAAATGAGATGATATGATATGAATATAATATCAATAAAATGACCACCATTTAGTGAGACTTTGTCAGTGGACTTTTTGGAAGATCCGGAGAAGCTATGTTCAGCGGCATTTGTTTGTTTTGCCCACATTTGTGCACTTTCCAGTTACTAAACAGTTAATAAACCACCATTATTGCACATTTAAACCTGAAGAAACACTACATAGACAAAATAAAAAAGGGTGTGTGTACTTATATACGCGCGTAAGAAGTTATACTTTATTTTTATTAAATTTATTTCTTTTTTTTTATTAAAATTTTAATCAATTTGAAAAAAAAACGATTAAACAACATCCTCAAATACGCATATTGGACATCCCTTTTCTTGACATCGTATAAATTCGGTAATTCTCGGTACGGTTCGGAAAGTACGGTTCACCTGCGGCTATATTCAGACTCGCCAAGTTACATCGGTTGTATTGTAATGAGTAATTTAGTGGGCAGCTTCATTCTGTTAATTTTGTGTCACGGTGCGCGCGCATCGTAAAATGCACTTTAAGGCGTGAATAAGGCACTTTAAGCGCCTCACGATCCATCTTGCTGTACGTCCCGCCAAGGCCATGCACGATGCACGATGCATTTAGCGCTTTATTCACGATCCATCACGGCTGTACGTCAGCTCAAGGCCGCAAGCGCGAACAGTATAAATCGAACGAATTAAATGAGAGGGTTTTAATTTATTTAAAATGCCAGCTGTTTTATCAAAACGCCAAAAATGGGAGTCCTGCTGATGTTGTCAGCTGCAGCAGCAGAAGAGAGGCAAAAAATAGCAAGAGGTTTTGGATGATTTTTTTAAACGTGCAGAGTATACTCAAATAATTAATATCATTTTTTACGCACGCTATCAATCCCCTGCAGCTTCCCCTAAAATGGACCTAAAAAATTGTAATACGTTTATTATTTTTTGTTTATTCATATAGTCTGCGCTTGAGACATTCCACAAACATGTGGAACTTATATCTTTCAATAAACCTTGAAAGTGTTTCACGATCCATTTTGACGTGCAGTCTCCACTCGAAGCAAGCTCTAAATGTTAAATTTGCTGTACAGCAAGTCTACACACGATCAAGCACACACGACGCAGGACCGCTCTGACGTACGTCAGCGTTATTCACTGTCTATCTGCACGACGTTCACGGTGGTGGGGGCACTCGCTGGACGCAAAATCGGTCGTGCAAATCCAGCAAACAATTAATAATAATTATCGACGTACGTCAAGCCTATTCATGATCGTTTTGCATCGTGCATCGTGCATGGCCTTGGCGGGACGTACAGCAAGATGGATCGTGAATAAGGCGCTTTAGGTTGCTACAGCCATAGATTATACACTTAATATATTCGAGGCATACTTATTAACTCCATGATTCGAGGCTACAGCTCTAGTACTTAGTAATTACACGGTACGGTACGGTACCGTACTTGAGTCGACTATTATCAAAGCCGGCAATCTGACTTTTGGACAATGATTGGTAAATCAGAAAAACGAATTATTGACTTTGTATTCCATTGGCAGTCACAAAACTCTTCGGAACGACATCTTAGATAAATAACAGGTTAACTATTAATCTTTATTTAATGCAGGTTGTGAACCGTATTCTTTGAAGGAGACGATTATATTCATTCTCGAATATATTAAGTGTATAATCTATGATTATATTCAAATCAATCTATATTGACATATCAATAAAAAATTTTTGTCCAAATGCACAGATTGCCACCTTTGATAATAGACGACTCACATAGTAACTCCATGTTTAGTATTTAGTTTGTGGTTTATTTATTTGATTTGTTTAATTCATAATTATCACACTGCCTGATTAGTGTGTGACATTAAAAAAGGAAAATAATAATAATTTCAATGTGCTTTTCGAATGTAATATAGATTATTAAAGTAGTACTAAATACTCTTTTGAATTACCTACAATTCGATCCATGATACGCTCTAAAATGTGTTCAGTGTTCTGAAGTGTTTTATTTATGATCACACTCTTCAATAAGGAAATCTATTTGACACCAAATCTATCAAAATGATGGTCAAAATCTCCGGCCTACCACCCAATGTAAGTATTTTTTTGCTCGTTAATAAATTGGAATTAAAGGTACGCTTTATAGCATATATGATGCCTAAATAATATTTACCTATTCCAGATAAAATGTTATGATGTAAAGACGTTAATTAAGAGAGAATGCAATATAATTGATATAATATTAGATGATTTAGTGGGCGATGTCAATGCTTGTAAGACAATCAGGGTCGGTCTGGCTGATGATGAAGAAGGATGCCGTGTTATAAAGTGCCTCAATGGGTTCCGTTTCGGAGACAAATACATAATTAAAGTTGAACAAGTCTGTAAATCTTCGGTAAGTGTGTGATGTAAGACATAGTGTATGTAATAATAATTGATTACTTCTTCTAAATTAGTTTGCCATTAATAATGTAGACAATGCTGACTGGTTCAAACATATTTGCATTTTTCTTGATTTTACATAAAATTCATTATTTTACAACTATCACATCTATATATCTATCTATTTTCTATCAACCGCAGTTGGTGATTTAGCTTGAGCCAAACTGTAGTTTTAGTCCTTAACAGCTTAAAATTCAATTATTAAATAATTTTAATTGGTTAAATTAGTTTACTTCCAAACATATAACTTGTTGCATTAATTTAAATACTTATCTGGGTCCAATATCCAATGAAACCAAAAAAAACGGAAAATTCAGTTTGGTTTCTGTGGAACTTGAAAAAAGTGTCCTCATGGTAGGCAGGATAACTCATAGAAGTTTCATCCGAATTAAAAAACAATGGGTTCTAAAAAAATGTTATAAAAAATAAAAATACTTTTAAGACAGATTTCTCTAAAAAATTTAATTTTAACTTTCGTTAGAGTTGCCTGCAAAATAATTCCAATTTTTGGTGCAAATTCAGTATAGACTTATTGTAAAAATATTAGTAGTCATAAATAAAAAAAATCACAAGTTCTGGTCAATGGTATTTTTATTTATTGTACTGTTAAAACTGAGACTTTGTCTCGAGGTACGTGGCGGCATTTACGTCGTAGGTGTGTATGGGCTCCGGTAACCACTTAACGCCAGGTTGGCCGTGAGCTCGTCCACTTACTGCAGCCACTATAATTGTTCCTCTTGGGTCTGAGTCTCAGATCTTTCCTCACCTATAAGTAAATGATGTTTGTCCACTTTTCGACATTTCCTGGCTATTTCGACTAAGTTTTACATGTATCCCCTACATAAAAAGTAATAGAACTAAGAAACCTTTGTTAAAAGTACAAGAGAAGTAATGCAGCAATTCCATCTGTTTCGGAACCAGAATCGCAACTGAACAGGCCATTTGAAACGAGAGAAACATAACTATAGATATACTCTGACAATAGCCATGTCCAGCGAATCAACCTTCTCAACATAGCTTTTTTTTTTTTTTATTGCTTAGATGTGTGGACCTGCTTCGCCCTCGGCTGGTCTCGCCCAACAGAGCAAGGTTTCGCAAAGGCATTATCTTCCAGAATTTTATCAATNTGACAATAGCCATGTCCAGCGAATCAACCTTCTCAACATAGCTTTTTTTTTTTTTTATTGCTTAGATGTGTGGACCTGCTTCGCCCTCGGCTGGTCTCGCCCAACAGAGCAAGGTTTCGCAAAGGCATTATCTTCCAGAATTTTATCAATTTGAAACTATTCAATTGCTTTGTTCATATTGCACTATTAGCCAATAAATAACGAAATGGGTTTTTTTGAAATTTTCGGACTCACACTGTTTTTTTTTTTTTTTTTTTTTTTGCCTTTGTAGGCAGACGGGCATACGGCCCACCTGATGGTGAGTGGTTACCGTCGCCCATGGACTTCAGCAATGCCAGGGGCAGAGCCAAGCCGCTGCCTACCGCTAATATTACAGCCTCATAATAGTTTCTTTTATTTTATAATAATCAAGTACCGATGTGGATTAACGAGTAAATTGATGTTTGCAGTCATCGAACACTAAACAGACTGACTCTGGTCCTGCAGACAGATACCAACCGACAAACTATCACAATTATCCGGGAACGAACAGTTCTAATGATCATAAAATAGGATATCCATCAAACAAATCCGGTAACCAATCGTTAACATCCCAGGGCCCTGGTAACTATGATAAGGGGCCTTATGGTTCACAGGGTCATTGGAAAGAGTCATCACAATATATTACAAAAGTAAGTAGTAATGGTATTGCCTATCAAACACAACAAACTGTGCTCTGCGGAAGCATCCATTAAAATAAAACACATTTAACGTTAAAAAAATCTAAACACTAAGTACATATTTTAACATTCTTCATTGTTAACTTTATTTTCAAATTGTAAACGCTGAAAACTGAGGCTCTACAGAAGTAACATAATATATCATCATATATTTTATCGTATCATATTATAATAATATTAAAAGAAAACCGCAACCTTCTTAACACTTTTATGCAACAAAATAATCAAAATGTGAACACCTAACTTCTGTGATTATTCAAAATGATTAAGTCTTGTTTTATTTTGTGCTTCCCAAAAAAAAGACAGATGACTTCAGAGCATCAACGAATTTCAATGTCGACCAATCCGGCTACCAGGCTGGCCACAACCAAAACCAATGGGGGAATAAGGTAAGAATGAAGATGTGTTATCAACAGTGTGTTACAACAAATGTGACTGGCTTTTAGTTTAGTAGGTAGTAATTTAATTGAAAGCAATTTAATTTTGCTGGCGGCTTTATATTTCGGATAAAAAAAAACCAAAGCTTCATTCAAAATACCTTTGATAATTTGCTCCCTAGATAAGACCGAGCTATGTCTCCTGATATATGACAGACTAGCTGACCCGGCAGACTTCGTAGTGCCTCAATCGATAAATAAAAGACCTAATCTTTTGTATAAAATAAACCTAAAACAAACAAAAGCAATCCGTCCGACGGGGGACACATCAAAAGAAAAACAAAATTGTTATTTTTATTTCATTCCGAGCATTTTCATATTTATCTACCTTTTAAGCCTCTGTACTTCCAAAAATAATTCAAGACCAAAATTAGCCAAATCGGTCCAGCCGTTCATTTCATTCAGCAATTCATTTATATATATATATATAGATGACAGATATTGTTATAACTCAAATGACGACTAATAAAATCTTAGTCACGCCGGTCATCCGGCTCCAAGAGAGACTGACATATATAATTGAAGACATGAATGGATGAAGGGGATATGATCGAATTTGTTAATTTTGAGAAAATGGGCAACAAACTTTTGTTACTTGTACTATTTCTTCGTAAATAACTCCTTCATCACATTCAATTTCTAAAAATAACCTTTAAACCCGGAGTTTTAAGGTCTAATTGGTTTATAAATACATAAGAGCTTCATTCAATGTAAAAACTCAAAAGTCTTAAAAATTATATACTTAATCCCTTTATTCATTCATGTCTTCAATTATATATGTTTAAATATATATAAACTTGTATACATATAAACATGTATATGTGCCCCGAAAGCACTTTTTATCGATATTTATTATTCAATATCAGGATACCGTTTAATGGGAGTGAATAATCAAAGCAGAATATATACATTACATTTTTATTGAATAACCTCGCTAAAATGTATTGAGACATAATTATTAATCGGTTTGCTTATAATGCTTGCGATGTATCTTTCGGTTGTCGTGATTCATATTTGAAATATTAGGCAACGGTATAATCGTTAAGCATTGACACGTTCGAGATTTTTCTAGAAAATTTCACGTCAAATAGAACCGCATGTTCGCTTATTTGGCTTCCTAACTGCTAAACTAACATACGAGATGTAATAAAGTATTGTATTCTGTTTCTGCCAACCTAGAACACATCGCGACCGCAGAATTTCGATTCATTCACAGCACCTAATCTAACTAATACAAGGGACTGCCGTAGCCCTGATCAGAGCCGAAGCGTAACAATGTCGACGCCGCTCTTAACAAAAATACTACATAACCTAACCAATCCACCACAGCGCTTAATACAAAACGATGGGTCGTCATCGCCTCCAAGACGTAATTCATCGTTTGGAAGACAAGAATCAAGGAATATCGGGCGATCGCAGTCTCCCCATGAAAATACGCCTCAAACACGTCATCGTCAACCCGAAAGACCTGTCTCGCCAGGAAAACGAGCGATGCAACAAGGATGGCAAAGTGATTTCAAGCAAACACCACAAAGGACCAAGGATGTTCCATCGAACCGAAATATATCGCCGCCTGGTCAACGTACTCCTGCTGGCAGGCCAAAGTCGCCGTCTTGGACAGCTCCGATCAGATATTCCCCGCCCAGAGCGGCAGCTAGACAACAATTTCCTTCAAGTGCGCGAGTATTCGATTTTCGTCGGCCAGGTAATTGTTGACAAAAAATCATGTTTTACTTCGGCGTATATAGTGAATATTTAATTTAGTTAATACAAAAAGTCCACATTACACGGTTCGTGTTAAATCGTGAAAAAAAGTACTTCATTCTCAAAATCTTATCTGGGGAAACCGCTCTTTTCGAAGGATGAACGTAGACTGAACATTTCCGATTCTGCGGACCAAATGGTAAACAGTCGACGTCGCCCTAAATACGTCATTTCGGATCCTCCCGATCCACTAACGGTGCTTTTAGGTACCCCAAGCACCGGTCATCGTTCTCGTCGAACCCGTCGCTTGCGACGAAGGGCTCGGCGAGTAAATAAACCCACAGACACGGCCCACTGAGTTTCTCGCTGGATCTTCTCAGCGGGCCGCGATTTCAATCCGGTAGTAGATTAATTCGCGAAGCAGTTGCTCTTTCTTGAGTTGTTAGGTCTCCTTCGGAGGCGCTCGGGCAGCTATTATCAAATCCCACCCCTCCTGGCAGAGTCTTTGCTCGCCCAATTGCCCTGGTGAAACTGGAAAGGCCTTCGGGCCACTAGTAATCCTTCAAGTATATAAAAGTTACCTGTTGTCATGCTTTAAGTATAGGATAGGTTTATTGATTTGAATTAAATAGAGTTGAAGTCTCGTATCTGCTGTCAACAAGAATCGTTAATCTCAGCTAGAATAAGTGATAGTGTTGATTACGACCCTCAGTTTTGAGGACATTAAAGCGTGAAAGAGCATACATTCATTGGCAACTACTGTTCTCCAAGTAATTCGTAAGCCCGATTGCCTGGATTGACTATAATATCCACTTGCAATTGTGTTTTCTCCCCCTACCTACTCGCTGTCGCCCTAAGGGTCTATTCCGCGCAGACGGGAAATCATAATTGTGACTTTGAAATCCAATTAATAACTAAATAATATTAACGTGTAGGTGAGAAATCTATGAGTGGCCCCCATGTGATGCAGCCTCCGGGACCAACCCAACCAGGGTACACGAACGTAGACAACAAAAACGTAAGGTGTGTTGATCATGTTATTATTTTATCGTGTATAAATAAAAATATACTATCTTTGTCAGTGCTATGTACATCATAATCCACGATCTGGAATCGAAGTAAACTGTCCTTTCGTAATAAGGTAGGTAAGGTAATTAATAATAATAATAGGTAAGGTTAGTAGGTAAGGTAATAAGTTGGGTCAACTTTACAAAAGTACGATACGGTCAATATGACAATGTGACATTTAGTCATGCGACACAAGCAGAATCCCTCCAGAAATAATAATTAGAACCTATTAAGTATATGAAGACAGCGTCAGAACTCTACTTCACGTTAGCGGTGCCACTCCGGGGTCGCCACGTCCCAATCCCAATACATCGTCATTTTAGGCCGGTTGTATCATTTTTTTCATACAATTGAAATTACATCTTAATCTTCTTCTCCACCTTATCCCACTAGGTGCGGTCGGCAGAGCGAATTTTTTTGTTTCATTCTCTTCTATCAGCCGTCATCTCAACACTCACTCCTGTCTCTCTCTCATATTGTCATTCACACACCCCATTCATGTCTTCTTCGGTCGATCTCTTCCCCCCTCTACCTTGCATACCATTTCCATACATCTCCTAAACAGATGCATCTTCTCTCTACGCATCACATGAATTGAAATTACATCTTATTGTCCACGAAATTTCATGAGCGCGCTAACTGAGAAGTAGCACATATCTAAAACAATGTTTACTGATTACACTGATTACACGTTTACACTGTGCTGTACTATATTAGCTAAGTATAGGCTGCTATACTACATTCGCGAGCAAAAGTTTGGAATCACTTACTTGAAATTAGGTCCGCGCGATCTCGTGTACTAAATTTTAATAATCATAAAAATGACATCGTTTTAAAGGTTCAATTCTTAACTTTAAATTGATACTAAATTCATTAAAATCAAGCCAGTATTTAAGAAGCTATCCTGGATTAAGTGAAGAAATAACGAAAAAGACTTGTTTCAATTGCTTGATACGTCGCGAGTTGCGACTTATTGACCACTATAAAAGCACCTGTTATCGGATTTTCTTTATCAGTTGACTTTCACACGTTGACCGGTACACATCTCCGCTAATTTTGATCCTTTACCTTGTACGGCAATGGAGACAACACCTACAGAAGCAGCACAAATCGTACACCTATTGCAAGAAGGGTTCAGCCAGCGGGTTGTCGCTCGTCGGCTACACATAAGCCAGTCCTGTGTTTCGAAAGCTTACAAGCGCTTTCAGGAGACTGGTGGCTTTATCCCGAGACTAAGATCTGGACCGCGCCGGTGCACATCGGAGAGGGATGACCGTTTTATCGTGCCAACCTCTCTCCGAAATCGGCATTTACATGGCGTCGACGTCCAACAGGAGTTCCGAGATATTCGTGGGGTAGCAGCCAGCGAGTGGACACTTTGTCGACGACTCAAGCTAGCGAATCTGACTCCAAAAAGGCCTCCCACAGGCTCGAAACGCACGGTAGCTCACCGACAAGCACTTCTTCAATTTGCTCGCACCCATCTTGATTGGGAGGTTGAGCAATAGAGGCAAGTCCTGTTCTCCGACGAGAGCAGGATGTGTTTGCACGGTAGCGACCGAAGAGGTCGGGTCTACAGGCGGCCTGGAGAGCGATTTGCGCAGTGCTGTTTCGCTGAAACAGTGGCTTATGGGGGCGGCTCCGAACCGAGCTTGTTTTCATGCCTATCGGGGGACGAGGAAGCGGTCTAACTTCGGACTGGTACATTTCCAATATTCTGCTAGAACATGTCCTTACCTATGCTGGATATATCGGTGATCACTTCTTCCTTATGCACGATAACGCTCGTTGTCACACTGCCCGTGTAACAACTGTATACTTCGAAGAAGTCGGTATCGCCACATTGGACTGGCCAGCGCTCAGTCCTGACTTGAATCCCATTGAGCACGTATGGAATGAACCGAAGAGGAAGTTTCGTTCCAGAACTCCTGCTCCTTCATGTCTGAATGAGCTGAAATCGGCGTTGATTTACGAGTGGGAAGGTATCCCACAAGAATCAATTCAGAAACTGATCATGTCTATGAAGAATCGTCTTCGAGCAGTTATTAGGGCGAGGGAAGGGAATACAAAGTACTGATGCTTAATATTAAGGCTAAATAATTTCTTTTACTTATTAATTTTTGTTGTTTTGTTCATTCATTATTTTTCCATATTTCCTTGTTTTTCTACCTCCTTCACTGAATCAGGGATAGCTCCTTAACTACTGGCTCGATTTAAATGAATTTGGTATCAATTTAAAGTAGACAGCTTAAAATGATGTAATTTTTATGATAATTAAAAATTTATTTAGTAACCAAGATCCCGCGGAACCAATTTCAAGTAAGTGATTCCAAACTTTTGCACGCGTGTATATATGGCAATATAGTATTTCTTCTTCTTCTTGCTTCGGTTTCCTCAGTACTGAGGATCGTGACCACCTCCTCGCATCAAGAGTTTATTACGGACCATTCCACGCCATTTGCCTCTATCTGCCGCCGAGTGTAGAGAGCATCGTGAACTGTGGTGTCAAGGGTAGTGCGGATCTGGTCAGTCCAACGTGTCGGGCCTCTACCTCGTAGTCATCTTCCGTTCACCAGTTGCCAGTCACCATTAGCTTCTCCAAGCTGCCGTGATCCTTTCTTGCAATGTAGCAATATAGTATAGTGTAGTCTGAAAGCAGCTTTAAGAATTTTAAAATACTGACCCGTAAGTAATCCTAGAAAATATTAAACAGGTTTCCTCCATTCGTTCGTACGAATAACCCATACGAACAATATATGGAGAACAATCCGGCGTCAAGTCAAGCACGACCACAGCACATCCAGTCGCAAGTAAGTCCGTAGATTGATTTTTGACATGCACGATAACACTTAACAAACTCGTTTTTGTTTTTAAATCAATAATTTTCAACGATATCATAATAATATTGTTATTGAATACCCCTTTCTAAAAAGTCCGGTATATAAATCTATAATAGGTCTCTGTAAGGCATTTTGTGGGTCGTTTTTATCTACCCACAAAAAAAAACCGGTCTGGAACGAATGAGTGGGGGAGTTGGCTTAAATACTTTGCACGATAAAGGCCCATTGCGAATCTGAAATTCGTATAAATATACTTTATAATGTTCTATCTGTGGCGGTAGCCATCATACAACACGACGTTTCCAGGATAAGTTTACACAGATACAAGTTCCGAACAACAACATTTGGACCTACCGAACAATATCACCCGCTCGGTGGAAGATCTTCCCTTTGTCGTATATATCTATTTCTATACTATCCTCGTCTCATTCCACTTCTGACTATAATTGATACGACTTTTGTTTATGTTGTGATATTTAGTTTTAAGACCGGTTCATCTAACCTCAACCGTTCTCGGGAATGGCCCAGGGGCTCACGGATATAGAACAAAGCGACTTATACAGCTACGCGAGATGGAAGATTGCGAAGTCGCATGAGTATTCCTGACGAGTTGGGAAAATAATAATGGATCAATTGGTTCTGGTGGAATCCACGGGTATTGTCCCACAATTGTCGAAAGTTTAGACGGATGTTTTTCAACTAAGCATTTTCCAATGCTTTGGTAACGGATAAACTGGCATCACTGTTTCGTTTAGAATATTGCTCTAAAATTAATGGTGCCCTAGTGTGAAATTATCGTATGTGTTGTTTCTTTGATCACTTAGAAGTTTTCGTCGGGTTTTTATGTAAACAACAAATTACATAAACAGGAAAAAAGACTTTAAACATTGCTTCAATACATAAAAAAGATCGAAACTCTAAGCTATGACGAACAATCAACGACCTTCATACAGTCTCCAAGCAGACTCCCGCTCAGGAACTTTGTTTAGGTTACCTGGGATAAAATAGCATTTTGCTGAAGTTTGTCGCGTTATTTATTTGAGCCAAAGAAGAAATCTTGTTTTGGAAACAATAAAAAAATGCAGTTTGTGAAGCAAACCTCCACGCAAAGGAATAAGGGCATGATAAACGAAACGATATGTGGACCTCTTCATGGCAGTTCCTTCCATCACGGATTTGGCTTTAAGTCTTCGAAAGTTATTGCTCAAACGTGATAACATGAGTGAAATATCAATCGGAGCATCGTTAAATGGTAAAATATCATCCATTTACGATCATATGTCACTTATCTCTACCTAATCGTTGGTAGCCTAAGGGGCTATTTCAACTACTCGCAAACCGGTAGGTAGAGCACTCGGTTTCAACCTGAGAGAGTTTGCTAACACGAGCAAGCGGGTCCTAGCAAGAGTAGTGCTTCGCAGAATTACCACTGGATCGGAGTCGCGACCCACTGAGAAGATCCGGTATGTGATTAATGGTGCATGGACGCTCACGCATAAAGTGTAGAGTTCGGTTATCAGCTACGCTCTAGTCCAGCCTTTCCCAAAGTGGGTGATAACGCCCCCTCGTGGGCGCTGCAGGCCTTAAGGGGGGCGGTAAAAACCCCAAAAAAAAACAGGGAGCGTTGTGTAGAGGCCTGGGAGTCGTCTCGTAATTTTATTTAGAAAGACCCTTAGGCACCGACTGAGCTCTCGCTACAGTGGTGTTTAAGTAGCTGAAAAAATGGGGGCGCTAAAAACCCCCCAAAAAAAAAAAAAAAAAAATAATAATAATACCAGTATCGAATTAATTTGCATTGGTGTCCGAGCCCAAACCTAACGGGAAAATAGCTCGGGATGTAACGTAATCGTTTTAAGAACCTTCAAAACAAATAAGAAGACGTGATAAGACAAGGCGTCATTTATCATCTCCTCAACTGCAGTGCAGAAATATACTTTTCGAATTTTACTGACAAACTGAACTAATCAAAATAGAAGAATGTGGCACAACGGATTGCTAACTATTTGAACTATTTTGAGATCGTGGTTGGTTCAAAGACCTTACCTCTGCCGGAATGGGAAGGTTTGCTAATAAATACCCGAGCGCCACCTTTGTGGAAGTCTGACAGTACAAGGGCAGATGCTTTTTTAGGCATCTACCACTATTGGAATCGCATGAGTCCAAAGTTCGAAAGGCAAGCATTTGAAATGTTCGATATAAGCGCCACATATCCCAGGATCAGTGCTAACAAACCACTGTATTGTATACCATGAAGCCATGAAAATAAACTTTATTGAAGAATTTCAGTCGACTCCAACAGAACAACATGGAATTACCAATATCAAGCTCGAGAAATTCTACTAAGTGTGGTCTTAATGCATATAAAAGTGCTAGTAATAAAAAGGTTACACAATATTTGCAAAATTGATTGGTGATAATTGCACGAAAAATAATTAGCTAGGGTGAGAGTGTAAACTTTCAGAGCTTTATCGTTTCGTACAAAAGCTTCTGAAAGAAGTCCTGACAGAAGTCACGATGTATTTTACTTGTTCGGGGCTGTTGTTTGCGTTAGAACAATTCGAAGTTGTTAATAAAACAAAATAATCGATAAAAAAATTTAATGGATACCTACGTAATTTTTTTAATCTCTTGTATGGATTAAGTTATTTATGTATATCATTTGTCCGTGTTTGCAAAAACAGATTTTAAATTTGCAGGAAACAATCCAACCTATGTACTCAGGTGGCTATCCGTCAAGTCATAAAGGAAACGCTTCACAGCCGGCATGGGGACCAGTTCAAAAAACATCATGGCAACAAGAGACGAAACGTGTTCTCGACCCGAAATTGGGAGACAACGTAAATTTGCCTCCACCTGTGCACATGCGATCGCCGAGATCGCCCGTTCGCCGAGATTCTAGTATCGGCCAACCCGTCTGGGGCGAGACACACAACGTGCAAGCTGACAATGCTCGTAACCCCGGCTGGAGACCAGACCCATTTCAAGAAACCGTCGCCAAGAGACAATCTGGCGCTGGCAACGTGCAACGTTTCGAAAATAGTTTAGGAGGTCGGAGTGACTTTTATGAAGGGATCCAACATCCACCACCCGGCTCGTTTCGTTCGAACGTGGACCCTCAGACGAACGATTACCGCGAGCCGAATAGCAGCACCAGGAGTTCAAAGGAGAGTTTCCAATTCCAGCGGATGCAACGGCCATCGTCCGAGATGCAGGAAGGTCCGCGCTGGTCAAAAGGACGCGATGAACATCGTAACGATTTCGGTGACGCGTACAAGAAGAACCGCGATTTGAGTTCAGTTCCAGGCTTAAGAAGTATCGATCACCAGAATTCTCGCGATCACGAAGCCAATCGGCCAAACAGCCAGACCCAACTATGTGCGAGACCTCCAGCAGAACCCGAATGGAACATCGACAGGATGAATGATCCAATGATGAATCCAAAACGCGACAAAGCGGTCGAAGCAATAGTCAGTACAATACTGAAGAAGCACCAGTATTTAGCCGAATGCGGCGATGAAGAGAGGATACGTGTGATAGAAGAACTCAAGAACGAACTCGGGCAGCTCTTCATAGACATGTTCGGTGATCGAGACATCTCTTACATAGAGATAATGATAAAATACAAGGCTAAATTCGGCGACAAAGATGAGGAGGTCATGATTGAAAACGTACTGTCGAAGCTATCCATCGAGATGAGATGCTTAAAGAGATCAGCGCCAGGTAAGGATCGGATAAAAAAAATTTTTTTTTTCCGTTTTATTATTATTATTATTATTACTCGGTTTCGGCGAAAAATAAACAGAATCTCGTGAAATGTCCTTTCAATTTTTCGAACATTTTCAAAACAATTTCAATGTTGTATGTATGAGACCGTCAGCGCAAAAGTGGCCAATCTTAAGAGAATTGATTGGTTAATTAAAATCACTTTTACGTTATAATCTCGCATTGTTTAAATGTAGTTTTATATTTGAACTAACAAAAGAAACTGTAAAGTATTTAAAATCATCTTAAACAATAAAATACTTTACACAACGCGATTTTATTAACTACTGTGACTTTCTGAGTATCTTAGAACACAGTCAAAAAGTTTAGATTTTTAAAATAACTGACGGAAACATCGTAAACTTCACAAAAAGGACTAATGATCTTAAAATACGTTGTTTACTTAAACCAGTGGTCCGGCAACTTTGTCAACCAAAAGACCCAAATACAGATAACAAACAATTGAATCACGTCCTTACGGATCCATCAGTATCAATCGTCGTGCAATGTAATCCATGCATCAACCCGCGGAGTTTCTCGCCGGATCTTCTCAGCGGGTCGCGATTTCGATCCGGTAGTCGATTCATTCGTGAAGCAGCTACTTTTGAGTTGTTAGGTTTCCTTTGGAGGCTCTCGGGTAGTTGTTAGCAAATTCCACCCCTCCTGGTTGAGCCCTTGCTCGCCCACCTGCCCTGGTGAAACTAGAAAGGCCTCCGGGCCATTACTAATCTTGCAATCGTAAAAAAAAATGAAATTTATCGAAAGACCCAAATTTTTTTTAATATATATTTTTATATCCTTGGTTTCAAAAATGTCCAGGCAAGATCATAAGTAATATTCAGTGCCTGAACTAACTAACTGAACTTTCGCGGAAGAGCCATAGCCGAGGACTCAAGAGTCAAGTGCGGGTCACAAGCCACATGTTGCCAACCACTGACCTAAACCGATTTAAATATTATGTGTACCTACTAGTCTAAGTAGGTAGTGAATCTTTCTTGTTCTTCTTCATCGCTTTCTTCATTACTGAAGGTCGTGTCCTTGAAACTTGACCGAGACCTATCTTGTGAACTGTTTCCACCTCGTCCGATCCTCAGCTTCTCGTAGGGCGGTTGCGACTGGCAGGTAGTGATAGGGCGTGTTTTATTCCCCCACGGTTAGGTACCACTATATAAGCCCTGCTCGTTTCTGCTTTAAAGCCGAAAAGTGCTTCGGTCCTAAGGATGGGTCAGCGTTGTCCAATAGGACTGAGACTTAGAATTCATAGCTCAAAGTGGGTGGGTTTTATGTCGTCGATATTTATGGGCTCCGGTAACCTATTAACACCAGCTGGGCTGAAACTGTGTTAACATGTAGGTATAAGCAATACAAAATAATATTGCGATAGTCACTGCGTGAACACTCTTCGTAAGGTCGTTTCTGTGCTGACTGCCTCATATTTGCGTAATAATTTTAAAAACAAAAGGAAATTGTATTTATTCGTCCGCAATTATTCAACGGGACTGGGTTTTATTATATTTTCGTCAAAACAAAGACATTTAATGACCTATGTAATAAGTAGTAACTTTCCGCTCTTTCTCGATTTATTTTGTTAGAATTCAGTCAAACTATGTGCTTACAGAACCAACCGATATTCCCGCGAAGGCAGCCCGCCGTTCGCCGGAGCCTCAGATGAATACAGGTAGCCTAATCGCATCTCATTACATTGAATTTGTAGTTTCGCACGTAATTGCGTGAATCGGTATCCCTCCGTTGGCTTTGATTTTCGTATCCGTTTCACGATGAGAAAACTACAGGCTTCAAACTAGATTTTGTTTCCAGAACAATTGACACCTACAATGAGCGAAGCCGCGAGCGGTAAGTACTAGTAGCTAGACACGAACGGAAGTTGATTAATAATATTTTATCTTAGATGCTTTGGTGGGTCACAAAAAAAGGAGTTTTACTGTAGTTCCAGATTGGCAGCTGAATGTGGAACCTCCAAAGGTGGTTTCCGTGCCAGTGGTAGGTGTCCCGCGTGTCGTTGTGCCGCAGCCACTGGTCCCGCAACCAATGGTCCCGCAACCGCTGGTCTCGCAACCAATGGTCCCGCAACCAATGGTCCCGCAACCAATGGTCCCGCAACCAATGGTCCCGCAACCAATGGTCCCGCAACCACTGGTCCCGCAGCCACTGGTCCCGCCAGTGATTGGACAGCAATTACCCGATCCACAGATAACAGCTGCCACTCAAGTCGCAACTCAGCAAATCAACGTTCCCCAACAAGTGGCAATGGCCATGATGGCGAATCAACACAACGTGGTTCCCGCGCCTTGCGAGAAGCCTTACCACCAAAATCAAGTTCCAGATTACAACAGTAGCCTGGGCGGAACCGCTCCTAGTCTGGGGTTCAACCTTTATTTGTGTCAGGAGAACTTTGAACCTTTCACAGAAACCGAGGCGGACGAGNCTCAGCAAATCAACGTTCCCCAACAAGTGGCAATGGCCATGATGGCGAATCAACACAACGTGGTTCCCGCGCCTTGCGAGAAGCCTTACCACCAAAATCAAGTTCCAGATTACAACAGTAGCCTGGGCGGAACCGCTCCTAGTCTGGGGTTCAACCTTTATTTGTGTCAGGAGAACTTTGAACCTTTCACAGAAACCGAGGCGGACGAGATCAAGTCTTTCTTGATCTGGCAGACTATGAAGGTGACCGAAACGTCACGTGGCTGGTCGCCTGACATCACTTTTAAAGGATTGCAAAGCGTGAACCGGTACGAGCTGTTCACTATGGACGAGGCCACCAAGAAATGGCTCCTCAAGATAGATTACAGCGAATTGAAAAACTTAAACGTTTTGATGTACACTATGGAGGAACTTTGGTACGAAAGAGCCGCCATCTGGCTCCCGGGTCATTATTCTAAAAAGACTCGTTTAGAGCCATTCGAAAAATTAAAATTACAAAACAAACGTTTGAAAGACGTCAATATAGGTAAGTGGAAACTGGTCAAACAGATAGTCAATGTGAAAGGTACGCGATTGTACGTCGACTTAAGCCCGACCTCCGCGCGAATGTTGGCCAGATACAAAATGAAACTTAGCTACGAACTGCAAAAAGTGGATGTTTACCTGAAAGCTAGCGCCGTCGATAAGGACACCTTTGACGCTGGATTAAAAGAGAAATCGGTGACTGACCGCAATTTGATCTTGAAAACGGCCCGGACCACGCCCATGCCCGTTATCCAAAACGGCCCGTCCGTGGTCAAAATAACTTTGGACAGAACGAGATATCTCACCCCGGGGCAGACGTTTAAACTCCGTGAAATCGTGATATATCATTTGTTCAGATACCTGGAACACGGCGGTACGGGAAGCACAGATTTCGAGAAGTACGGCTTTATATCCCCGAACATAGTGGGCATCGTACCGGAAAACGAAGAGTCGAAACGTTGGTTGCTCAACCACCAGTTTGGGAAACTTCACTATTCGCAGATCATGGTCATGTGTGGGGGGCCACAGGACAACGTGACGTACATGACGATGCACGTTTCCGTGCCTACTTACAAAAACAGTCCCAAAACTAGCGTGATATTCGAAGGAATCAAGAAAAGTAACGCAAACATCAAAGGATTAAACACGCATCTATGGAAGCTTAGGGGTGTCCATCATTCGAAACAGAAAAGCGAGACCAAACTTCATCTGGATGTAGACATCAAGTCAATCGAAAAGTTGATCGAAATGAACTATGCTATCAGTTACGCGGACAGCAACAACCGAAAGCACACCCTCACCGTGAAGCATGATTATTCGGAAGCGAAATTTATGCGCCTGGTGAAACGTCATAAAACCGAAATGGACGATAGTTCCGTCGTGAATATGGAGTTTAGTTCGGACGAGGATGACGTCATATGCTTAGAATAAACATTTGTATTATTCACGAATAGCTTGCAAAATTAGAGTTAAGGTTCGTTTTAAAATTACACAATAAAATTAAAACGTACATTGGGTCTTATAATTTTAATAATACGTTTTATTTAATAATGCTACGACTCATTTGCCTTAATTATCAGCGAGAAAAGAAACAGTAATTGTATAGGTTCAATAGGAGCGATGCGAAAGACCTATTCTTTATCGGACTATTTTGCTGAAAATAGACTTAACTATTCGACATAATCTTTTTGTTTTTTTTTCCAGTTTTATACATATTCCAGTCGAGACTCAACTTGTATACCTAATTTGTTCATATCTCATCTCTAATTCATCATTTATGCCGTCTCTAAAATAGTTTTTTATTTTTTTTATTTAAATAAATTTGCCATTTTCATTTGCATTTTCACGTATTGTTTGTAAAGCTGTTGAATATATTACAAAATCCCTTTTAAGTTTACAAATAAAACCCGAACATCGAACTATTTATAATCTTTACAGCTCGAAAACAATCGACAAATCACAGAAAGGTAAGCGCCTCTTTTGCACCACTTTTCCATTTACCAAAATTTTTAAGCAATAGGGTCCCATCTGTGGCCTTGGGTCGATGAAAAGAAACAATAATATATGATTAAAAGTAAACTTCAAATATTAGTTTATTTTCTTTACACACTGCCAACTCTGTAATAAATCATTACAGCATTACGGTATTTGCTTGAAATTACAACTTTGTTTTTATTGCTTAGCTATTGTGAAATAATGTTGAATGTTGACAATAAAAGCAGCTGTACATTTTTTTGGTAATCGAAACCTGGTGTAATAAATCATATTATTAATTGTTACTGTAAATTCACTAAGCGCAGGTTTTGTAAATATACTCGTGCTGTTTGGTCGAAGGAAAATCATCTCAATTTTTATTAGGGATAAAGTTGATTTTGTTCAATTGATATAACTCGATCACCTTTAGCATAGTGATGTGTCAGTATAACATGATTAAATAAATTAATACTATCGTAATTTTAAGAGTTAAGTTAGCCTGAAGGGCTTTACGATTAGGAACAACGTGCAGTCGAAATATCGGAGCAATTGAAAAGGTAAAATTTAATTAGGTTTCCATAAATTATACACAGTATTGTAATGTGAAACTTTAAAAAAAACAATGAATTGTAATTTAAAAGTTACGGGCTACACATAGTAATTCTAGTTTCAGATTTATGACATCAATGTAAAAATCGTTCTTAACGTGTCCGCAACAAGAGAAGCTCCATTTGTAGATCTCGACTACGAATCACGTGCGAAGATCGATTCCGCTAAACGCCGCCAGGAGGGCGCCAACGAAGTAGGGTAAGTTACCGTAAAGATTATTTTATTTCAGCTGGGGAGTTAGCGCGCGGTCGCTCCACCAAAAGGTGCCGAGTTTCGGTAAAACGAAACACCTATAACCCTTGATCCGGTTTCTACCAGGTATTCATAAATAAAGGAAAACCAAGCGTTCCACATCCGGCTTCGACTGCTGCCTAGAGATCCATCCTGATATTCATCTTTGGACCAGTAAATGTGTGTTAGACCAAGGTATCAGCAGAATTATAGGCCACCGTGCAAACTATTGTATGTATGTTCAAGTTTAACTACTTAAATTAACAGAAGACGACTAAGCTGATCAGGCCTCACGAGGTAAAGCCATGTTGACACGTTGTCAACTTTAAAAGCATTTGCTGTAACAATACGTTCCGGCGAAACGAAAACACAGGTAGGTGACAAGACGTGAGATTTGCGGTGCCGTCTATATTTAGCCGATTTGGCATCGTCAGCATGTTTAGTTTGGTCCTCAATTGTATTTTGTTCGGGTAAGTATGAAAATATCGGATTCTCAACTTTAAAGCACGGTGTTAGAGATTATGTAAATTTATTCGAAATTTTGTAATTTCGCTGATGATTGGCGCTTTCGTAGGCTTCGAACTTGGCACGTTAGGTGTCATGCAACTAGTGTATGGCATTTTGTTTCGGAATGTCGAGAAGCCGTGAGCTATTTTCGAAATAGGGGGCTCAAATATAGCAATAAAACCAGCATAATAAATTAAATCGTACAGGAGGTAATCCAAAGAATACGTTTTGCCCAAATTATATGACCGATTTGGCAAACATTTAAAATTATCTCTCCAATCGAACTGTTTAATTTCATTTGTTATTATTAAGCATAAATTAAGTATATTTACAAACAAATATTTGAATGTGTTTAAGGATCGACATGTGTCGCACATGATCAAACAACATTGGCAAACATTTGTAGTTGTATTTGAACTACATTAACAGTGTCGTGTTTATATATGTTTGCAATTTTATTAGTTTCTGGCTGGGTTCCTGTGTCTGGTATCCTGTGTGGTATTAAAGACTGTTAATGACCGTCTTTTTTTCTTTCTTTACCTAATTTTGAAGGGTNATGTGTTTAAGGATCGACATGTGTCGCACATGATCAAACAACATTGGCAAACATTTGTAGTTGTATTTGAACTACATTAACAGTGTCGTGTTTATATATGTTTGCAATTTTATTAGTTTCTGGCTGGGTTCCTGTGTCTGGTATCCTGTGTGGTATTAAAGACTGTTAATGACCGTCTTTTTTTCTTTCTTTACCTAATTTTGAAGGGTTATTCCAGCTTCTCCGGTTTGGTGGGCGAGCTCACGACGCTCAGGAAAATAAATCTGACACATTTATGTATCCAATTTCAAGGAACTGTTGCTTTATTTCAATCTTAATATTTTTTTATTTTTTTTATCGCCCTTGTAGGCAGACGAGCATACGGCCCACCTGATGGTGAGTGGTTACCGTTGCCCATGAACTTCAGCAATGCCAGGGGCAGAGCCAAGCCGCTGCCTACCGCTAAATAGCTGCAAACCGCTACCTACTACAATCCAATGTAATCGTTTTTCCAATGTACCCTTCAAACTATATAATTGCCAAACATGACCTTTTTGCGTACAGCTGTCTAGTACCAAAGCATAATTCCAAATTATGAACAGCCAAAGTAACGTCAATACAAATCGGACTTATATCAAATCATTATTCAGGTTGTGAATACGACTTATGGGTTCTGTGGGCCCAGTAGATATTTAGCAATAAAACTTCAATCCGGCACACTTCACTCTTTAAAACTGCCATATTGAAATTATTTCCACTTTCTACACTAGTGCTTTTTTTGGTGAGTCCTTCAACAATAATTTGGTGTTCACAGGCGGACACTTTTTCAACTTGTCCCCTATACAAGATTCCTTACTTCTACCCTCTATAATTGTAATACGGCGTACGTCAATTTAGAGATAACTTCTGTCCCCAATGTAAATGTATACTCCGGCAGATAGTTTTCTATCAAAATGACTCGTTTGGGCCAAAGGAGTATCCTCAATAGTCTTAATTTCATTCATCAATCATTCCAAGTGAGTCGTCTATTATCAAAGGTGGCAATCTGTGCATTTGGACAAAAAATTTTTATTGATATGTCAATACAGATTGATTTGAATATAATTGTCTCCTTCAAAGAATACGGTTCAAAACCTTTATAAACAAAGGTTAATAGTTAACCTGTTATTTATCTAAGATGTCGTTCCGAAGAGTTTTGTGACTGCCAATGGAATACAGTCAATAATTCGTTTTTCTGATTTACCAATCATTGTCCAAAAGTCAGATTGCCGTCTTTGATAATAGTCGACTCAAGTATAACACGGGATTGATTACTGGTAGTGCAACCACGATTGATCCTAGGCAGGTTTTTTGTTTTGTTTTGGGGCATATCGTGTAATGTCATTTCTGTTTGCGATGTGATCTCAAAAATAATATTTCTATTAGACCAAATTAAATTGCTTAAACCGATCAGCATTAGTTGATTACAAAAATGAAAAACGTATTTTTGCGATAATAAATCCTAATGAAATATCACTGTTGTTCGTAATCAAATCGTACGAATTATGCCGGGAAGAAATGTAGTCGGTATTGTCGTAATGCGATGACAGCAAAAGCGAAATGATCCTTAACTACGCGTATCTCAGCGAATATCCTTGCCGGAAACCGGACTTGCAACTTTTTCCCTCAGACAACAAAAAAAAATTTCTACAATTACTACTGGTGGTTAATTTACTGGTGATATGACCTCTTGTGAGTCTGCACGGGTAGGTACCACCACCCCGCCTATTTCTGCCGTGAAGCAGTGATGCGTTTCGGTTTGAAGGGTGGGGCAGCCGTTGTAACTATACTGAGACCTTAGTTAGACCTAACTTATGTCTCAAGGTGGGTGGCGCATTAATTTAAGTTGTAGATGTCTATGGGCTACAGTAACCACTTAACACCAGGTGGGCTGTGAGCTCGTCTACCCGTTGAAGCAATAAATAAATAAACTACTTTATTCCGAAGTAATTTATGAGCAGGATTTTTATTACTATTCGACGGTAGCAAAAGTGCGTTCCAGCTATTAAGATTTTTCGTAATAAAATTTTTACGCTTTCAATTTTTTATTCTAGATTACAGACGGTCATCGCGGTCGGTGAATAGAGAAAGAAGAAGCAGCTCGCACACGAGGAGAGATCGATTTGATAGGCCTGGTCCGTCGCAAGACTACTGCTTGTACAGAAGTAACAGACGAGAGTCCGAGAAGAAGTTAAAAGAGAACCAGAGAAATGATGTCAGAGATAACATACGTAGAGTTGCTGTGATCAACAGGAACAAGAATGCCGTGAATCAAAATAGAACTACATTTAAGGAACTTTACAGGAAGCCATATGTACAAGGTGAGTGTACCTAAGCCAGAGGCGGATTATCCGTAAGGCAAACTAGACACATGCCTAGGGGCGTGTAGATACAAGGGGCGCTCGAGCTCAGAATTTTTAAATAATTAAATAAAAAAAAATAATTAAATAAAGAAAATAACATATCGACGATTAAGAACGAAATGCTAATCTATAATCTAAATCTTCTGTCGTCCCTCTTGATTTCTTCACAGTTATAACGTCATATTTCATTCGCGCATATTAGCGTAAGAACAAGGGTCCTGGTCTACTGAAGTCTAGGGTTTGATGATACAACGTCATCGTAATTGCAAAAACAACTAGTTAAAATTTATAGGCCATTTATGGCCAGTACTGGGGCGCCGATAAAGTGATTGCTTAGGGCGCTCTGGACCTTCAATCCGCCACTGACCTAAGCGTTTAATAAATATTTAACCAATTAATAGTAAATATTTAAACAAAACTATAATCAGAAAAATTAACACTCTGTACTAAAAAATCCGTTTTATCGCTAATATTTAATAGCAATCCTTTAATTATACAGGGTGCCCTACAGTTAGAATTTAGTCCCCAAATTAGAATAGTCGTTACGATTGAAAAGAAAAGCTTCGAGGTAAATAGTTTCAGAATAAAGAACGAACTATTATTCCGCCAACCTTTGGATTAGGTTTTATGCGAGGTGCCGTGATATGATTCGATAAAGCTGGTCACATCTCAAAAGATCCGACTTTTTTTGGGCAATCTACTGTTAATTTTACTTAAAACACTGTTGTTTCAATAACCCGTGAATTGCTTCATTAATTGTGTTTTCTCTCAATCTCTAATTCAGTGTTTTTAATTTAAATTTTATTTATTTTATTTATTAACTATCAGTACTTTTATTGTACAAATGCAGGCGGTTATCGAACAGTTGAAACAATTAATAATTTAGTTTTTGTCTGAAACTGCTAGGTTACGACTTAGAAGAATTCTTATCATTTTTAATGTGATCTACATTATTGATACTTTTTTTATTTATTTTTTTATTGCTTAGTTGTGTGTACGAGCTCACAGCCCACCTGGTGTTAAGTGGTCACTAGAGCACATAGACATCTACAATGCAAATGCGCCATCCACCTTGATATATAAGTTCTAAGGTCTCAGTATAGTTACAACGGCTACCCCACCCATCAAGCCGAAACGCATCACAGCTTCACGGCAGAAATAGGCGGGGTGGTGGTACCTACCCGTGTGGACTCACAAGAGGTCCTACCACCACTGTAGCTACGTTTCGGCTTGATCACATACGAATTGTGGGAACAATCTGTATAAATTTAGTAATATGTACATTATTCAGTGTTGTCGGTAAACAAATCTTTGATTACTGCTAATTTTAGATAGAACTTTTTGTTTAATAGTGAGAAAAGCTGTAGAGGATCAACCAATAGCAACTCCAAATGTCGTTAGGGAACTACCCACGCAACTGTCGAAAACGGTCGACGGCGAACTGGACGACCCCATGAGGAATGTGAGTATATTTATAGGTATCAATGCTCGTCTATCAACCCTACCTATATCCCTATGGAATAGGTCCTCGAGGCAATCAGTGAATTCCTAGACAAAGCAAAAGGTCTCAAATGAATTGAAATGCGTTTATTTCAGGCAACATAAGCCCATAAATTTTCACATGCAATTAGGTAATATTTAAATCGTAATACAATAAAATTTAAATTACAATTTATAAGAATTTTTAAAAATAAAAATACCTAAATAAAAGTCCAATCAAATCATACGAAATTGAATTGAAATTGAATTTTCGGCTCTTGCTAGGGTTCGTGTTAGCAACAAAGTCAGGTTTGAGCCCCGCGAGCTCACCTACTAGCCAGGTGACGCTGATCTAGACCAGTGATGGGCAAAGTACGGCCCGCGGAAGTGTTTAATCCGGCCCGCCGAGAGTCCATCCATCCTAAATATTCTAGTCAGCATTTTGGCGCGTAAAATAAAATCAGACGTTTATAATTGGAAATCTTCGAATTTTTTGTAAAAGGTATTTTGGCGTAATAGTAAAGTATAGTAATTTAGTAATAAATAGTATAGTAAAATAATAGTAATTTGGCGTAATAGTAATACTAAAAGGTATTTTGTTTATTAAAAAGCTTTAATACGAAATGCATTTTTCTATAATTCTGGCCTTCCTCTAGAATTTCATAAACTTTGCGGCCCGCCATTAAAAATGTTTGCCCACCACTGCTATAGACCATCAGCTTAGGTAGGAAAATAAAATTCGGGCCGTCGGTCTACCGAGCAATATCACACGTTCGGTGGAAGATCTTCCCCTCTGTCGTTACACTCCCAAAATACAACAGGCCTAAAAGGTATTATTTTGCAGGTACTGGGGCCGAACTTGAAGAAGACATTTACGGGAGTGTACAATCCTCTGAACATGAAGGTACGTTGCTTAGTATCATAAATACATTTACAGGGACAAGAATATCGATTCGAACTCCGAGATGGACATTCAGAGTTGTCCAAACCGTAACGTACTATTGGAAATAGTGAGGATACACAACATCCACTAGTTATAGGACCAGTTTCTACGGGTAGGAACCACCACTCTGTTTATTTCTGCCGTGAAACAGTAATGCGCTTCGGTTTGAATGATAGAAGAATAGTTCCCCCGTAAACCCCTCGATATGTAAACTTATTTTGAAAATGTCGTTAACACGATTCATGTCATCTGTAAAATATTTCGTTCCGTTATACGGTATTGAGAGAGGATCTTTTAAAAAAGATTTTAATATTACGACGACAATGACGTCAACCTTGCCATGTGGAATTAGGAACAGGACCGAGTGTATAGGAGGGGATTGCTTTCTAATAAAGGTTCATTAGTGCTGATGCTATTCGGGAAAAGTGATGACGTAAGCAAAGCTAGGAACCAGAGGGTAATCGTAACATTTCGTTCAGTGACAGCTACAAGATATTCACCGAAGACTTCCAAGCTGAGGAATGACATCGTGTACTTACGTGTACATCGTTTTACGGGTGTTAGGATCTCTTGTGAGTCCGCACGGGTAGGTACCACCGCCCTGCCTATTTCTGTAAAGCAGTAATGCGTTTCGGTCTGAAGGGTAGGGCAGCCGATGTAACTATACTGAGATCTTAGAACTTATATCTCAAGGTGGGTGGCGCATTTACGTTGTAGATGTCTATGGGCTCCAGTAACCACGTAACACCAGGTGGGTTGTCAGCTCGTCCACCAATCTAAGCAATAAGAAAATACTATTGCTAGGCGCTGTTCGGGATAAACAAAAATTGTACCAAAGCACAAATTAAAACTCTATTTAACACTTAGAACACTCACAGAACACTTTACAACTCGTAGATCACTTCTGCAGCTTCGCTTCAGGTGATCCGTTCGCTGTTTCGCTTCGAATAGATCCGATTACTAACTGCCTTCGTGCCATCCAACGCTTTTATAGTCGATACGACATCTCTAGATTTATCGAGAACATTCTGGGCAAGTCGAATGTGCTAGTCGGTGTCTATTTCCGCTATCTGACAATAGATGGCGTTGTACTTCTCGAGCGTTCTCGGTGTTACTAGTTCCTTTGATATTCGTTTCTGCTATTCGGCGATAGATGGCGTTGCTCTTATCAACACTATTCTTGTTTCGTAATCAATACATGACATGTCTATTGGCAGTTATCTTTCGACCGGCTACCGCGCAAGGCGGGCGTGTCATTATTCTTGAAGACGCATAACTGCTGCGGCCTGAAGAAGATGAATTCTAAAGGCATCGAGTATTGCACGCGAGCTCGCGACGCCAACACCCTCAATAGGATCTGCGCTCAGAAACATTTCACTATAGGTNATTCTTGTTTCGTAATCAATACATGACATGTCTATTGGCAGTTATCTTTCGACCGGCTACCGCGCAAGGCGGGCGTGTCATTATTCTTGAAGACGCATAACTGCTGCGGCCTGAAGAAGATGAATTCTAAAGGCATCGAGTATTGCACGCGAGCTCGCGACGCCAACACCCTCAATAGGATCTGCGCTCAGAAACATTTTACTATAGGTAAGTTTTATATCTGGATTCATATTATCTGGAACCGCTGTGTTCATCGACAGTGCGTTTCCAGAGGTCTTTTTTGCCACGTACCATCCGGCTATGGAATGAGCTCCCCTCCACGGTGTTTCCCGAGCACTATGACATGTCCTTCTTCAAAAGAGGCTTGTGAAGAGTATTAAGCGGTAGGCAGCGGCTTGGCTCTGCTCCTGGCATTGCTGAAGTCCATGGGTAACGGTAACCACTCACCATCAAGTGGGCCGTATGCTCGTCTGCCTACGAGGGCAATAAAAAAATTAAATATTAGAAATTTATCGTTCGGGCTTGGCTCAATACGCGTTTGTTAATGCGCGTAACTTAATTACATTCAAGTTTTTTGGTGTACAGCATACTGTAGATATTGATTTTCTTCTACCTAATCGCCTAAGAGTCCTAAGAGGCTATACCAGCTACGCACGGTTTCGTAGGTCAGATTATAAAGCTCAAACTTGAGGACTTGCTCGGATCGGAATCGCGATCCACTGAGAAGATCCGGCGAAAGACTTAATGGGTTGTGTCTATGGTCTAGGTTTTACGTCAAAGTCTTTGTCGCTTTCAACGAGAACGGTAACCGATGCTTGGAGTCGCCTAAAAGGACCGAAAGTGGATCGAGAGGATCCGATGGTTAGGGTGGCGACGGCTTTGGGTCAGAGGTGTAGTGGAGTAGTATGAGTCGCAATAAAGTGGCATACCGTGCCACTTCAAGAAATTAATTTATAATGAAGTACTCAAACTGCAAGTCACCCATACCCAATCCTGTAGACCGAATGGTAAACAGTCGATGTCGCCCAAAACACGTCATTACGGATCCTCCAGATCCATTAACAGTGCTTTTAGGTACCACAAGCACCGGACACCGCCCTCGTCGAACCCGTCGCTTGCAACGAAGGGCTCGACGAGGGAATTAACCCATAGACACAGCCCACTGAGTTTCTCGCCGGATCTTCCAGTGGGTCACGTTTCCGATCTGGTGGTAGATTCTGCGAAGCACTGATCTTGCTAGGGTCAGTGTTAGCATCACTCCGGTTTGAGCCCGTGAGCTCACCTACTAGTTAAGGTTACGCTAAAATAGCCTCTCAAGGCTATCAGCTTAGGTAGGAAAAAAAACCAAGTCATATTTTACTTGGAGGAAACTGCAAACTATCTATCGCCTTATGAATCCTTAGTTATTTGCTACTTTAAATTGACTTAATATTCTGTATGTAATGATCGTGAATTAATCTAATTTGGCCGATTGTATTGTACCTACATTAATTTTTCAGATAACTCAAACGTGACGGTCACACCAATGTACCGACACATGAAACGTCCACCGTATCCAAAAACTATTTTCGACGGCAAACAAAGACGAACTATGATTGGTCGCACTGAAAACCGAAAAGTAATAAATTCAGCTGTGCCTTTTAAAGATAAAACTGATGACAGATCGAAAGTTACAGCAAAAACTCGAAAACCAGAAACACTTACTCGCGATACCAAATCAGCTGAGGCTAAACATGATATCACTGCGCTATCCAATTCAACCGTGTCCAAACTTGACGTTTCTAAATCAAAATCCAATACGACAGTTATTAAAGTTGGAAATAAAGTCATTAACATAAAAGAATCTACAGATAGACGCGAAAAGCAGGGCGTCGATGATCCTAAGCCAATTGTTTCGATTAATGAAGTTGCTAAAACTAAATCGAATACAACCAAAAATGAACTAGAAAACAAAGCTGTAAAAATTAACGTACCTACAAATAGAACTGAGAAACATTTCAAAACTGAGCCTCAAAGCAAACAAAAAACGAAAATGTCTAACATTGACGAGGACAACCTGTTTGCGAAGCGACCGATTACAATGACGCCAACATCGCTTGAAGATGGAAATGATAACGATGAATTGAATGACAGCGAGATTCAAGAGTTGCTATTGAGAAGCATCATTCTAGACGAATGCGGCGGACCCGATAGGAAAATACCTGATAAACAAAGCCTCGAAGTTGAAAGAGAAAACGGATTGAGAATGAAAAAGATAAATGTTGATACTGAAGCGAAACCTCATCTATCTACAGGAAAAGCTCTCGCCGAAGAAAACGATTATGATGAGCTGAATGATAACGAAATAAAAGCGATGCTCTCCGAGATTATCGTCATAGATGAATGCGGCCTAAGCGATATGAAACCAAAAGAGACATCTAAAAAAACGAATGAGGAGCAAATCGGTGTCAAAGTTAAAACGGATAGTAAACTGAGAACGGAAAAGTCCGATTTCCCAACGCTACCAAATAAATCGGAAGGAGCGATAAATGAAAAATCCGATGATGAGTTAAGTGATAGTGAGATTCGCGCGATGCTGGCCGAGAGCGTGGTCCTAGACGAATGTGGCGAGTCGGACAGCGAATAGGGCTGCTGAGACCGCAACTGTGTCTGTTCGTACCATACATTGGTGACGCAATAACTGTACCATATGAACGTTTGCGAGAATTACAAATTGGAATCGCGATTTCAAATATTTTGTATAAATAAAGCAACTGACCAAACACACTTGGTGAAAAATTATACATGTAAAAAAAATAATAGCACAATACACTACGATTGGCAATGTACCTACATGGCACAGATGTTCTTGAAAATAATAAAGGTAGCGGAAATATAAATACATACATTACGAACTTTAAATGCTGTGTACATATTTATTTTAATTACCATTAATTTTATTTTATAGCCAAACTTATTATATATAATGTGCGGGTAGTTAACGTAAATAGTCAAATAATTCTCATACTGTTCATTGTACGAAATAAAACTACAGAATGCATTTTGAGTTTATTTATTCTTTATAATGTTATTTGTTATTATGGTAATTATAGACGAAGTAACTATTGGTATTTTCATGAAACGAGAACTTGTAATAATTTAATGTAATAATAATTTTAAATTTAATAAGACAGATAAATTTTGATGATCATCTTACTTCGGTGGCTCTGTGGTCTCCACCGCTTCTTCCACCTGCAAGACAGAAAAAAATGTCTTGAAATATTATCAAACCGAAACGCATGAGTTTCTCTCGAGAGAAATAGGCAGGATGGTGACTGATGTTCAGTATTTGCATCTCTGATAAGTAAAATACCTGTAAATTAATTTTCAATTTTTATCACTTGCGATCTCTTAGGGTAAGGACCGATATTCACTTTGCATATGGAATTCTGCGATTTGTTTTCGAGGGGTCATTCTAGATCCAAAACGGGCGATCAAGTCATAGAGCTCACGGGCCTCTAACTTGAGGATGTTGCTAAGACTAGCCCTAGCCAGAGCAGCGCTTCGCAGAATCTACCACCGGATCAGAAACGCGACCCACTAAAAAGATCCGGCAAGAAACCCAATGGGCTGTATCTGTGGGGTTAATAAAGAACGGTGACCGGGAAACCTGCGACAGCTGATTAGGTAGTCCGTGAGTTCGTCTGCCAATCTTAGCTAAAAAACTTAGCGGTTGGAACTTGAAATTTTATTAAAAATTTTGTTTTTATGTGTTAATTAAGGCAAATGAACCTATGACCGATCTAGTCTCGAGCGGTTGTCGTAGCTCATCAACATCAGTACCACTAGCGGCTCGACCTGGCTTGCTAAAAGGACACGTTTCAATTTGAAATCTAGGAACTCTGAACTGTGATAAAAATGTTTTTTTTTTTTTTTTAAATCGATGACAGAGATTCTACTAAGGTTTGACTCTGCATCGAAACCTGATGAGGGATCATCTCATTTAGATGATTGCTCATACACATCACCGATGTCACGCCGCCATCTCGGATCAAGGTTTATTAGCAGTAAAACAATACGTGCACTCGTTAAGACTTCATAGAGCTTAAAGGACGCATTAGAAATACAATAGGTAAAATACCAAAACAGAACGTAATCTAATTTCCAGTGGCGCGTAAGAGAGACGATGCACGTCTTTTTTTCGGCGCTGCTGCTTCTAATCTTTTCCTTTCAGCTTCTATGGCATCAGCTAAATTGTAAACGTCTTTGGGGGCCACCTGATGAATTATAATGTCAGTTAAAATGAAAAGGAACTTTCATATATTTTAAAATTACCAGGCTATAAGCTATAAGTAAGTTAAAACAAAAATAACTAATAATATCTTGGAGTCTGACAGTTTGTTTTGACTTCGGTTTTCATCTTCAAAATAAGAAGATCTCAGATGTTGGATTAGCACCAATTCACGTTTAAAGCCAGAGCTTTTTAATCGATTCAAGTGGCGTCGAGCACTCTTTTGGGAATTAGCTTGTTTACTTTAATTAGTTTATTTTATTTTATCAAATCTTTTAAAATAGTTGGCAGCACTGTCCAGTACATATTTAACATCCACTGGCCTAAAGGTCTAGTAGGACTAGATACTAGGCCATAAACCAACAAAAATAATTAACATCCACCAAAATATGATGAAATAATGAACGCAAGATTAAACTGTAAAAGTACATAGTTTTAATTGGACTCGTGGAAAATAAAAAAAATGCTATAAGAAACAAAAACACATTCCGAAATTAACTTATTAATAATCCATCTCATACTTTTTCATTTCTCAATTTACAGGAGGTTGGGGCTTGTACTACAAAAACTTTGTATAATGGACGTAGATCCGTTTGCATATCTAATTGAGCATAACAATTATTAATAACAATTATAACGCAGTTTACGGGACTCCTTGGCGGCAACGCGAGGAGCGAAAATGAAACAAAACGCCTGGACGCAGCTTCTCAAGTTTTTCTAAAAAGTCCACTGAAACAGTCCCAGTAAATAACAACCATTATACAGAGACTTTATTTCATTCAATCTCTTATTGTTTTAATTTACTTTCATACCAATTGATTAAAGTCTAATGTTGATTAGACTATAATCAACTTTATCTCATTTTGCTTGTATATTTTTCATCAGCATAATTATTGAGGATAAAAACTCTAGCACCAACGACATTAGAACAGATAAAAACAATACCGTAAAATGGGGCGATTAGGGATTGAAAGGCGAATCGGGAAAAAACCGGGAAAATCTTTCGACGCTCAATATAATTTTTATGTTCGTTGCAAAATCTTCCATTTTTTGTAGTTTAATAGTAGAATGTTGAAAGTTCATGAACCACTCTGAATATGCATGTTAATAGCTGCTAACTTAAAAAAAATCGCGTTTCAAATTAACTTCCTGTGGTGGTAATTATTTTAGTGCTAGAAACTTTGCTCTATTTTATTTATTTGATAATAATAGAAGACGACTGTGATTTATAAACGTTATTTGGTGTTTGAACCATCATATATATTAAAGGTTAGTCTCAGTTGTTATTGGTTTTAATGTATTTGATAAAATAAAAATACATGTAAAAATCTGTTGTTTTAGGGGATATTAGGGACGTCTTAGATACAAATAACAACGAAAAAGGGGTCAATTGGGATGAGAATACGTGAAATGGAAACGACTTAAGTATAAATAGGTACAGGTTTGTAGGGTTGTCTATGTAGTTATAATTTAAATTTGTTGGTAAAAATCTGGTTTATTCATGATGTCTTTGTCTAGAACTTTTATTTAAAATTATCAATGTGTTATTTTATTGTTTGGTAAATATTTATATTATCAGTTAGAAAGAAGAAGGAAGAAATTTATATTATCAGTCATAAGAAAGCTCACTCNAGGTTTGTAGGGTTGTCTATGTAGTTATAATTTAAATTTGTTGGTAAAAATCTGGTTTATTCATGATGTCTTTGTCTAGAACTTTTATTTAAAATTATCAATGTGTTATTTTATTGTTTGGTAAATATTTATATTATCAGTTAGAAAGAAGAAGGAAGAAATTTATATTATCAGTCATAAGAAAGCTCACTCGTTCGAATTTAGGTGCTTACTCTTCCATATACAGAATCCTTTGGGACTACAATAATGTCCACGGTAGCGTGGTCTCCGTCAATGTTCATTCGGAGTTGTCCGATTGCTCTGAACTAATTTTAAATGATGAAATAGATGTTTTTTTTAACTGTCTCACAGCTAACAGGACAAATCTGTCGTGGATCATTTCCCAAGTAAATATAAATTAATCATAAGTAAATAAAATAAATTAAGTAAAACCAAGTAGTGCCAGCCCTAGCGAATTTCTCATTTCGTCCCAATTAACCGCAATTTCCGGGTAAATAGGGATTACACCTATTTTTGCTTTTTTTGCATAAACTGGAATTCTAGTTGCATAATTTTAAATTGGATAACAAAGATGCCCCCAAGACTCAATCATTTTGATCCTGATATAGCATTATATACATCAACAACTACCTTAAAATTGGTCATAAAGTTGGAAGTTGTCCCTAATCGCCCCATTTTACCGGTACCGAGGGAGGCGGCCATTTGGTATCCCAGAGCTGAGATACTTAGTAATAGAATATCGCGGATTCAGCAATTTAAATATCCGAGTATGTACATATTACTTTTCTCGTGAATTTTTTCAAGTTATTTTACAGGTTCGAATACGAATTCAATAAATTACAAAAAGAAAAGTGTTTGTTTACTATACAAAGTTATAGTCAATATTTATTTCGTGATACTTTACATTGCCAATGATCAGAATCCTAAAATTTAAAAAGTATATTGTTATTTTGTATGGAATCAAGTGAGGTATTTATATAAATATTATAGAACAGACAAAAGATAGGTAATTATTGGGATAATTTTTTTGGGTCAATTGTTTTAATTCAGGACTTTAAACAAGCTTTAAAAATATACATTTAAGAAATGTTTTACATGCAGTGAAACAATCGACTTCGTTTCAATGTTTTTTTTTTCCAAAATAGACAAGAGATTTTTTTCTAAAGATAAACAATGATTTCCTTTTGCGCTCGCTGATAGTGATATATAATAAACATATATAATAAGCATATAAAATAAACCGAAACCTGCATCTTGGGAACAATACCATCATAATATATGCATAATTGGATTTATAAAAAGAAAGTTGTGTATTTTATTAAAAATATATACATGCATAGATACACGATAATTTGATTCGTATGCTGGAATAAATGAAAAACAACAAAAGTATTCAAGCGCAGTGATTCATATTACACACATATTATTTATTTGTCAATCGATATGCGTACGTATTTCTTAGTAATCTGTGCGATCGATTCTCGATATGGAACATCCCTAGACGCGGCCATTGTGTGTTTCGTCTTAGCGCGTTTAACGTCACAAGTATAATTTTCGTGGATACAAACTAACTAATTACTAAAATGAAGCATAATAGAGGACTTGGTGGCTATGGGTACTCCAACAATGTAATGAATCCACGACTGTCTAACCAAGGACCTCTAATGACTGAACACCTTCAGGTACGTAATGATTAGTTGGACTAATTGTCTATTTCTCTCCACTTATTAAATGCAGTCTCGCTGTATTTTCATAACTAACTGGCAAATAATAGGTACCTACTTAATCATCATCAACTTCACAACCAGCCGTTATAGAACAAAATGTCAATGATCACATTCGGAAACTTTCATCCGAACAAAATGGCTCATTTTTAGCGTCTGATCTTCGTTTAAATTTCTAATTCGTTTCTTCGTTATAAATTACCAAATCTTGTTCAATGCTCAACGGTATTAGAATTTTTACATAGTTCATTAACCTTTCAACACTAATATCTCAACCCGGATTTGAACTAGAATAAATGCCGCAAGGGCGATTTGCCTATCTATTTGAATGTTTAAATCCTTAAACAAAGAATTATAATTTTGTATTTTTAATAACTGTCACTGTATGGCTCTGAGTCTTCTTCTACGTAAGTGTCTCTTCAGAAGATAAATGTATCTGTTTGTGAGCAATATATAATGTATGCTACAGTTTTTTTAATATACGAAATGAGATCAAAAAAATATAGACGATAGCAAGTTAATGCAATTTCTTCCTAAGACCTGTTTAGTGTGGTGTGTTTCATATGTGTATATTTGTGTAGTTTACTTATGAAATTGTCAAACTACCCACTGTTGATAGTATGGTGACATTGTTTTTGCCTTGTGGGGATACATCTCATGCAACTAGGTAATAGATAGAACAAGACTGCTAACAGTGACAATGTTGACACTTAATAGAAGTAGTCTAGTAGTAGTTTAATGTTCTAGTCTAAATGTAACTAGTAGTCCGACAGCGTCATGGCCTAAGGTATAAGACATCCGGTGCATTTGTATGGAGTGATGCAATAGTGTTAGACTCCCGCAGGCAGTTACCAATTTTTCTTATGAAATATGTACTTAACAAATGTTCACATTTGACTTCCACGGTGAAGGAATAACATAGTGTAATAAAATCAATCCCTCAAAATTATAATTTGCATAATTACTGGTGGTAGGATCTCTTGTGAATCCGCATGGGTAGGTACCACCACCCTGCCTCTTTCTGCCGTGAAGCAGCAATTCATATCAGTTTGAATGGTGAGGTAGGCGTAATTATACTGAGACCTTAGAGCTTATATCTCAAGGTGGGTGGTGCATTTACATTGTAGATGTCTATGGGTTTCATTAAGTACTTAACACCAGGTGGGCCGTGAGCTCGTCTAGCCATAAAAAAAGAAGTTATAATTGTACCTTAATAATAAGTAGTATCAAAATGAATTGCTACTTACAAATATTTATTTTATCAAATTGTCAAACATGAATTTCAGCATATAGATTTGGAGTTGGACTTGTTAAAGCGTAAGCGTGAGATGATAGAGCAGCAACAGGAACTGCTCGAAACACAAATGCTACATCGTGAGGTTTGTAACCTAAACATGCTATTATTAGCTCGATGCATTGATCTACATAACTACATGAGCAAGTACATAAACACATGATGCATTGAATATTTGCAGACATAATATAAAGGACTGATGAAATTTAGTATAATTTTCGTGCCATACCTTGACAAAAATTATAAATATATACTTTAATTTATATCAAATTACTATTAAAGCGTGTTATTATAGTTTTAGACTATGTTTTCATTTATTACTCATTCTCAAGAATTGTGTTAGCAAAGGCACCTTTGGCTTTCTGGTGCCTGCATTTACTAGAATACACTACTGGCATTATAATATCAACAGTTGAAGTCCTAATAATATCAAAATTATTTTTCTTCCTATTCGTACACTCTTGACAGAGTGGTCGTGGTCATGCATCAGTCGGATCCTGCGATACCGATGCTCTCGCGATGCGACGCCATATGGCACGATGTTTTGCAGAGTGAGAGCAAACATTTATGTTGCTTTTTTAATTTATTTAAATTATTTTAAATTCTTTTTAGCTTTGCAATAAAACAGATTTTTTGAATCGCATCTAATGTGAAGTTTGTTGAAGAGTAGTCATGTCTGGCCGCGTCTAGCAACTAGACATTGTTGAATGTTTTTTTAATAACATTTGAAGGATGAACTTTATTGGTGTAGCTAGTGTTAAGTGTTGACCCCGCCCAGACATATCACAATCTGGATTCTAACACATGCATTGGGAAATAATGTCAATTCCCAAAATCTCAATAGTATTGTGAAAATGGTACTGCTTTATAGCGAATTAGACAGGCTGGTAGTAACTACTCAGGTGGGCTTAAATATGTTCTACAAGCACACTTAAATGTTTGTTAGGCTACAAATCGTGGTATTTTACAGTAGGCAGCAGCTTGGCTCTGCCCCTGGCATTGTTATCATTCATAAGTAATGGTAATAACTCGCCTTTGAGTGATATGCTCCCTATGAGAGAAATAAACAAAAATGACACAATTAAATTTAATATTTTATGTTTACCGCAATTCCTGGCAAGTATTGCTTGCAAAATATAATTTGTAAGAGTAAATTTTTTAATCATTCCAGCCATCTCTATTTTGTGGGACCGAAAAATAACACTATTTTTCAAATGGAACAATAAAACTGGCACTTTTAGTGGTTTGCATTTTAGCAAGGCGTGAAACTTTGCAAGCAAGCTACATGGGTCACAGTTTTATTTAAAATTTAAACAAAACAAAGAGTTTTAAAATCAAAAACCCACATTAGCAAATCAATTGAATTGAAGTTGTTAATTTTAGAAAGCTATTCAGGTTTTCTGCCATTTACAAGATGTTGTTGGGCCGGGAAAAGGCATCAGCCTTTTTTTTTAAATAAACCAAAACTTTACATTTCAGAAATCACTCAATTACGACAGTCCCCGTTATTTTGAACGAGCCAGCTTCCAGAACGCGAACAACGTCGATAGCGATTATACGCGTTACTATGACGAGTCTGTCGGCTCTGGTGATTTCATACCTTTGAATTCAAGGAAACGCTCATACCAGCCGGATTGGGAAACCAATCCTAATAAGCGCTTTTCGAGCAACGCTAGAGGCTCCGATAGCCAATTCAATTTTCGCTCAGGGCGCAGGTCCGCTAACCGTTTTCAAGGCCAAGGGTCTTCTAAGCGCCAACCCGCTGCAGAACCTCAGTTTTCCAACAAAGGCCCTGGGCGATCGTCCACCGATAGGCCAAAATCGGGTAAAGTGACTAAAGCCAAAACGTCCCTTCCTCCCAACAAACTGAATACCTATTCCATCAGCGAGCGCAATAACTTAGTCAAGAAGACAACTTCTGCCGCAAAAAAGGTAGATGAGTCGCTTATTTTGCGGCCCAACTGCCCAATGTCGAACCAACTGCAGGGCAGGCTGGAGCTGGTCATGGGCCATCTCTTGAAGGAGCTCAAAACTAAGTTTAGCGAAGTCGAGGCGTACCGCGACACTATACAGAGCCCTCTAGCGCAGCGCACCGTAAAGCAAATCTTGCGCGATCGCATCAAGGAGTTGATGATGAACAAGTACATCGGCGGTATTAATGACGGCCTCACCGTGTACCGTAAGCGGTACCCCGAGGGGACTGATGAAGCTTTACTCGAAGAGGTCAAACAGGCAAAAGAAGAGTTGAACGTCAAGAATCCAGACAATAAATTAATTCAATCAGGTAGTTACAAATTAATTCAAACTATAAAAATGTTTCTCATACAAAAGCATATAATAATGGTTCCCTACGAACTTTTGTATGTGAAAATTGTATCGGTACCCTATTTGGACATGACTGATTTTTACTTTTTCCAATGTGCACAGCATATTGGTTTAAACTAAAAAGTGGTTATGTGCAATGATGCATTTTCCTTTTTTAAAAAAACTGTTCACTCTGACACATTGAATATGGAAGCTTTCGATTATGTCACGATCGCTCCGAATTCTGTGGGTTCATGACCTGCCTCGACAGAGCTTCCAATAGTCTGAGAACACGAAGCACGCACGATTTCAATGGAGTTACACTTAGATAACTCTTGAGATTCGCTGCTTTGTGAATCTTTCAGGCACTAGGAAAATAATCGTCCGTAACGATCATATCAAATTTGGATACAAATCTGTTTATCTCACTTAGGATCTCATCTAGGTGACTTCGAAGCGTTACTCTTCTTATTAACAAATATAAAAAAGCAATATGTATACGCATTCTTTGGAGACATCTATCGACTAAAAGGATTCTAGCACAAACCATACTTTTGAGAAATCTAAACGACACAAGTTCACAGCAACATTTGGAAGGTTGGGTGTTATTGATGACAGATCTATCTTTACTGGTAGTAAACGAAACCGATGCACTATGTTATTTGCTGGTATTCTTTCATTTGTCGATAGATGTCGCTACGGCTTGTGATTTATTTTACAATACTTTTGCAGATGACCCAGAAGCTTTCTTAGAAAAGAACCTCGAAAAATTGATACACAGCAAGCTTGTCGAAATGTTCGGAAAGGTATTGTTTGGTATCATCTAAGATTTAAAAATGCTTTGCCATCTTTATATTTGTCTATAAGACCAAGTTCCAAAGTTGTACGGAAGTCAGGTAGAGCAGCTTTCTGCAGTCTTTTGGATATTTGGGGGGTGGGGGGGGGGTCTTATTTCAAAAGTATATAGTAGTAAATAGCGAATTAAAATATTTCTATGATTTTATTGTCCTTAAAGATTAACAATAGTACGGGTTACTGATGATTAGTGGTTATCGTAGTCCATAAAGTTGGAGAAGCTTTGATTGCATCAGCTAGCAGGCCTAAAACTTTGGAACTTAATTGAAATTATGGCAGCATGGAACTTAAATATAAAAAATTGCGTCTTTATTATTTATATTAACTAACCAACCATTATGTTAACCAGCTAGACCAAATATATAAAAAGAAGAAAGAACAAAAACCAGTTCCTGTGGCTGCAGAGGTGGATTTGACCAAAGACGTTGATGTCCCAGAGAATGAAAAAAAAGAAGAGAACAAAGCTGAATGCGAAGAAGTCGTACCCATAAAAAACATAGAAAATGTCTTGCCGCAGCTCATGATAAGGTTTATTCCGGTATGGTTTTAACTAAAATAATCGCTTTTTTTTGTCTTTGACACAACATAATGAATTCGGGCTTATAAATTTTAATAACCCTTCCTAACTTCCTTACATAAATATAATAATACTAGCCGTACTCGCCCGCTTCGCTGGGCATTTGAAATTAACATTATTATTTATTGTCATTATTATTAGGGAGTCCAACACTTATATAAATATTATCCTATCCATTAAGTACATGTATTTTCTACATGAATACTAAGTTTCAAGTCAGTCGGATGCATGGTTCAGTAGTTATAACGGAACATCCGTAAAAACCCACTGTAGATTTATATATTAATACAGATTAGTTAGTATACCAGAAATGTCATTTTGCAAACAATGCTACTTTTGATTCTTTCCGGAATTATATTGGTCAGTCCTCTCTCTCCCAATAGAAAAACGTACTCAACTCATGTTCACAATTGACTTTCATGATAAAGGAACAATATCATATAGTAAAAATTAAATTGATTAAAATTATAATTGGCATAACTACTATAACAAGTTGGTGGCTGTATTGATGCGATGTGTATGAACTCTGATATCCACTGAACAAGTTAGGTGAGTGGCGAACTTGTTCACCTCCCCCGCATGAAATGCATTAAATAGTGATCACATATCAGTGTCAGAAAGCAACATATAATGTTAATTGATCAGTACCTTTTTGTTCAGAATCATTGGTATTTTTCTTATATCATTTGTATTTTCAAAATATATATTGTGTTTTGTGGTAATATATTTTTTATATAATTGTTTGTGGCGATATTTCAGAGAATAGTTAAGCTCCTAAATGCGAACAAAGCGTTTGAAGCTTCAAAAGCTTTCCTGATACAACTTGCTAACACGAAAGCTGTGAATTTAGCAACAAAAACTAAAACTGTGGAGAAGACTTCTGAAAAGTCTACTACTGAAAATCATGAAGCAGCGGCGCCCGCAGAACCTCCCAAGTATTTTGTTCAGGTAATCTATATATTAACACTCGAAGCAAAAACTTTGTACCCCTTTTTACGAAAATTGTGCGGATGGAAGAGTATGAAATTTTCCACACTTATAGAGAATATAGAGAAGGAGTGCACAATGCTAATATTTTTTTAAAATAATGCATAAAAGATACATTAAATCCATAAAAAAAACATTACACACACAGTACCATGTATTTGACACACACACGCATGTATACTATTTGTTTATTCTCAAACTTTTCTTATTGCATAAATTCTATGGTCAAATTGAGAATAGATTAATTATTGTTTGTCTTTGTTAATATTTGTCTTGGCGAAATCTGTGATTATAGAAGTATAGTAAATAGTGTTTGACAATAGAACCTGAATAATTTTCAAACTTATAATTTCAATTAGTTATAGTCGAATTTCGACTACTGCAGGACCACTACTAGTTCTTACAATAACACTAGTAGGAATGTATCATTGACATTTCAATAAGTGACTTTAATAAATGAAATTAATGTTATAGATAGTTTGTCAAATAACGTGAAAAGGATAAGTCATTTAAAAGTATTACAATTGCGACACGTCGTCATAATCTACAAGATAACACGCCGATGTGACTATGCCGGTGTTCAAATCCCGCAGACAGTTACCAATTCTAATAAGGCAGTACTTGAGAATTTTTTCACCGGTTACTTTCACACACACTTGATTAAATAACTAGAAAGTTTATTCATATTCGATATTACTACAATGTCCCACCATCGTAATGTGAGCCTGCACAGATACATACATACCTACATCCTGCCTAAACCAGCCAAGAAACAATGCATTTAGGTCGAAAACCATTGAGAGTAGGTAACCATTTTTGTAGGACCTCTTGTGAATCCGCGCGGGTAGGTACCACCACCCTGCCTATTTCTGTCGTGAAGCAGTAATGCGTTTCGGTTTCAAGGGTAGGGCAGCCGTTGTAACTATACTTGAAACCTTAGAACTTATATCTCAAGATGGGTGGTGCATTTACGTTGTAGATGTATATGGGCTCCAGTAACCACTTAACACCAGGTGGGCTGTGAGCTCGTCCACCCGACTAACAAACAAAAAAATAATAAATAAAATCGACCTTATATACCAATGTGGGTGGTATCTAAGTTGTGATATCTATTGCCTGCGGTAATCACTTAAGATACAGTGTTCTCCATATTAAAAAGTGATATAGACTAACAAAGCTTACTGGAAGCTTTAAGATCAATAAAAACTTCGAAGCATTGCACTTTAAAGACAGACTGAAGTATAATAAAACATATTTTTCAGATATTAGGAAAACCTGTGTTACCTAAAAGAAAGATCATGCAAGCATTCTTGGACAAGTTCAATCCGAGATCTGTCAAAAGACACAAGCGCATCCGTAACCTGTTGTTTGTCGGTTTTGTGACGGAGGAGCAGGTTGACAAGATTATCAGTGAGGACGGTCACGTTATGGGTGAGTTTAGGAGAATATCACACTAGTCATATAGTTTAAAGTGCAAAAATGACATGTCCCTGATATCATATTTGTAATGAAAAAGAAGCAACCATAGCTTTAGAAGTAAAACGAAAATTATTTTAATATTCAAATCTCTTCCAGTAAAACTCTTAAGCCATAAATAAGTAAACTACACCAATATAACTATGTATTATTGTTACAGGAAAAACTACTTTAGGCATCAGGAAGAGCGAAAGAACAAACCAATCACAAAATAATGACGAGGAAGACGATGTAGAATTGATCGAACCAGAAGAGGAGGTGATTGAATTGAATAAAACCATAGATTCTGATATAATCGGTTCCGAATTGGATCACCAGATTAATGATTTGTTGACTTCCATTCGTGAGGCTGAAGAGAAAGTTCAGATGGACACGAATCCAAATCAGACAGTTGATGCAAACATCAACAAAGAAGGAGATGAAGGAGCCGACACAGTTACCATAAATGATAATCTCAATGAAAATGATACCACAGCTACTGATGCCACAGCTACTGATGCCACAGCTACTGCTGCTACAGCTACTGATGCCACAGCTACTGATACCACAGCTACTGATGCCACTAATGTGGATGACAACATAACTGAAGATAGCACAAAGGAAAGTACACTGGCAGCCGTCTGTGCAGACAGTGTAATTGAAGATGACGTTAAAAGTACAGATATCAATGAGGATGATACAAATAAAACCGAAGACGAAAAAGATAAAGCAACAAATCTTGAGGAACCAGACGAGACTGCCGATACGGCTACTCCTGATACGGAGATTAAAGTTCCTGTAGAAAAAAATGACGACGGTGTAGTGGCTTCCGAGACGACTGCAGGCAAACCAGTCTCCGAATTACCAAATGAAAATAAGACGGTCGATACGGAAAATAACGACGAATCTAAAGCAAACGAACAGACCGGTGATATGGCAGAAGAGGCGAAAGACGTAATATCAAACTTAAAGAGTGAGGTACCAGCTACGCCGACCAGATCTTCTGCGAGAATCGCCAATACCACTCCAAACACTATTCGCACAAGGAGGACCAGTAGATTAGCTGCAGCAAACGAAAAACCATAACTTATTCTCAAAACATGTCTATCTGATTTGGGATCTGTTTTAACTATGAATGCACCCCGGTTTAGGAATTTTGACTTATCATTACAGTTGCTAAGACTGCACGAGTAGCAAACATCCAGCAGGTCTAATTATAATTAAACAGACATTGAGTCGCACTAAAATTCACATATAAGACCAAATTTTAAAGTTAGTAGGGTTTTTTGTGTGATACACAATTTCCGGATCCCACATCAAAAATATAATAATGTTACTATTTAAATTTCCTTATTAATAATTGAAATTAATTTTATTCTGTTTTCAAATAATTCATTTCAGATTTTAAGTTAATTACTTGAAATCGTAAGTTTCATAATCCGTGTGCTTTGTGCGAGAGTTTTTTAACGTTCTCGATAGCGTAAAAGTTAGCTCATTTTTGTATGGAATGGGTTCGTTTGCGTACGTTTGCCGCTAGGGGCGCTGTTTCAACTGCATACAAAATTGGGTTAACTTTTACGCTATCGAGAACGTTAAAAAACTCGCACTAAGCACACTGTACTCCTTTCTATTTTGAAAACAGGGCGTCCAACGTTTGCGGAGATTTTAACAGTGGAATCACTATTTAAATAAAATTCGTTCAAATTACAATAGGTCCAATCTGCACGGAAATTCCAATATCAAATATCAATCTTATGTTTTATGTGATTAAAGACATTGTTTTGATTTACGTTTTTTTTATTATTAATATTGATACATTTTTTCGCTCGAAAGGAGATTTCGGCCTATAGTGGGCGGACCACTGGTAATTGAATAAGCAACCCATCGAGTTTCTCCCCGGATCTTCTCATTGGGTCGCGATTCCGATCCGGTGGTAGACTCTGCGAAGCACTGCTCTTGCTAGGGCTAGTGTTAGCAAACTCTTTCAGGTTAAGCCCGTGAGCTCACCTACCTATTAGCCCATTAGACTACCAGCGAATAGGTAGGAAAAAAAGGACAAACTAAAATCACGTGTCGCTCACCAATCTGCTAATTTGGGATGAAACTAAATAATGGCGAAAAAAACGTTAATAAATTTTCTTCTTCATTGTTCCTTGTGATTGCGAGTTTATCACGATAAATAGCTGTTTGTTTAGTTACTGGTGGTAAGGCGTCTTCTGAGTCGACGCGGGTAGGTACCACCATCTTACATAATATCTGCTGCGAAGCAGTAATTCGTTCATATTTGAAGTGTAAGAGAACGGTTACAAATTAATGAACTGAGATATAAATTAGACTCATGTCTCAAGGCTGTGTGGCGGTATTCAAAAAGTGACGTCTATGTATTTCAATGTGCTTAGTGCGAGTTTTCTTACGTTCTCGATGGCGTAAAAGTTAACTCAAATTTGTATGTAGTTGGAACAGCGCCCCTAGAGGCAAACGTAAGCAAACGTTCCAACTCCATACAAGTTTGAGTTAACTTTTACGCTATCGAGAACGTTAAAGAACTCGCAAATTAAGCACACAGCAGCTGCGTAATAACAGGTAGGCCGTCAGTTTGTTCAGACATCTATTAATTAAGAATATAAAAATTATATAAAATCGTGCTCAACAAATTAATACTATGTTCTGTATCTTATACTGCTTCATTACCCTCTGATCTCTGTTATACTTGCTAAACAAAGGACGACTGTCCACCACAAGCTATGAGCTATGCTATATTTAGCGAAACCACAATTCGTCACGCGCTACGATAACTCGCGTTTATCACTAAAATCTATGTGCTAGTACTCATTGAAGCAGAGCTTTGCAATTCAATTCTGTAGAATAAAACATTACCCGAATCACAATATAGTGCAATGACGCTTTTGATAAATACACTGCAGTCATTAAGATAGAATCTGTTTACAAAAACTAAACAAACTTTAATTATTTTTTTCATGCATATTACATTGAGACTTAATGCTCAAAACATTTTCTATTAATCGACAAAGGATGATGTAGAAAACGTAGTAGGTGCATTCATTAAAACGAAAACAGATGCTTTTCTATTATAGTATACCAGGGATGGCCAACCGGTAGCGCTAGACAGTGGCTTGGCTCTGCCCCTGGCATTGCTGAAGTCTATGGGCGACGGCAACCACTCACCATCAGGTGGGCCGTATGCTCGTCTCCCTACAAGGGCAATAAAAAAAAAGATCGCAATCGACCGGTCGATCGTGGCTATTAATTCAGTCGATCGTCATCATCATCATCTTCATCATACTTTCCTATTACCCTCTGCTGGGGTGTAGGGCTCGAATCAAATTTTACCATTTACATCGATCGTGGCAAGACAAAAAAATATAAATACATAGAACAGACTGCGCAACGTAATCACCAATTGCTGCGCGCATCATCTTCATCTTGTATCATTAAATGATAATTGTATCATTGAAAGATACATTTTTTGTAAATGACAATTACGTCACATTATTTATCCTCTCTTCCACACAATAGTTCTCTTTTATTAAATAATTTCAACTTTATGTTAATGTTTTAATAAAAGAAAATATACTACATATTTGTATACATATGAACTAGATTGTATACTGATCTACATTGTTTCATAAATTTCAAGAAATGTCGTTGGTAGATCGTAGTGCTTCGACAGTAAACAGTTGATCTTGATTCTAATCAAGTTGGCCACCCCAGCAATACACTAACTGTGCATATTATACCAGCAGGTAATATAAAATAAATCCATATCTATACTAATATTATAAAGCTGAAGAGTTTGTTTGTTTGAACGCGCTAATCTCAAGAACTACTGGTCTGATTTAAAAAAATATTTCAGTGTTAGATAGCTCATTTATTGAGGAAGGCTAAAGGCTACATAACATCAAGTGGACCACCAATAAAGAATGTTTCAAAATAGGGGTTTAAATAGCTGTTATGGAGCTATTCTATAATTCAAAAATATTTTCACTTTCTACGTAAATGAAGCGTTAAGCCAAAGTAACTATTCCACGTGGACGGAGTCGCAGGTAAAAGCTAGTTATACATAAAATCAATAAATTAAAATAGATACATAGAATATTATAAATCTTAAACTTTATAATATAAACTCTAAAATATAAACAAAACAACAAAATAGAATGCACTCACCATAAGTTGGTTGATGTAATATTCGTACATTATTGTATCTGTTACAGGATCTAACGCTGTTTGCATCATTTCATCATACTCCTCCTGTATCATGAAAAAAATGAGAGCCATAAGAATATTTGTTGAAATATAACCGAGTCAATTCATATCCATATACAACAGTATAGTATTTGTTAACATAACATATAACACGGTATTATTTTATAATAACTAATGTTATGGATTATTGTTGTATAGTGTTAGGATTATTAATTATAAAAAATAATGTTATATTATAATACGATTCGGTATAAATAAAAATTCTATCGAAGTACGAATTGAAACTGTATTATCACTTAGAACACTTAAAACACTTCACAAACACGAGAGGCTATTTCAGCTTCGCCCTAACATGAAGGTTCACGGGGCTCAAGCCTGAGTGTTGCTAACACTGGCCCTAGCAAGAGCAGCGCTTCGCCGAATCTACCACCGGATCGGGAACGCGACCCACTGAGAAGATTCGGCGAGAAACTTAGTGGGCTGTGTCTGTGGGTTAATTTACTCATCGAGCCCTTCGTCGCGAGTGACGGGTTCGGCGAGGACTGTGACCGGTGCTTGTGGTATCTAAAAGCACCGTTAATGGATCGGGAGGATCCGTAATGACGTGTTTTGGGCGACGTCGACAGCATCTCTGCAACGCTTATAAAGTCGATACGACATCCCTAGAATCGTCGAGAACATTCCTCACAAGTCGAGCACTTTCGATGCGTGCTTCCGCTACCTGACAATAGATGGCGTTGTACTTCTCGAGCGTTCTAGATGTTGCTATCATTTGGTATTCGTTTCGGCTATTCAGCGATAGATAGCGTAACTCTTACCGGCGTAACAATATATTATACGACATAAAGTGAAGGCAGCCGGAAAACGAATTGTTTTATTTAAAACTAGCTGACCCGGCAGACTTCGTAGTACCACAATCGATAAATAAAAGACCGACGGGGGACACATCAAAGGAAAAACAAAATTGTTATTTTTATTAAATTCCGAGCATTTTCATATCTATCTACCTTTTAAACATTCTCTGGACTTCCACAAATAATTCAAGACCAAAATTAGCCAAATCGGTCCAGCCGTTCTCGAGTTTTAGCGAGACTAACGAACAGCAATTTATTTTTATATATATATAGATAGAAGATAGATATTGATAATAATAATAAATTTTAAAGAACCTGCGTAAATGACTCTCCTTCTTCCATCATAAGCTTGGCGAACCTCTCTTTAGTGAGGTACCCACGTGCCTCCGTGTCAAAATATCTGAATGCAGCCAACAGCATTTCAGCGCTCGCCGGATAAAACCTGTCCCGTTAATAAATAAAATACCTGACATAATTAATATTTTACGGAGAATTAAATTAAAAAGTTCAAGTACGAAAAGTAGAAAGCTAACATCAAAACCTACTTATCTTGGTGATCAATGACGTAATTGGATTATTAAATTGTTTTAGTTCAAACCAATCCTACCACGGTCCTTTACAATTTTTGTCGTAATGTAATTCAAATGAAATTTATACCTATATATGAATATATATTATATTAAAAAGAAGATATGAAAAATAACAACGAAGATTGAGCCCCACTGTCAAAATTTTAAAATTGTTTAACCTTTTTATTTTAATATTACAAACCTATGTTCTATCATGACTTTACACATGTAAGGTAAAAAGTTCGTTAACGGAACGTTTCCAGTTGCTTCTTTGTTTTCCGTTGCTAAAATCACCTCTTGTATCTCGGCTTCAGTTGGACAGCAACCTTTAAAAAACATATATTTAACGTCTCTTTTGCTATATTCAAAATTTACCATGTAAACAGTCTATTTAGTACTCAAACAGTTATCCACTTAGAAATTTCCAGAACAAAAAACGGCGAGCCTAAGGGTCCGTTCACACAGACCGGCTCGGAGAGGAGAGCACCTTCATTCCGACTATTCCTCCTAAATAATTTGTAGCGACTCGAAGACGTAAATAATCGCTTTTATACTAAAGTTGAGATACCTATTATCCTAAAAGGGTGACAAATTGGAGCATGGAAAGCAAAATGATGGCCTTTTTTCATGCGTAATTACGTTGTAAGCACGGCTATTGCATTCTTACGATATTTAGTATGATTTCGCGATACTTCGGCGTTGTTCTAAGCGTCATCGGCTACTCGTGGTGACTCGTGTCTTTTAATTCTCCGTGGGAGAATTTTTAGAATACTCCTTATTATACTAGTCAAGTACAAGTACAAAACATTTAACGAAAACCAGAAAAAAAAGCATTACCCAAAGATCGAAGAATTGTTCCTATTTCCCTTACATCTACGACTTGCTTCCCAGAATGGTCAAATACTTCGAAAGCTTCAATTATTTTTTTCTCCAAATCATTATTTGGTTGAACTAGAAAGTTACATTTAAGGTATATGAGATATCCCAATATATGACATATATCAGATATTATACCAGACGTAATATCTATTTACGAATAAAAATGTTTGGTTTTGTTTAAATTTCAACTAATAAATGTATTTATGTATGTATTCATTTATAATAAAATTTAATGAGTGATACTAAATTACACAGTATTTACATCGCTCGTTTATAAATGATTAAATGTATATTTTTTCAAATAATAACTAACTTTTAGGTTCCTCTTTTCTTGCCATAATGAACTAATAGTTTAATTATAAGATTTGTAATAACATCAAAATAATTTATATCCAAACACTAATAAGTACACGTATTAAATTAAAAAAAATATATTCCGTAACCAGGCAACACAACCTATCAGTTATCACTAGTGTCATCGACGCATAGACCTTTAAAGTAGGGACACGACATATTGTTCTATACGTACAATTGCTTATATAAATAGCACCCATTTTGAAGGCACATACATAAACATATATCTATCTCGTTCTTACTCAGCACTTTAACTCGCAGGAAAACAATATAACAGTATTTCAGTGCGTACATAAAATGAAACATGAATATACGTAAATATCTCCGTCTCCGTCTAATGAGGCCGAAAATCCGCCATGTTTAGCGCGCCAAATGTCATTGTCACGTCAGTTCGGCCGTCTGTTTTGGGTTGTACATTATTTATTGACTTTGATATCGATTTAATATGATTGATTATATAAAATTTCATAATTTATCATGCTTAAAACATACAAAAATAATAATTAAAACGTATTTTATAGGATCTCAAGAAAGTCGATG